AAAAAACTCTAGTAATTTGAATAAACCTTTCAGTCCTGCCTTGTCGTTCCCAAAGGCTACGCAACTGCTTCTTAAGGCATAATTAATTAAAATATTTTCAATTCATGTTCATAGCTTTAAAAATCATCCGAATTATCAAAAAAAAAAAAGCCAGTCTAAAACATATCCAGCAGTAATCATTTTAAATTGCTTTGAATTCAAATAAATTCGTAAACTGATTCCACAAAAATCCAAATTGATTTATCGATCACTTGAAAATCAGACTCAGATGCCCCTCAAATTTCTATGTCTAATTGAACACTCTTGAGATTTTCATCTCTAATTTATTGTTGTCTTCATTGATTTATGTTATGATTGGTGCCGAAAAGAAAGGACAGAATAAGGACAAAAAAAAAAATGCACGTGTGCATATACATACGTTTTATGTCCAGCAGATGATGCTTCTTATTTTTAGATACATATCTTTTATTATACATCGATTAATATCGATTGACGCAATTCCATATTTCTTCACTTATCTTCTTCTTTTCATTTTAAAAAAAATTGTGAAAAATTTATGAGACAATAAAGATTCTGCGGAATCGAATTAATTCACTGTATTCTTTTGTGTGGGATTTTATGGACTTTCTTTTCAATGTGAAATAAATTTGAGAGTTTTAATTAATCTGTAAACAAACTTTATGGAGGAAATCACTGTTTACTTGAAATTTGAGAAGGTGAAGAATATTTTCAGTCAGCACATCATTAATTGCACAATAGTCACTTTCCTAGATGCTTCCAATGATCATAACATTGAATTATTTATTTGATTAAACCACATTGGATGTCTACACTTATAAACCGCTAGAATTCAACAACACAAAATCTGTTCATCACTCAGGTGCTGTTAAAATGTCACTGTCACACTCTTGTGTACGTAATTTCAAAAATGTAGCATCAGTCATTAAAATTTTACCGGTTGATGGCATAAAATTATTCTTTATTATTTATGAGAGCACATGATGAACATAAAACATGCGGCTAAAAATATTGCACATCCATCCAAAGCCATAAACCACTAAAACTTTTTCGCGCTACTTTACGTTCAAAAGGAACTTGATAAGCACTGTTCATTTCACGTTTACACGCTGATTTTTCACATTCAACTGACAGCGTAAAGGAACAAAAAAAAAAAGAAATGAATGAAGATAGAAAATGTTTTGAGCAACGCTCTCATCGATACTCACACAGCTCGTAGCTTAGTTATAGTAAGCTTTTGAAATATATCGTAAAGAAAATTCTTATTCAAAAGCTATTTTTGATTTCAATAACAATGAAAAGGAAATATAGAAGTGGAAGTTCTCTTTCCTCTCTCAGTACACAAAGCGTAGATATTTATGCTTGCTATTCAGCTTTTGTGTTTTTATCATCAAGTGCTTTATATTTTTATGTGGAATTGATGAATACTAAGGAACTTTTATTTTGTGTGACACAATGTTGGATAAGAGGTTTAGTGCCTATCCTCACGTGGTTAAACCTGTTACGTTAAGATATCAGTGACTTAAATCAAGCTTGTTGATACACAAATTAGTAATGCAGCCAATCACGCTTCATGGATATATTCACACCATACGTTTGCTAAACGGTCTAGCTTTAAACCTTCAGACATATGCTGAGCAAGGCTTAAACTGTTAACAAGACTTTCGATGGTAAGTTGTGAACATATCCGCATTAGATTTCTACCCGATACACTAGTTTGGTTCTAGCTTTTTTTTTCATATTTCAATAATGATGACTAGCGTCATTCTTTATTGAAGAGACTAAATAATCTTAATTTACATTTTAAGATGTTGATTTTTTTTTTCTTTCTGTTTGCAAAGGAAAAAGCCCCCTTAACTGGTAATTAAACTAGTTAAAAGTGCGTAAAAAACCTATGAAACTGACGAAAGATCAAATTAATTTATACAATAAAACCGTTACATTTAAATTTCACGCTTGAATTTAAGTTTTTGCTCAGTTTTGCTCAATATTTTCCGTTAAATTTCAAATTTTAAGTGTAAGTGCGACTGAACCTAAACAAGTGTTGTTTTGAGTGAATAAAAATATTAAAATAATTGAATTATCTTTGTTTCTGGTGGATATTTGCAGATGCGAGACTAAGGAAGTGCTTTTGGATAGCAAGAACTGCTTTACTTTTGCCTTAAAGGGCTTGATGTGTCCAATATTCCGGATTTCAGTTGGTAAAGTATTAAAACTTTATGGTCCTATGATTTCTTTGTCATTAGCTCTCATTTTCGTTAAACTTGTGTTTATTTTTAGCATTTTGCAACGCTCCCATCGCAGTCTTTCAACCTTAATGAGTTCCTCATCACTTTCCAGCATTGATTTCTTCACTATCACACATATGGACATGAAAATCTGTCCCATCACAGGAAGAACATTTTTGGCATAATCAGTGTATAATATGTGAGTTGACGTTGTTGGAGGTAGCTTGTAGATTAGCTTTATCATTCGGTTTTGTAAAATTTGCAGGTTTTTTAGTGACTTCGAACTAGATCTTATCAACAAGAATGTTCCATATGATAAATGCGAGTGAAAATGTGCAAAATAAAAGTCCATTAACGGTTTCAAGGTGAGTTTGTTCCTTAAGTCTGCTGTAGCTCCTATTGCATTATTCAGTTTCTCTGAAATCAATTCCGAGAAGTCTACAAGTCAGTTTTGGGTCTTTTTGAATTCCCAAATATTTTAAGGAATGTGATATATTAATTCTGTGTACTTTTAGTTCATTTAAAACTGAGTCTGATACGTTTTCACCTATTACCAATGCATAGCTGTTACTAAAATTCAATTCCAGCTTATTTTGTTTATAATACTTTGTAATCTCTTCAAAATCATGCTTGCTATTTTCATTAATCTCAAACACTAGCATTGAGTCATCAGCGAATTTAAATATTGATGCAAAAGTTTTAAGTTCTTTCATATCATTAATGTATATTTAAAATAGCACAGGGCCATTGCTACATATTGAGTCCTGTTCGTTAAGAAACTTTTTATAAACTCATTTGCATCATCTTTGATGCCATAGTGACAAAGTTTTCTAAGCAAAATTCGATGGTCGATCATGTCAAAAGCCTTGCTTATATCAAGTGACAAAATGATAGCTGATTTTTTCTCGTCGACAATTTTTGATGTTAATGAAATTACTTTCGCAATAACGTCTTCACATGATCTATTCTTTTTAAAGCCATACTGAAAGTTATCTAAAAATTTTTTTTCTTCCAGGTTCTCGATTAGCTGATTTTGTATAACTGTCTCAACAACTTTCTCCAACGTATTAGTGATGGAAACTGGTCGATAATTATTCTCATTTAGCGGTGAGTCCTTTTTATGAATTGGGTGGACAGTCGTAACTTTAAGTTGTTCAGGGTATTCAGCTTTAACGAACATTTGATTAATCAAAGTGCAGACATGTTCAGAACATTCTTCACTTATTTGAGTCCAAAAAAAATGTGAGATTCTGTCATATCCTGTAGCTTTACCAATATCCAAAGGATTGATTATATTTATTACTTCTTGTTGAGATATAAGTTGAAAATGAAAGCTTTTGTCGATTTGCTTATCTAAGATGTGAATTTCTTGTGCGTTTCGTGTAGCATTTCCAATCGAAAGAAAGTAGTTTTGAAAGATATTAGCAATATCTGTATCGTCATGATATCTTGCATTGTTCTCAAGCAAAGAAATTCGTGTTTTTGTTCTTTGTCTGCCACTTAAGTCGTTTATATATAATAAGCTTTCATTCTTTTTGCTGCATAATCTTCTTTAATCGATATGAGCTCTCTGAGTTTTAATTCTATTCTTGAAGTTGGTTTATTTTTAGCTTTCATTTTCTGTATTCTCTCATTCATATTGTGTATTCTGTTGCATTGATTAACGTAATTTCCATCAATCTAAGGGGGGGGGGGGCTGTCTCAAATTTATTGAGGGATTTTAGTGTTAAATTGTTTGTATTATTGTTAATGAAGTTCGATATAAATTGTATTATGTCATCACATAACTGATCAGGGCTCATGCTAATTTGCAGGGATTTGAAATTCGCTTTAATCTCCTGAATAGCCTTAGTTTATTGACTTTTTAACTATGTCTGGTACAGGGTTGTTTTTTTTTGGTTGCATTACCTCCATATTCTTTGGCTATAATTAGTTGATGATCTGAAAAGCTGTCTGTAATAATGTTGTTCGTTGTAAATGCATCTCAAATGTTAATAAATCATCAAGGTTGGAACTAAAAACATAGATCCAGTAAGAAATACGTTAAGTCTGGAAACAAAATCAGTAAAGGTTTAATCATGTCTGAAATTGCAAAGCCAGTATAAAAGTCGTATGTGGAACAAAAATAAAGATTTAGTGTGATATAAGTCATATCAAGATCCAAAATAAAGATCTAGGAAGCCAAAACTTACGAAAAAACTAGCTAGTTCCAACATTTTTTCATATTCCTATATACATACTGTCAATATCGAACTATGAAGCAAATCTATAGCCCAATATCTACCAGATGCAACCGGAACTCTCAGTATTAAGTTTGAATCGAGTTATCGTGCCGATTAACTTTCTAATTGACAGCAAGCGTTTTTATGCGTTTTCCAGAACTGGAACTACCAAATGAGATGTGGTTTTCACTGTTGGACAGGTAATTCCAGGCACAGATTTTTGACTTATTATTATTAAATTTTCTTTTGTTTTCTATTGACTATTAGCACTTTGGGTTGGTTCCGTAAGCTTAAAGCATTAAGTCAAAAAAAAAAGGTTTCCATATTTTACAAAAAACACTATATACACCAAATTTGATATGATTATTGTCTATATGTTATATATGTATGTATGTGCAAGTGAAAGAACATGTTTCATTCTTTTTAAAAACAATTCAACACTTCCGTTGAATAATTTTTGATACGGTTTTTTAACAACAAATAGCGATAGTGGTGAACGGAAAGAGACTTGATTTTTCTAAAGTTTAATGTTCTTTATTTGATTACTGAAGCATAAATCTTTCTCGATATAATAGCTTTCTTAAAACTAGATAGGAGATTTTTCTCGATTTATTCATAACATACATACCATAACTGATATTTATTTATTGATTTAAAGTAGATAGAATAATATAATTATGTAGACGTAATAAATGAAAGTTGAAATTTTACTTCAACGTTTGCTTCTCCGTAATATATAGGGACTTTATGCTCTATGTAGTATAATATTAATGTCATTTCGTTTTAACGTGGTGAACATTATCAATTTAGAGATTAATATCAATTAGATTAGCATCTTGTCTCGTAAAGTCCACTTCTTCCTATATAGCGCACCCATTTAATAACATCATGGTCCGAGTAATTGAGTTTAGGTTCAAAGACTTTCAAATAGCGAACCTGCGTATTGAGATTAGTTAAATTAATCTAAAGTGTAATTAAGCAATTATGTTTAAATTATGTTACCTTAAATCCAGATGGTGCGAAAGGAACTTCAAAGTTCATTGAGATTGGTGGACGTGTCCACTTTTTCTTGGTATCCGTTTCGAGCAATTCAATTTCAGCTGAGAGCTGAGTTTCTTTCATACCAGCCATTCGCTTAATTTTCCAGACAATTGCATTTTCAGATGCTTTATATTTTGCCTTTCCTTTAAGACAAATCAATTGTACTCCGGATGTATTGAGTGGAGTTGGAATTTTAACTTCAATCTTTTGTCCTAATAGTGAAGGCTTAAAATTTGATTTGAGAACAACCTTTACCTCCATTTTTGTACGACCAACTTCGCGCACTAATGGAATAACACGGAATGGCAATGAAATATCTTTAGTAGTACGATAACGCATCAGTTCAAACTCGCCATCGGGCGGGATGAAGCTTATAGAATGTTCAGTTTCGAATTTGCTCAATTTAACACACTGATGAAATTGGCAATCGTCAATAACAACAACTGGCTTGCCAGAACGAGACGTTTCAGCTTCGGTATTGCCTGAAATTCCGCCACGTCCTTTAGCTTCCATAACAATTTTATCATTAATGCCAAATTTACATTCAGGCATTCCCGATAAGAATGATTTCATGACTACTTTTCCAGCAACATGAGCAGATAATACTTGACCTTGCGGCGACATGAGCAAATTAACATATTCCAAAACATCTAGGAATAATTCATTACGACGATATTTGATTCCTTCTCGTCGCCATCCAATTTGTCCTGTGACCTGTGACGTTATTTGGGCTTGTTCTTCTTTAGTTGCAGACTTAATTCCTTGCTGTGTAATAAATGTCTTCAAAACTCCCGTATCCGAGTTTTGTGGATATCCAAAATCCAAGATTTCTTAAATAAATAAAATGTTAAAATATGTATATTTACTCAGTTATTGACAGTTTACTTACCATCTAAGAGTTCATAGATGAGAACGAAGTTATTCTTGATGTTCTCCTCGGAAATCTTTCCGAAGTAAGATTGCATGACATCGATGATTTTTAATAAGAACTCAAAAACCATTGCAGCATTGACATTTTGCTTAGTTACAGCAGCCAACCAAATATTTGCTCTCTGAAAAAACCATCAAAAGCATGGGAATGAATTAAATATATCTTTTAAAATGATTATTATTAGAAAGCTCACCTTAATATGAAAGAAGCTTGTACGAGCAATATTAGTGACTGGAGATCGTACTTGTTGTCTTGCATGAATAACGTTGACTCGGAAGGCATCAACAGCATTTCTGCCTATATCGTCACGATAAACACGAGATATAAGCACTTCCCCTTTATGATTGTACACAAATAATCCTCCTATCATCTTTAAATTCTTCCGAATTCAGATCCGGAAAGAAATTCCTACAATAATTTTAAAGAACTTAAGTATTACAGTAAACTCTTATCATAACTTTTTAAATGATTCATTACTTTATAATCAGAACAATTTATTGAGAATACAAGATTTACACCCCAATTAAGTGAGATGAAATTATATTTTTTGCGTGAACAATGGCTGTAAATTGATAAGAAACTTATTTTGCAATTTATGGCAGCATAAACTTAAAATTTCACAATACGATCATTTAAAAAGTATAAACCTAGTAATTATGAACTTACTTGTGTCTTTTAATTATTTCTATCAAGTTAATTTACATGAAAATTTAACAATATTAAATGAATGAAAAAATTGATTCACTTTCGAAATGAAAATTCAATATCAAACCAGATTCGAAAAATTCAAATAAGTTTTGTCAGTTACTTTATTCTACCCACAAGCAGTTACACAGGTACGATTATTCATTATGGTATGGTTATTTTATGTTCTGCTTAACATTTAAAACATGTATGCATAAATATTTATCCTTGGAAGCATATTGCTTCTATTTTTTTCGAGGATGCACTCAAAATTTTAAGTGCTTCAGCATTAAATAGTAAAGGTCCGCAAATCAGGGCTACTGTTATGTCCAATTTCAGCAATTCCTCCAATATTTTTTCAGATATTCTACCAGTTTCTCCTATCCATGATTCATTTGGCTCGGAAAGAACAAAGTTGACTGTAAATCTTTTATCCTTTTCAGTAATTTCATTAAATAAATCATGGAACCAAATATCATCTTTCGTCTTATTGAAATCGTACAAAACGACTTTTTCACTGTAAATCAAATATTAAGGTGATAAATCATTGAATTAATTATTAAAAATATTTTTTCTTACACTTTGTTAGCAATTCTTTCCAATAAATGATCAATCAAACCACAAAAAGGTGTGATTCCAGAACCAGCAGATAAAAGTGCGATATTAATATGAGATTTCAAGTTACTCAATTGAAAGTAACCGGATTGATTAGAGACTAGAATGCTTTCATTGGCACTTCTTTCATAAAGAAGCTTAGACATGTTCCCTGGATTGTATTTCTTTATTAAAAAGTTCATGTGCGGTAAGCTGTTTTTAAGAGAAACATATTTTGCTGGAATTGGCGTGTAGCTCCTCATTACTTGCTTCCCTATAGAAATTGAATATAATTTTTTTTCTCTAAAAAGTTTTGCATATTATACACACCATCAATGTTAAGCTTTAAATCAACGTGATGTCCAAGAGATATATAATAAATTATCTTATCACTTTTAGGCCGCAGAACAAGTTCAAATGAGTCATGATTGATGGGTTCTTTTTCAATGATGATGAATTCACAATATCCATATCCACCTCCTGTTATTCTTTCATGCATTCCATAGTTTGGCCATAAATCAGTATCTTCCTTCTCAAATGATATTTCAACTTTTCCTAGAATTTTCCTCGAAATTAACTTAATTAATCAAAAATCTCTACAACCATTTACCTGTTTCCTGATTAATTTTAAGGGTTGCTGGCCATTTTAGGTTTTTATAAAAAGAAAACTTAAAGATGTATACATCATTTCCAATAAAAATGGTAACTTTGCATTCTGTATCACATATTTGTTCTATAATAATTCCTGGATTGCAGAAGCTTTTACAATAAAAATACACAATTAAATCATTCTTCCTTTGTATCCAATCAAAGCGTGGATAAAGTTGAGCATTCGGAACTTTTATTGCTGATATATCAGTTTTATCTGTTTCATTAATGGGCGGCAAAGAACCGAGCATTGCTGAAGGAGGTGATAAAGTTATAGACGATTTCCTAGAACTTTTTGGTTTCTCATCCAAATCACTTAAATCAAGTGTAATCGCATGCTTTAATGGTCCAATAAAGCATTTTGCAAGCAACTGTTCAATATTGACCCAAGCATGATATTCATCAAATAAACTAGTTGCATCTTTTCCTGCACCTCTCATAAGCTGTTCACTTCCACCTTTCAAAAAGTAATTTTAATTCAGTATGAATTGAAATTAATGCAATTACCTGGATGATAATCCATATATCTGGTCACATTGTAGACCTTTCCTCGAATTGCCATCCAACAATCGTCGATTTGATCATGTCGTTTTAGTTCCTCAAGTGAAATTGAACCTTTTCGTCCACCAATTAAATCTTGCCCTGAATTTGTCAATCTTATCCATCCAACTAGTGAGAATCCAGGCTTAAGAGCAACTTTGTTCCTTGGATTTCCTGTTGCCATTTATAAATACTCTAAACAAATATCTCAAATAGCATAATTAATAATTTTAAACAATTTTGTTCTAATATAAAATAATAATAATCACAAAACCAGCAGTTTCGGAATTAGATTTTCGAATATTTTACTTCCACGGCTGATTGATGGATGTGCTGTATAGTCTGTCCGATTATTTGTTTTGATATTTTTGATTAAAAATCCGGCCTGAATTAAGGGTGTTTTTTTTTGAGAACATGGGAAGTGAAAAGTATTCAATATTGTTGCCAACATACAATGAACGTGAAAATCTTCCGATAATTGTCTGGCTTATTGTTAAATATTTAGAAGAAAGGTAAGAATATTTGTTTTGAAGTAATCGCCACGTAATGTACACAAAAATTTAATTCATTTACAGCAAAATTAACTTTGAAATAATCATAATCGACGATGGAAGTCCAGATAATACACAAGAAGTTGCTAAGGAACTGATTAAAATTTATGGAGAAGATAAGATCCTTTTAAGACCAAGAGCTGCAAAATTGGGTCTTGGAACAGCTTATATTCATGGACTATCTCATGCTACTGGCGATTTCATTATTATTATGGATGCAGATTTGAGTCATCATGTAAGTCATGCTTCTAAACGATAGTATCTTATATTCTTATTAATAAATTAAATTTGTCTCCAGCCGAAATTCATTCCTCAATTCATAGAACTACAGAAGAAACATAATTACGATATAGTGTCAGGAACAAGATATAAGGGTGATGGAGGAGTTTATGGATGGGATTTTAAGAGAAAGTTGATATCAAGAGGTGCGAATTTCTTATCACAATTCCTTTTGCGTCCAAAAGCAAGCGATTTAACTGGTTCATTCAGGCTCTATAAGAAAGAAGTTTTGTCACAATTAATTAAAGCTTGTGAATCAAAAGGATACGTTTTTCAAATGGAAATGATTGTTCGTGCTAGAGCTATGAATTTCACAATTGGAGAGGTTCCAATCAGCTTTGTCGATCGTCTTTATGGACAGAGTAAAATGGGAGCAACAGAAATCATCCAGTTTGCTAAAAACTTGCTATACTTTTTTGCCACAATTTAATAAAGTGACTGTATTATAATTTTAATTGTAATTTATTTTTGTTTTTCCTTTTTTTATACAGCACTACACTCAATATGTTTTAGATCCCATCAAAATAGATTAATTTAATGGTGATGTTCATCCGTTCCTTTTCCGTACTTTTTATCCCACATAGCCAAATATTCTGCTTTGCGTTGTTCTCGACGTGCAAAGTATTCTGGATATTGAGCCTTTTCTAAAGGATGCCAAAAATCAACAACCCAGTCAGGTGGAACTACTTCACGCTCAAATGCAACTCCACCGGGCGAATTAGCGAATCTCCTTGGTTGTGGATGTTGTTTATTGAATAATTCTTGTTCGCCTTCATTCAATATTGTGTCAATTTGGCGTGGATCTTTGATATTTCTGTTTTTGTCAAAGCGATCTCTCATCAGAACAGCTTGATAACGATACTGAAATCTAAATTATGGACATATTAACAAACTTATATAATTTCCATAAACAAATCAATATTTTGACGTTTTTCTCATTGCATTTCGACTTACCTGTGATCATACCAGCTTTCAAGCATACGGAGTGACCTTTTATAGAGGCTTTTAACACTTCTTACATGTGCCGTTGCCATTTTAAGCAAGAAAACTACCTTTTTTCCAAAGACAAAAAAAAAAATTTAAGAAAAAATCTTCAAGAATCGGACACTCAAAATTGTATACAATTAACTAGAAGTGTCTGTGCCTTGATTCTGAATTTCGAATTTCGAAATTTTCTTTTTAATATTTTGTCGAAAACTCATAAATTTATTATTTTTAATTGATTAGCAGTGATTATTAAACCTTTGAAGTATTTCTATTACCGTATTAATACTGTAATTAACAGTGAGTTATAATAAAAAAGTGCTAGAATGTTAAAAAGTGGAAAAAATTGAAGAAAATGATAAAAATTTAAAAAGCTTATAAAATTGTTTAAAATAAATAAATAAAAAGTCCAAAAATGCCATTTAAGATTCTTAAGAAGTCACGACAGTATAATGTCATGTCAAAGGACCTATACGTTATATCGGTGTTGTGTCTAGGTAAGTTGATAAGATTACTAAACATTCTTGAAATTCCATTAGTTTATAGGCAGGCACTGTATGTATGTTGATCACCTGTCATGAGAGAAAAAAACACTGCTAAAAAGTTCTCTGACAAAAACCTGATTTTGTTTCAAATTATCACCCAAATATGTACATGCATAAACATTTTCTACGCATAGCGTTCGTACTGGACGCAATAATTTATTTATTTATATTTGGTGTTAATGCTGAATTCTTTTCTCTACTATATCAAATTACATTTATCTCTTCATTATTCTTTCACTTTATCATGCAATTTTAAACATAATAAAACAAAGGTGGATAGAAAAGAACAAGGCACACATAAAGTACAGGAAAGAAAATGTTCTTAGAAGACTTAAAATTTTCTGTGGAACATCATAAGGTGAATGAAGCAAAAGAATGTGTGATTAGATAAGATTTCAACAAAAAATCGTCGTTGATACACAGAACACACACATAACTTCTTTTTATAACTTTAAAGTCTTTCGTGATGAATCATTTCTATATTTTTATATTCACACCGTTTTCACGTGTGAATCTATTGGTTTTGTTCAGAGTGAAAAATCAGTTTTTCGCATTTTGTGAGAAAACAAAGCAAAATTGGTTATAAAAGGGCAAGAAGAAAAGTTTATGCCTGAAATTTTACATCATTTTCCAAAAACAGATTTCAAATTGGTTGTGGCATTGCTGAGAAAATCGCAAAATACGCTTTCTGTAAGCAAACAAGTAAGCAAGTTAATCAGCAAGAAATCTCAATACCGAGACATCGTAGAGACTTCTAGTTTTTTACATTTGATCCGTGCTACTCTATAGAAGAGCTGTATTGTTTTTGGGCAAGGTAGGAACAGCCGTTGCTTCAGAAATGGCAAAAAACTTTCCTTTCTTACGAATTTTTTAAAACAAAAGTTGACTGTGATTTTTATAAAATTCAACTTTGGATGAAAATTTTTTTTAAAAAACTTTTAAAGAATATTTGGCATATTCGTCAAGCTTTATACATTCAAACTTATGCTGAGCGTAGCTCAGCTGACTCGATAGCTTTATATCTTCAAACTTATGCTGAGCGTAGCTCAGCTTACGCGATAGCTTTATAACTTCAACTTATGCTGAGCGAAGCTCCACTGCCTCTCTAATTTCATATCTTCAAACTTATGCTGAGCGTAGCTCAGCTTACGCGATAGCTTTATAACTTCAAACTTATGCTGAGCGAAGCTCCACTGCCTCTCTAGCTTCATATCTTCAAACTTATGCTGAGCGTAGCTCAGCTGACACTCTAGCTTTATATCTTCAAACTTATGCTGAGCGTAGCTCAGCTTACGCGATAGCTTTATAACTTCAAACTTATGCTGAGCGAAGCTCAGCTGCCTCTCTAGCTTCATATCTTCAAACTTATGCTGAGCGTAGCTCAGCTTACGCGATAGCTTTATAACTTCAAACTTATGCTGAGCGAAGCTTAGTTGACTTATCAAGCTTCATACCTTCATACTTATGATGGGCAAATCTTGGTCTATTCATAAGACTTATGATAGTACGGTGTGAATATAATCCACATTGGGTTTCTACCCGATACACTAGTTTTATTATTATTATTAGCCTATTAAACATAGTAATTAATTACATCACCATTAATGCTTAATTACAGATGGAAATAATATCGATTGTACATTGAGCTCGGAGAGTAAAGGTTCCGAGTGTTTAGAGAATGTTTGTCAGCGTGCAGGACTTAATCAGAGTGAATTCTTTGGATTAAAATATTCTCCGAAAGGCACTCATGATGAATCTGACATGCGATGGGTCGACTTAGTAAAGAAAATGAATTTATTCTTAAAGTGTTCATGAATTGAAATTTTATTTGTTCTTTTTTATAGGATCGTCCCTTAAATCGGCAACTCGAAAAGTATGCTGCAAGCACAAAGGTTCTTCATCTTCGCATTATGTACTATGTGATTTCGGGAGTTTCGCTGATAGCAGATGAACAAACAAGAAATTACTACTTTCTTCAGCTAAAGCAAGATATTATTGAAGGCAGAATAAGCTGCGATGCTAAACAAGCAATCATTTTGGCAAACTATAGTCGACAGGCTGAATATGGAAATTATCAAGATCGTCACAAGTACGGCAGTAAAAATATAATTTTAAATTTTAAAGCTCTAATAAAATTACACTTTCAGGTCAGTCGATTATTTAAAATCCTTACTGTCATTTCCCAAACACTTAATTGAAGCTGGTATGTTGGAAGTGCTGACTGAAGAAGTCATATTGCACGAGAATGAAGTGCATGATGTAACCCAAAGAGCAGCTGAAGAGCTCTACATTTCTTTATGTCAACAACTTGATGGTTACGGACAGGAGACTTTTATGGCTCGAAATGATGATGGAAAAGAAGTTTTACTCGGAATTTCTGTATCCGGTGTCATTGTATCTAACGCAGGAAGCCATAAATTTTATCCGTGGAGAGAGATTGTCAATGTGGTGAATCATAAGCGTACATTCTCGATCGAATGTACAGATTCGAATCAAAATGTCAGCTTTACTCTTTCAGACGCCGAAAGTGGTAAGCTTTAACCTGCTAATATCACCAAAAGTCATTTGCATTTATTTAATCTTTATTCAGGTCGTTACATATGGAAATTGTGCGTAAATCAACATACGTTTTTCATGAATTTTGAGCAAAATCACGCAAGTCAGGTGAATTTAAGTTTGTTTCAAAACATACCGGAACACTTTAATGAGAGTCGAGAAGATTTGCTTTCAACAGACGAAAAGATGTATTACTCAAATACGCACTTGGCATATCCGCATAATAGCAATACAAATCTGACTATTTCCACAAATAACATGTATGTTCCCTCGAGTGAATCGCTGCATAATCCAAACCAGATTATGGAATCGCGTACTTCACTTCAGACTTCATCTATTTTGGATATAAATCATCCAATGAACAGTGCTGTCATGGGAAGTAGTCAGTGGAATCACGCAGGCTCAAATACATCGCTTGTAAATCGAGCTCAAAGCAGTTCATGTATTGATTTAACAAACAATAATAACAATAATGTTCTAAGTGCAAGCAAGGAACGATTTTTGCCTAAATATCGGCCAGCTCCTGCATACGAAATCGCCATTCAACAAAAGTATAAAGGACAGCAAGAGCAGCAAGATGTGAGTATTTCGAAACCTCATTTAATGTATGAAAATTTCCACCATCATCATCACCATCAGCAAAATCAGCAGCCTGCCAAAAATTTGCATTATCCTGACGTAACACATATAACTCATCATGCAAGCAATAATATGATTAATCCTAGTTATTTAGATGCTTCTGATTACTTATCGCAACGCTTAAATTTATTATCATTTAATCCGCCAACTCAATATCCCGCAAATCGTCTAAGCTCAACATCTACGCCTGATTTAGCATTAGCCTCACATCGTGGTGTTTTTGGCTATAGACATACGGGATCAAGTCCAGATCTATTATCAAGAACGTTGTTACATCAGCACGGTTATATACCGACAAATCCTCACTCAAATCCTCTATATCCATATACTTCGGTACCAACTTCTGTCGGTGGTGGAGGAGGCATAAAACAACGCTTAAGACATTCCCATAGTTTTCTTCCGCATGCAACCTATGAGAATTTGAATTTCATTGAAGCTACTAATAATAATAATCCCCAGAGTTTTTTCCCATCATCCAAACACATACCTAATAATATGATTTATCGCACTGCATCATCTGTGCAACAGCTAGCTGACATGGAATATTATTTGCACAAACAGCAGCGAAATCATAGTTTAAATGCATTAAACCTATCTAATTCGCATATAAGTGAACCAATCTATGAAAATGTTCCCCTACCATTGAACAATGCCAGCAGTACAACAACAACAACACCAATTAATGTGGAACGAAAAATTTCAACTAACGAAAATCGGCCAGTAAGACCAAGACCACGACTCGTACATACTGAACCATCAATCGACGTTGTTAACGCGAGCAATAATATTAATATGGTAAATGCAAATGTAAATGCATTTAGCAGTAATAACAACAATGGAAGTACTAAAAACATCAATGACCCGTTAAATGGTAATGAAATTGCAGCAAATAATAATAGCAACAATAGGAAGCATTTTATTCTTACAACTAACAATGATAATAATGGCAATAAAATTTCGGGATCGGCGATATCAATAACAAACATATCTGCATTAAATGAACGAGATTATACATCTGCCATTCTGCCTACAACATCGTCGTCATCTAGTCCATTTCATATAGAAAACATGCAAATCAATAGACAACGACCAGCGATTAGTTCAAATGCATCAACATTCATGAATTCATCGGGAACTTCTTCAAATTATACAATAAACACAACTACAACAGCTGATACAACGGATTCAGGTATAAGTACAGAAATGGTCAGTAAGAAGGAGTCAAAAAGGAACAAGTTTTGGGCAATTTTGGGTAAGAATAAAAGTTCATCGAGTAAGCAGAAGAGTGCAACATTGGGTCGTGAAAAAGATAAGAATAAGAAGGATAAAGGTCGAGAGATCATGCACGATAATAACACAAATCACCGTTGGTCGACGGGTCTTCAAGGACGACAGCCACTTCCAATCAGCACAATAAGTAAGGAGAAACTATGTCAATTATTGGATGCAAAGCTCAACGATAGTCAGCTGTTTTTAGAGTTTGAAAGAATTCCAAAACGAAAAAATAATGCGCAATATTCATGTGCCTTAATGGAAGAGAATCGTAATAAAAACTCAGACAACACATGTCTACCAATGGATGAAAATAGAGTTCGATTAACACCGACGAGAGATAATCGAATGGGATACTTTAATGCTTCGCACATTTCGAGTACGGTTGGTCAAAAGCAAAGATTCTATATTGCAGCTCAATCAGCCTCAAACACATTCACAGCAAACATTTTTTGGCAAGGCGTGTGGGAAGCAGATGTCTATTTGCTCATTCAATTAACTGATGAATTTGTCTACGTTCCGCCTAATAGCGAAAGGTGTTCAGAATATGGTCAGGTAAGGAAACAAAGCAATTCTTTTACTCTTTTTTTTCGTGCTTAACTTATTGTGTGATTTCATTTTTTTAGTATCAAGTATGGAGAGAATTTTCTCAAGAAACAAATGGAATCACGACTAGCAAGCTAAGAATATATCATACACAAAGCAGGCGCTATCGTTCGGTTTGGCATGTTGCATTCTACGAGTTCAATGAACAGAACTGCCCTAAAGATCTTTCGCAATTTTTAAGTGAGTTGTCATTAACTACTAGACGTTTCTTCTTCTTCTTCTTCCCTATACTATATAATGCTGTATACAATTGTGCTGTTGATTTTTTATTTTGTGCATGTGATTTACGGAATTAACACCTTGTTTGTCTAATATTTATGTTTTCATCATTTTCAACCTTTTATTTATGAATCTTATAATATGATATTTAACTATGTGGGTTGTTCGTAATGACAAGTAAAGTCAATTAATGAACGACTCTATCTATGACGTCCTAATCATCAATTATCCATGATTTCCAAATTTTGTTTCGTTCATACAGAGTTTCTTGAAGAATTAAATTCAGTTCGATTGGCATCAATTTCTGAAGTACCTGTTGGACATAATAGCAATCCTCCAGTTTTATTTCATTGCACGGATGGAGAACGAACGGGTTTAACGCTAGTTGCTGATTTACTTTTATATACTTTAGATCATAATCAGGTAAGAATTTCTTCATACTATCAATTTCTTAATGTCCATTACTGACAATTATTCTTTGAAATTAAGGATCTTGATATACCACGAGTTATTGGACAACTAAGGGAGCAGAGGGATAAAATAATTCCATCTCTGGTTCAATATAAATTTATTTATGAGATGTTAATTCATTATTTGAATCAAACAAGGTTAATTTAATTTTCGACAATATGTATCGACGATATTCATAATGTATGATAGACGTCATTTAATTGATGACTTCTTATTCTTTTACTTATGCTAACAAATATTTTACCATTTTCTTTCCTACTTTAATTTATCTATTACTTATTAATCTAATTCAAGACTTTACCTATGTATTTTGTAACGATTGTACTTAATTATTTAAAAAACTAGTGTATCGGGTAGAAACCCAATGCGGATTATATTCACACCGTACCATCAAAAGTCTAATGGATAGACCAAGATTTGCCCAGCATAAGTATGAAGGTATGAAGCTTGATAAGTCAACTGAGTTTCGCTCAGCATATGTTTGAAGGTTTAAAGCTTAACGAACATTCTTTAAAAGTTTTTTAAAAAAAATTTTCATCCAAAGTTGAATTTTATAAAAATTACAGTCAATATTTGTTTTAAAGAATTCGTAAGAGAGTAAATTTTTTTGCTTTTTTTGAAGCAACGGCTGTTCCTACCTTGCCCAAAAACAATACAGCTCTTCTATAGAGCGGCACAGATCAAATGTAAAAAACTAGAATTCTGTACGATGTCTCGTTATTGAGATTTCTTGCTGATTAACTTATATGCTTGTTTGCTTGCTTACAGAAAGCGTATTTTTCGATTTTCTCAGCAATGCCGTAACCATTTTGAAATCTGTTTTTTTTAGCCAATTTTGCTTTGTTTCCTCCAGGGTTGTTAAAACATATTTTATTTTAAAGAATATGTACACATATCCAACACATTTTGCATGTTGATGTGTACAATGTGTGGCAGATAAAATATGTCACACATTGCATATGTGCACATATTTTATGTGTGATGTGTGCACATATTTGATGTGTGACACATTATTTTGTGTCACATATGAAAATGTGTGATGTGTGACACATTTTTATGTGTCTAGAAATCATGTGTGAACATGCAAAATCTGCACATATTTATTAATTTGCGAGACTAAAATAATATTTTTTTGTAGAATTTATTTAAAAAAATTATTCATATATAACCAAAACAGTCAAATATTGCATAAACGAGTTAATTTTCTCCAAAATATGTTCATCAAACTGTAATTTTAAACTAATTTGACTTTATTTGTTGGAGAAATGAAGATTAAACTAAGAATCCAAAAAATTGATGAGCTTCAGTTATGACCGAATCTTCAATAGTAAAACTCGTGTCCCTAAATCACTTGTAAATCAAGTTTTAGTCAAGTTTTTTGAAAATAAAGTCAAATTAGTTTAAAATTACAGTTTGATGAACATATTTTGGAGAAAATGAACTCTTTTATGCAATATTTGACTGTTTTGGTTATATATCAATAATTTTTTTAAATAAATTCTACAAAAAAATATTACTTTAGTCCCGCAAATTAATAAATATGTGCAGATTTTGCATGTTCACACATGATTTCTAGACACATAAAAATGTGTCACACATCACACATTTTCATATGTGACACAAAATAATGTGTCACACATCAAATATGTGCACACATCACACATAAAATATGTGCACATATGCAATGTGTAACATAAAATATGTGCACATATGCAATGTGTGACAAATTTTATCTGCCAACATATGAATTTTGCCACACATTGTACACATCAACATATTTTTGAAAAAGGACAGATTCTATTTTTAACCACCCTGGTTTCCTCACAAAATGCGAAAAACTGATTTTTCAATCTGAACAAAACCAATAGATTCACACGTGAAAACGGTGTGAATATAAAAATGTGAATTGAATACCGCCCGAACAAAATTTTAATTTATTTAGGACTAAAACTTTGAAAAATCTAGATTTAAATGACTTTTGTTTAATAGTATCCATATTATGGGTAATAATGGCGTATTTTTGTCATTAAATTTGATTATAAAGTAAAGCAATAATGAAGCTTGATGATCTTTCAAGTCATGGACCCTTAATCAAATGAAATCAATACAGAAATACGTTAAAAACTCTCATTAAACTTTATGCCTTACAAAAACAAACATACAAAAATAACGAATGAAAAGTAATGTTCAAGCATTGTGCCTTAATAAATTAACTTTTATACTAACGAGAATCAAAAATTGAAAATTGTTAAACGGTGAAAATAAGAAGCCTGAAAATAATAAATTTATAGATTTATTATTACATTATTAATCAAAATCAAAGAGTCTTTTTCATGCTTATCAAAATAGATGAATTATATTCATTAACGTACTTTACAATTACATTTTGTTGGTGAATTTAAACATTCCAGGGAATGCGATTGGATGAAGTCGTAATCCAAGAGTATAGATTGTGAAGAGGAAAGGGTCCAGCGGAGAATCTCTTCAAATACGTTGGATTTAGTTGTGGGATAAGATATATTTAAATTTGTCAACTAAGTTTGCATTTTATTTGAATTAAAAAGAATTTTCCACTCATGCGATTTGAACCCAATCTCTGGACGACTCTTGATCAAAGCCAATATGGATTTACTTTACAATTGTTACTAATCAGTTTTTAGGAATATTTTTGTTTGTTAATTCTAATATTCCATCGTCAAAATCTTCAAAACATCATTACAGATAAAATAAAATTCATTGATAAGGTTGGTGATAGTGATTAGATCTGTTGTTCTTATGAGAATAGTTATTTGTCGGGGGCAGTTGATAAAATTGATTTGATGCTATGTTAGCTGCTGGATATCTCGATGGTGGAAGTGGTGGTATATTGTTGTTTGTTGGATAGTTTGAAGCAGGCGGTAAAGGTGGTTTATGATGAATATTTGAATGTGCAGGAAGAGGTGGTGGCACTGCTGATTGAACGAGATATGCAGGAGGAGGTGGCTGTTGATAACTTGTTGATGGATATCCGTAGGGCGGATGGGGAACTTTTGCCATGTCATATTCATTACTTGAAACCTGCAATGATTACAATCGTTAATTATTTTATTTTGCTGATATTTATTTTGGAATTAAAATTGTTACCTTTACAGGTATGTGATTAACGGCTACTTTTGGATTCATAACTGGTGATTGTTGTAATTTTGCCCTTTTTTGTGGAGGAGGTGACGCTTTAATTAAAGACGCCTTACTCGGTGGTAATTGAGGAGGACTATCTGGTGCTTCTGATTTACCTTTTGGATTTTGATACAAATCAAGTACCTGTAAAACGTAATAAATTATGAATAACTTATACAGAATGTACCGAAGAGTTGACACTCACTTGATGGCATATATCCTCAAGGATATTTTTCGTCATGTCTTTTACAAACATATCCCACCATTTCTGATGATCTGGAACCCGTCCTTTCCAATCGACTACATCATATTTTGAAATCTTACATGCTAAATACATCATAGAAACAGCTATAATTTCTGGTTCCCATTGTAGACACAAAGTCGTTTCCAAAGAATCGTTGATAAAATTCCACGCTTTCTGGACCACTTGCTCTTTTGGCGTATTTCCATTACTTTTGAGACATTTTGCGTATTCAATTAAAAATCGATAAGGATGATCAATCTGAAGATCAAATTTAATAGTCTTTAAGAGTATTCTCTCCATTGTTACTACTTCCTCTTTCGGATCTTCACCAAATGACATCATTTTCTGACTAGTTAGTATGGTCGATGCCTTTTTGATTATATCCCTACATTTTTTTGGTGTCTCTTCCTATTGATTTTTTTTTTATTATTGTATGCATTTAATCACTTTCTTCACCAGATGATATAATTTTTAAGGACATTTCAATGATACTTACAACTTTTCCAGCGAGAAACAAACAGCTACAAGCTGTCACATATCTCGGAAACGTTCTGAACGAATGAAACATATAAAATCTATGTAGATAAACAATCGCTGTATGAATAGTAGAATATCCAAGGCCCATTAAATTTCCACATTCCTTAATGAAATTTGTTGCCTCACTGGAAGTATATAGTTAAAAAACTTGTAATTTCGTCATTAAATGATTTAAAAACATATTATTTATTTACCGACGATATCTTCGTTCAGTGTCAAATTCAACATTGTCTTTTCTTGACGGAGTATTCTTTAATTCCTCCTTTTCAAAATACCACCAAGGCATGCTGTTCCTATAAATAAGTATAACTAATCGGCACAATATTCCACAAATGAGCTATTTTTATAAAAAAAATTAATATTTTAAAGGAAATAATAAAATAAACTTTGTGTACCTACATTTATTACGCACAAATCAGCCAACCGTCATTTCCGAATTTTCGAACAGCACTCAACAACTCGAGATTAGACATTTGTTGTGCACTTCCGTGCTTACAACAATTTAATATGATGAAAAGTCAAGTGATCCAGTTTGTATGTTAAAAATTTTAAAGTTTTTCGAATGTACTTTAAAAAGTTTGTTGACAGTTAAATTATTAGTGTTGTTCCAAAAATAGGAACAAGAGTCGCGTGGAAGTCATTTTTCGAACATTGAAAAAAAAAATTTTTCTCAGATTTATCAGAATCAAAAAAAGCTATAAAGTTGACTCGATTTAAGGTATTTAAGGATTAAAAAATTAGTAAAAAATGCTCATCAAGGAATTGTAAGTAGTACTATTAAGAATGTGAAAAATTACATACAAGAAAAGTGATTGTGATGGAAAAATCAATTTTTGAAAAATCATTCAATTCTGTAATTACACAAGTACAATTTGTTCCAAATTTCTTAATTAACTTACTGTTTGCACGCATTTCAATGAAATACACAAATCATTTTCTCATGATCTTCAACATATGTACTACTTAATTTACATATAAAACGTGTCAAAAAAAGTAGTAAGGTTCCAACATCAAAAATTTGGAAAGGAAAAAAAATGTTATCTTTACTACATTCTACAAAAAAGATATCGCTAATTCGCTTACAATATCTGCAGCACTAAGGAATATTGTCAAGATAGCATTTATTTCATCATCAATAATCAAAGAGTGCAGCTATAAGCTAAAAAAAATGTAAACTGCACTATAAAAATGAGATGAAAAAAAAGAAAAAAAAAATCAATAAGAATAATCTTAGATATTATACGAGTGATTTCATAAAATGATCAAGGCTTTGTTTTATTAATTAATTAGAAGTGTAACGGCTATATTTTCGTGCGAAATTAGCAACCTTCAAAGACTGAACAACGAACATGATTCAACGCTAATGACGTCATCTACTATACTTTTCTCTCTTCTGTCTTCCCTCTTTTGCAAAATGTTCGCATCATGACTACGTCTGTTTTATCGAGAAAAACACCTGAGATAATACACATTGACATGTGACTCAGACAGTACTTAATATTAAGATACTAGGACTTGAGCAGTGGATTAACATTTTTTAATGATTATGATTTCAATTTACTTCCACTTTATTTTTTTGACATTGCGATAAACGTATAGGCACAGTATAATTAAAAATACATACTGATAATAATCTGTTTGCTTATAATTCTAGTCGAGTTACATTGCCATTGACCGTAGAAGAGGTGAGTAAATAACTAGTATTAAGAGATGCATTATCCGTAATGATAAAAATGTTGACATAGGTCAAGTCATTAGATTCTTTTTCTACTCAAACATGACTTTTTTTTGTGTTTGTCTTGATCATCGTCTGCATTTATTTTTAAACCAAATTAACTCATAATAATTACTTCGTCTTTGATTTCGCCTCATATAGTATCAAGTAGCACAACTGTATTCAGTTGCTGAAGTCTCAAAAAATGAAACAGGAGGTGGCGAAGGAATTGAAGTATTAAAAAATGAGCCATTCGAAAACTTTCCATTGCTTGGTAACATCCTTGATTTTCCCTCGTAAATGTTTAACCGAATAAAGTGCTTTTGTGCAATTATGCAGGTGGAAAATATTCATCAGGCCAGTATACTTATAAAATATATCATTTGGCATCGAAAGTTCCCACTATGATTCGGCTACTAGCTCCAAAAGGCTCATTAGAAATTCATGAGGAAGCTTGGAATGCATACCCGTACTGTAGAACAGTAATTACGGTAAGAATAGTCGACAATATGTATTACTTGTGGCATATAGTAACAATAATCTACGTCTTCATCCACAATATTTAAATTTCTAATACATCCATTAGCTAAGATGCTAAGTTTCATTTTTCGAAGAGTTGTGTAATTGTAATAAGTGATGTATTATTTTGATCAAAAAATCTTTTGAACTTAATTATTATAGAATCCTAAGTGGATGAAGGAGAAATTTTCATTGACAATCGAAACCCTTCATGCAAATGATTGTGGTGATAGTGAAAACGTAAGTAGTGAGAGGATTTTTGATTAATTGTAGTTTTTTTTTTCTTTCTTTTTCTTTGCTTTCCTTTTGCGCGCTGCTTCTATGTATAACACAAACTCAAACATGATAAAACTTCCTCTCCCCTTTGTTGATAACACACTTTGATAATAATTAATTATTGTAAAACCCTTAAAAATATTACGGACGATGGTGGTATTATGGCTGATAACACAAAAAACTCCACTTTATTATTTTCCTTAACCTTTCGATGTTGATTTTCTTAATGAATATATATATTGATGGATAAATTCTAAGAATCCTGGGTATATGAAAGAAAATTTTGTAATTTGCATCGAATCTTTGCACATCGGTGATACAGGAGATCAGGAAAACGTAAGATAAAGATCTTTTTTGGTGTTTAATTTATTTTATATGTAATTATTTGGTGTATGAAGCATGAAATTGTACAATATAATTTGGCTTTTGATTGGCGTAAAAGGGAAATTTTGTAAAACTTTGTAATAAATGTTAGAAACTCTGGTGACTTTTTGTACATATATACTTACTGCATTAGCAATGCCAATTAATATTTTGTTTTCCTTGCGTTTAATGCAAATAAATGCACAATAAATTAGGTTCATGAACTTACTGGAGAGAAATTAAAAATACGTGAAATCGTACATGTTGATATCGCAAATGATCATATTGCCTCTGCTGATTATCGTGAATCAGAAGATCCAACTAAGTGAGTATTAGATTGTTATTCCATTTGTGAATGATTTCTATTATGACTGATAATGAATAAATTGCAGATTTAAGTCAGTGAAAACAGGACGTGGACCTCTTTTGGGACCAGACTGGAAGAAAAAAGTCAACCCAGTGATGACATGCTATAAATTGGTTACATGTGAATTCAAATGGTTCGGTCTACAAACAAGAATAGAAAACTTTATTCAAAAATCTGAGCGTCGACTTTTCACAACGTTCCATAGGTGAGAGACTTAATTTAATTTGCTATATGTAAATATTGGTTTTTGAGATCGATGAAATAATTTATAATATGTATATTTTAGACAAGTTTTCTGCTGGATCGATAAATGGCACGGCCTTACAATGGAAGACATTCGAGCACTTGAAGATAAAACCAAAGACGAGTTGGACAAGCAAAGACAGTTAGGAGAGGTTCGAGGAATGCGCGGGGATGACGAATAAATTAATAATTCTCATCGCTGAGAATTTGTGAATGATTTCCATTATGATTCCTTTATTTTTTATTAAAAAGTTTCTTTTTATACTTTGGCTCAATTTAAATCTTCTTTTTTTATTAATTAATTAATTAATATACTTTGTGCTTCTTGGTTACTCTGTATTCCTTATTATTGTTTAAATAATCACAAACGGTTATTAAAAGTACTTTATTTTTCAAAAAAAAAAAACAAACATTTATGTTCCTTTGTACATAAATTAATCAAACACTTATTTTAATTCCTTTTATCGTTTTCACAAAAAGTTTTCCTTCTGAAATAAAACTAGACATCTTGAGCACATTCCCAGCTTAGGCATGATAAAAATAATCTACTGGATGTGTGCAATAAACAGCCTACTTACAATAATAATAGATATTGTGCCAAGACTAAGTCTGTTGAAATTAAGGAAGGAAAATATCAACGAATGTCTTTGAATTTGAAAAGAAATGTTAAACAATATGTTTTATGCTTTTCTTGTTTTTGCTTAGCCATTCCGCATTAGTCATTTCAGCACACATTTTGTTACACGCTTTTTTATCTTTTTTTTTTTTAAAAAAAATCTATTGTTAATTGCTTCTAAATGCAGGCTTTAAGCTTTTTCAAAGACAAAGAAGATGAAAAAAAAAAACTATTAATATAATGCTCGAATTATCTTGTTATATCTATGTTTAATTAGCAAATTCAACAAGGGATGGCAGTTAAACTGAACAGTATTTTGCTATATCCAACACAACAAAAAAATTATTCAATCAATGTGGTATAAAATGGTTAAAAACAAATTACAATTGAAAGATTATTTAATTAACAATAAAACATCAATTTAGGAATATATATATATTATATATATGAGAGATAAAACTATAAATTTAAAGAATATTAAAAGAAAAATTATATTACTTAGTGGAAATTTTTAGATGAAACTTTAAACCACAATGCATGAATGACTTAAATTATAAAGTTCATGCAATGAAAAAACATTGTTTAAAGAAAATGCTGTCCAAAAAAAAGAATAATAATAATACTATGTTAAAAGATGATCTTCAATATCTCAAAAATTCTTAGCGAGAATGCAACGTTGATAATTTGTTTTATGGATAATAAGAAAAAGTTATAAAAAAAATTATGTAGGATGAGTTGAAATAGCGATTCGAGAAAATTAGCTGCATAATCTGCAAATAAATGATGAACTAGGTGAAAAAATTAACATAACAATTCTAGAGATCATTGCACAATTACTGATACATTGGTTAATTATATTGTTTTTAATTGAAAAAAAGTTATTCTAGTGGGAATAAATCAAAAGTGGGACAGAACATTCGTCGATTAAGTTAGTATAAAGTTCTCGATTTTAAAAGAAAATGTATTCAATTTAACAAAATAAAAATAAAGAAAATTGTTCATTCATGAGATAAACTTTACAATTTTCATTTTTTACAGAAATAGCTGAATTTTTAACGAACTTTTTCATTTTAAAATATAAGTTGCTATTATTCGAAATTTTGGCTACACTGTACGAGATGGGGATTTTATTTTTGATTTTAAAAGTGTTTTCTTATTGCTTTTAATGTGTACATTTATAAAAACAAAAGTTATTGTGACGGAAACGCATTTGGAACAAAAAAATTTTTTTGCAGTTAATTTGCAGAAGGTTTGCAGTTGATCAAAACATTTTATTTTTGCAGGTGGTTTGCAGGAGGTTTGCAGTTGATCAAAACATTTTATTTTTGCAGGTGGTTTTCAGTTAATTTGCAGGAGGTTTGCAGTTGATCAAAAATTTTATTTTTGTAGGTGGTTTGCAGGAGGTTTGCAGTTGATCAAAAATTTTATTTTTTAAGGTGGTTTTCAGTTAATTTGCAGGAGGTTTGCAGTTGATCAAAAATTTTATTTTTGCAGGTGATTTGCAGGAGGTTTGCAGTTGATCAAAAATTTTATTTTTGCAGGTGGTTTGCAGGAGGTTTGCAGTTGATCAAAAATTTTATTTTTGCAGGTGGTTTGCTGGAAGTTTGCAGTTGATCAAAAATTTTTTTTTGCAGGTGGTTTGCAGGAGGTTTGCAGTTGATCAAAAATTTTATTTTTTAAGGTGGTTTTCAGTTAATTTGCAGGAGGTTTGCAGTTGATCAAAAATTTTATTTTTGCAGGTGATTTGCAGCAGGTTTGCAGTTGATCAAAACATTTAATTTTTGCAGGTGGTTTGCAGGAGGTTTGCAGTTGATCAAAAAATTTTGTTTTTGTATGTGGTTTGCAGGAAGTTTGCAGGAGGTTTGCAGGAGGTTTGCAGTTGATCAAAACATTTAATTTTTGCAGGTGGTTTGCAGGAGGTTTGCAGTTGATCAAAAAATTTTGTTTTTGTATGTGGTTTGCAGGAAGTTTGCAGGAGGTTTGCAGGAGGTTTGCAGTTGATCAAAAAATTTTATTTTTGCAGGAAGTTTGCAATTGATCAAAAAAAAAGTATTTTTGCAGGTGGTTTGCAGGAGGTTTGCAGTTGATCAAAACATTTTATTTTTGCAGGTGGTTTGCAGGAGGTTTGCAGTTGATCAAAAAATTTTATTTTTGCAGGAAGTTTGCAATTGATCAAAAAAAAGTATTTTTGCAGGTGGTTTGCAGGAGGTTTGCAGTTGATCAAAACATTTTATTTTTGCAGGTGGTTTGCAGGAGGTTTGCAGTTGATCAAAAAATTTTGTTTTTGAAGGTGGTTTGCAGAAAATTTGCAGTTGATCAAAAAAAAATTATTTTTGCAAGTGGGTTGCAGATGATTTGCAGTTGAGAAGTTTTATCTTTGCAAGTGGTTTGCAGGAAGTTTGCAGTTGATCAAAAAATTTTGTTTTTGCAAATGGGTTGCAGGTGGTTTGCAGTTGATCAAAACATTTTATTTTTGCAGGTGGTTTGCAGGAGTTTTGCAGTTGATCAAAATTTAATTTTTGCTGGTGATTTACAGGAAGTTTGCAGGTGATTTGCAGGAGGTTTGCAGTTGATCAAAAATTTTATCTTTGCAGGTGGTTTGCAGTTAATTTGCAGGCGGTTTGCAGTTGATCAAAAAAATTTTATTTTTGCAGGTGGTTTGTAGGAGATTTGCAGTTGATCAAAAAATTTTGTTTTTGCAAATGGGTTGCAGGTGGTTTGCAGTTGATCAAAAAAAAGTATTTTTGCAGGTGGTTTGCAGGAGGTTTGCAGTTGATCAAAACATTTTATTTTTGCAGGTGGTTTGCAGGAGTTTTGCAGTTGATCAAAATTTAATTTTTGCTGGTGATTTACAGGAAGTTTGCAGGTGATTTGCAGGAGGTTTGCAGTTGATCAAAAATTTTATTTTTGCAGGTGGTTTTCAGTTAATTTGCAGGAGGTTTGCAGTTGATCAAAAAATTTTATTTTTGCAGGTGGTTTGCAGGAGGTTTGCAGTTGATCAAAAAAGTATTTTTGCAGGTGGTTTGCAGGAGGTTTGCAGTTGATCAAAAATTTTATTTTTGAAGGTGGTTTTCAGTTAATTTGCAGGAGGTTTGCAGTTGATCAAAAATTTTATTTTTGCAGGTGATTTGCAGGAGGTTTGCAGTTGATCAAAATATTTTATTTTTGCAGATGGTTTGCAGGAGGTTTGCAGTTGATCAAAAATTTTATTTTTGCAGGTGATTTGCAGGAGGTTTGCAGTTGATCAAAACATTTTATTTTTGCAGGTGGTTTTCAGGAGGTTTGCAGTTGATCAAAAATTTTTGTTTTTGCAAATGGGTTGCATATGATTTGCAGTTGATCAATAAGTTTTATTTTTGCAGGTGGTTTGTAGGAGATTTGCAGTTGATCAAAAAATTTTGTTTTTGCAAATGGGTTGCAGGTGGTTTGCAGTTGATCAAAAAAAAGTATTTTTGCAGGTGGTTTGCAGGAGGTTTGCAGTTGATCAAAACATTTTATTTTTGCAGGTGGTTTTCAGTTAATTTGCAGGAGGTTTGCAGTTGATCAAAAAATTTTATTTTTGCAGGTGGTTTGCAGGAGGTTTGCAGTTGATCAAAAAAGTATTTTTGCAGGTGGTTTGCAGGAGGTTTGCAGTTGATCAAAAATTTTATTTTTGCAGGTGATTTGCAGGAGGTTTGCAGTTGATCAAAATATTTTATTTTTGCAGATAGTTTGCAGGAGGTTTGCAGTTGATCAAAAATTTTATTTTTGCAGGTGATTTGCAGGAGGTTTGCAGTTGATCAAAACATTTTATTTTTGCAGGTGGTTTGCAGGAGGTTTGCAGTTGATCAAAAATTTTTGTTTTTGCAAATGGGTTGCATTTGATTTGCAGTTGATCAATAAGTTTTATTTTTGCAGGTGGTTTGTAGGAGATTTGCAGTTGATCAAAAAATTTTGTTTTTGCAAATGGGTTGCAGGTGGTTTGCAGTTGATCAAAAAAAAGTATTTTTGCAGGTGGTTTGCAGGAGGTTTCCAGTTGATCAAAAAATTTTGTTTTTGCAAATGGGTTGCAGGTGGTTTGCAGTTGATCAAAAAAAAGTATTTTTGCAGGTGGTTTGCAGGAGGTTTCCAGTTGATCAAAAAATTTTGTTTTTGCAGGTGGTTTGCAGGAAATTTGCAGTTGATCAAAAAAAATTATTTTTGCAAGTGGATTGCAGTTGATTTGCAGTTGAGAAGTTTTATCTTTGCAAATGGTTTGCAGGAGGTTTGCAGTTGATCAAAAATTTTATTTTTGCGGGTGATTTGCAAGAGGTTTGCAGTTGATCAAAACATTTTATTTTTGCAGATGGTTTGCAGGAGGTTTGCAGTTGATCAAAAATTTTATTTTTGCAGGTGATTTGCAGGAGGTTTGCAGTTGATCAAAACATTTTATTTTTGCAGGTGGTTTGCAGGAGGTTTGCAGTTGATCAAAAATTTTTGTTTTTGCAAATGGGTTGCATTTGATTTGCAGTTGATCAATAAGTTTTATTTTTGCAGGTGGTTTGTAGGAGATTTGCAGTTGATCAAAAAATTTTGTTTTTGCAAATGGGTTGCAGGTGGTTTGCAGTTGATCAAAAAAAAGTATTTTTGCAGGTGGTTTGCAGGAGGTTTCCAGTTGATCAAAAAATTTTGTTTTTGCAGGTGGTTTGCAGGAAATTTGCAGTTGATCAAAAAAAATTATTTTTGCAAGTGGATTGCAGTTGATTTGCAGTTGAGAAGTTTTATCTTTGCAAATGGTTTGCAGGAGGTTTGCAGTTGATCAAAAATTTTATTTTTGCGGGTGATTTGCAAGAGGTTTGCAGTTGATCAAAACATTTTATTTTTGCAGATGGTTTGCAGGAGGTTTGCAGTTGATCAAAAATTTTATTTTTGCAGGTGGTTTGCAGGAGGTTTGCAGTTGATCAAAACATTTTATTTTTGCAGGTGGTTTGCAGGAGGTTTGCAGTTGATCAAAAATTTTATTTTTGCAGGTGGTTTGCAGGAGGTTTGCAGTTGATCAAAAATTTTATTTTTAAAGGTGGTTTTCAGTTAATTTGCAGGAGGTTTGCAGTTGATTAAAAACATTTTATTTTTGCAGGTGGTTTGCAGGAGGTTTGCAGTTGATCAAAATTTTATTTTTGCAGCTGATTTGCGAAGGTTTGCAGTTGATAAAAACATTTTATTTTTGCAGGTGGTTTGCAGGAAGTTTGCAGTTGATCAAAAAAATTTATTTTTGCAAATAGGTTGCAGTTGATTTGCAGTTGAGATGTTTTATCTTTGCAGGTGGTTTGCAGGAACATTGCAGTCGATCAAAAAAATTTATTTTTGCAAATGGGTTGCAGTTTATTTGCAGTTGAGAAGTTTTATCTTTGCAGGAAATTTGCAGTTGATCAAAAAAAATTATTTTTGCAATTGGGTTGCAGGAGGTTTGCAGTTGATCAAAAAATTTTATTTTTGCAGGTGGTTTGCAGGAGGTTTGCAGTTGATCAAAAATTTTATTTTTGCAGGTGGTTTTTAGTTAATTTGCAGGAGGTTTGCAGTTGATCAAAAAATTTATTTTTGCAGGTGATTTGCAGGAGGTTTGCAGTTGATCAAAACATTTTATTTTTGCTGATGGTTTGCAGGAGGTTTGCAGTTGATCAAAAATTTTATTTTTGCAGGTGGTTTGCAGGAAGTTTGCAGTTGATCAAAAAAATTTATTTTTGCAAATGGGTTGCATTTGATTTGCAGTTGATCAATAAGTTTTATTTTTGCAGGTGGTTTGGAGGAGATTTGCAGCTGTTAAAAAAATTTTGTTTTTTCAAATGGGTTGCAGGTGGTTTGCAGTTGATCAAAAAAAAGTATTTTTGCAGGTGGTTTGCAGGAGGTTTGCAGTTGATCAAAACATTTTATTTTTGCAGGTGGTTTGCAGGAGGTTTGCAGTTGATCAAAAATTTTTGTTTTTGCAAATGGGTTGCATTTGATTTGCAGTTGATCAATAAGTTTTATTTTTGCAGGTGGTTTGTAGGAGATTTGCAGTTGATCAAAAAATTTTGTTTTTGCAAATGGGTTGCAGGTGGTTTGCAGTTGATCAAAAAAAAGTATTTTTGCAGGTGGTTTGCAGGAGGTTTCCAGTTGATCAAAAAATTTTGTTTTTGCAGGTGGTTTGCAGGAAATTTGCAGTTGATCAAAAAAAATTATTTTTGCAAGTGGATTGCAGTTGATTTGCAGTTGAGAAGTTTTATCTTTGCGGGTGGTTTGCAGGAGGTTTGCAGTTGATCAAAAATTTTATTATTGCAGGTGATTTGCAGGAGGTTTGCAGTTGATCAAAACATTTTATTTTTGCAGATGGTTTGCAGGAGGTTTGCAGTTGATCAAAAATTTTATTTTTGCAGGTGATTTGCAGGAGGTTTGCAGTTGATCAAAACATTTTATTTTTGCAGATGGTTTGCAGGAGGTTTGCAGTTGATCAAAAATTTCATTTTTGCAGGTGGTTTGCAGGAAGTTTGCAGTTGATCAAAAAAATTTATTTTTGCAAATGGGTTGCATTTGATTTGCAGTTGATCAATAAGTTTTATTTTTGCAGGTGGTTTGGAGGAGATTTGCAGTTGTTAAAAAAATTTTGTTTTTGCAAATGGGTTGCAGGTGGTTTGCAGTTGATCAAAAAAAAGTATTTTTGCAGGTGGTTTGCAGGAGGTTTGCAGTTGATCAAAATTTAATTTTTGCAGGTGATTTGCAGGAGGTATGCAGTTGATCAAAACATTTAATTTTTGCAGGTAGTATTCAGTTAATTTGCAGGAGGTTTGCAGTTGATCAAAAAATTTTATTTTTGCAGGTGGTTTGCAGGAAGTTTGTAGTTGATCAAAAAAAATTTTTTTTTGCAAATGGGTTGCAGTTGATTTGCAGTTGAGAAGTTTTATCTTTGCAGGAGGTTTGCAGTTAATCAAAAAAAGTATTTTTGCAGGTGGTTTGCAGGAGGTTTGCAGTTGAGAAGTTTTATTTTTTCAGGTGGTTTGCAGAAGGCTTGCAGTTGATCAAAAAAAATTATTTTTGCATGAGGTTTGCAGTTAATCAAAAAAATTTATTTTTGCAGGAGATTTGCAGTTGATCAAAAAATTTTGTTTTTGCAGGTGATTTGCAGGAGGTTTGCAGTTGATCAAAAAAAATTATTTTTGCAGAAGGTTTGTAGTTGATCAAAAAAATTAATTTTTGCAGGAGTTTTGCAGTTGTTAAAAAAATTTTATTTTTGCAGGTGGTTTGCAGGTGGTTTGCAGTTGATCAAAACATTTTATTTTTGCAGGTGGTTTGCATGAGGTTTGCAGTTGATCAAAAATTTTATTTTTGCAGGTGGTTTTCAGTTAATTTGCAGGAGGTTTGCAGTTGATCAAAAAATTTTATTTTTGCAGGTGGTTTGCAGGAAGTTTGCAGTTGATCAAAAAAATTTGTTTTTGCAAATGGGTTGCAGTTGGTTTGCAGTTGAAAAAATTTATCTTTGCCGGTGGTTTGCAGGAAATTTGCAGTTGATCAAAAAAATTTATTTTTGCAAATGGGTTGCAGGTGGTTTGCAGTTGATCAAAAAATTTTATTTTTGCAGGTGGTTTGCAGGAAGTTTGCAGTTGATCAAAAAAATTTATTTTTGCAAATGGGTTGCAGTTGATTTGCAGTTGAGAAGTTTTATCTTTGCAGGAAATTTGCAGTTGATCAAAAAAAATTATTTTTGCAAGTGGATTGCAGTTGATTTGCAGTTGAGAAGTTTTATCTTTGCAAGTGGTTAGCAGGAAGTTTGCAGTTGATCAAAAAATTTTGTTTTTGCAGGTAGTTTTCAGTTAATTTGCAGGAGGTTTGCAGTTGATCAAAAAATTTTCTTTTTGCAGGTGGTTTGCAGGAAGTTTGCAGTTGATCAAAACATTTCATTTTTGCAGGTGGTTTGCAGTTGATCCAAAAAAAGTATTTTTGCAGGTGATTTGTAGGAGGTTTACAGTTGATCAAAAGATTTTATTTTTGCAGGTGGTTTTTAGGAGGTTTGCAGTTGATCACAAATTTGATTTTTGCAGGTAGTTTTCAGTTAATTTGCAGGAGGTTTGCAGTTGATCAAAAAATTTTATTTTTGCAGGTGGTTTGCAGGAAGTTTGCAGTTGATCAAAAAAATTTATTTTTGCGAATGGGTTGCAGTTGATTAGCAGTTGAGAAGTTTTATCTTTGCAGGAGGTTTGCAGTTGATCAAAAAAATTTATTTTTGCAAATGGGTTGCAGGTGGTTTGCAGTTGATCAAAAAATTTTGTTTTTGCAGGTGGTTTGCAGGAAATTTGCAGTTGATCAAAAAAATTTATTTTTGCAAATGGGTTGCATTTGATTTGCAGTTGATCAATAAGTTTTATTTTTGCAGGTAGTTTGTAGGAGATTTGCAGTTGTTAAAAAAATTTTGTTTTTGCAAATGGGTTGCAGTTGGTTTGCAGTTGAAAAGTTTTATCTTTGCAGGTGGTTTGCAGGAAATTTGCAGTTGATCAAAAAAATTTATTTTTGCAAATGGGTTGCAGGTGGTTTGCAGTTGATCAAAAAATTTTATTTTTGCAGGTGGTTTGCAGGAGGTTTGCGGTTGATCAAAAATTTTATTTTTACAGGTAGTTTTCACTTAATTTGCAGGAGGTTTGCAGTTGATCAAAAAAATTTATTTTTGCAGGTGGTTTGCAGGAAGTTTGCAGTTGATCAAAAAAATTTATTTTTGCAAATGGGTTGCAGTTGATTTGCAGTTGAGAAGTTTTATCTTTGCAGGAAATTTGCAGTTGATCAAAAAAAATTATTTTTGCAAGTGGGTTGCAGTTGATTTGCAGTTGAGAAGTTTTATCTTTGCAAGTGGTTTGCAGGAAGTTTGCAGTTGATCAAAAAATTTTGTTTTTGCAGGTAGTTTTCAGTAAATTTGCAGGAGGTTTGCAGTTGATCAAAACATTTTATTTTTGCAGGTGGTTTGCAGGAGGTTTGCAGTTGATCACATATTTTATTTTTGCAGGTGGTTTTCAGTTAATTTGCAGGAGGTTTGCAGTTGATCAAAAAAAATTATTTTTGCAGGTGGTTTGCAGGAAGTTTGCAGTTGATCTAAAGTTCTTTTTCGGAATTAAATTTCGAACGTTTTTGAAGAATTTAAAGTTTTTGAAAATGAATATCCTTGTTTGGTGCTTTTTCCAATCATAATAATACACTACATTAATTAAACTATAAAGTACTTAATAGACAAAAGATAAAACAATAAAATAATGTATCCATATATAAAATGCACTCAAGAGAAAGAACAGAAGGTATGTGCTCAGCGTGGAAGTCATAACGACAAAAAAATATTCGAAAATCAGCAACACCGCGCCGTTTAAAAAAGTTTGAATTAAAACTGAAGCTTGAATAATAAATTGCGAATAAAAAGTATAATTAAATAATTTAAGCGTACAATAGAAAGATAATAATAATCAAAATGTCATCATCAGCAGCACAAATATATTATAGCGATAAATACGAAGATGAGGAGTATGAATATCGGTGGGTAATTGTAAAAATATAAAAAAATTTCGTTATTAAAACATCCTGTTCATATTTTAGTCATGTTATGCTGCCAAAAGACCTAGCTCGTTTGGTTCCAAAAAGTCATCTGATGTCGGAGAATGAGTGGAGAGCAATTGGTGTTCAACAGTCGCGTGGATGGGTACTTAATTACAAAAGTTTTTTTTCCATTCTGGAAGTTTAATATAATATCCTGTATGTTTTTCTATCAAGGTACACTATATGATGCATCATCCTGAACCTCACATCTTGCTCTTTCGACGAAAACTTAACAAATAAGTAATTCGCATTGTACAATTATTAATCTCTCGTTATTATGTGCCTCAATCGAACAAAAAACAAAAACAAAAAAATACTTTATCTTTTGAATAATACTATAAAGTAATTCTCTTCAATGATATGATAGATTTAAGTCACTTATTCAAAGAATCTAGATTTCATCATCTTTGGATCTTCTCAGCTTTGAGTATGAAGGAAATGTAAATGGGATAAACTAATTAATAATAATAATAATAATAATATGTTTAATTAATAATTATTATAAAGATGATTTTGGAAATAGATAGATTCTTCGCTCATACATAAATCGCTAATTAATAAAATGTTATTTTTATATGTATAAATGCCTTTATGTCGTGTCTTTTTTCATTGTCAATCATTTGACAACGTGAATTAAATTATCTTGAAGTTTTTCAGGACGATAAAATATCACAACGGACTTTATTTGAAATAGCTTAGTGACGGGCTTTATAGCAAGTTTTTTATAAGCTCAATATTCTATAAAATCTTTTACGGACCATAACAGTTCCTGTTCTGATCCTTACATCCTCAAACTTCTTAGGATGACTTAAATTAAAGTTTTATGAGACCACCAAATATACATATTCCTAGCCAGAGTTGCGACGACAGGTACCTGTCACAGGTAAAGGTGACAGTTTCTGTCAAAAGATCACCTGTCACAGGCCGTTACCTGTTCACAGGTTAAATTTTTTTGCCTATCACAGGTCTGACCTGTCAAAGGTTCTGCCTGTCACAGGCCGTTACCTGTTCACAGGTCAATTTTTTTCGCCTGTCACAGGTCTGACCTGTCAAAGGTTCTGCCTGTCACAGGTCGTTACCTGTTCACAGGTCAATTTTTTCCACCTGTCACAGCTCTGACCTGTCAAAGGTTCTACCTGTCACAGGTCGTTACCTGTTCACAGGTCAATTTTTTCCACCTGTCACAGCTCTGACCTGTCGCAGGCCTCACCTGTGACAGGTCGTCACCTGTTGACAGGTAGAAAAAATCTACCTGTCACAGGTTGATCTGTCACCTGTCACCTGTCACCTTTGACTATCGAAATTTTTTTCTTCTAGTGAAGTATAAAGATTTCATACAAAATTCATCAATTTTTTTGCTTCCTCAAGTCACGAGTTCAAATCTCACCGCAAGCAACTTTCTTTTTTTGCATTTTTATGATTTGTTTTTAAACTTTTTTGATAAAATATAAAGTTTTATGACAAAGTTTTCCATTTTCATATTTTATTTCTTCACTTTCTATATTTTAACATGTATTTTAAATTTTTTCCATATATTTTCATACAAATTCAACTTTTTTTGTCATATTTTAGTTTACCAAGTTGAAATCTGACACAAAGGCACTTTTCCTAGATCTGGATGTTCTTAAATCGTAATCTTGGATTATAATTTATTATATATTTCGACTTTTTGCGGTCTCGAATGACAAAGTCTATACTAGTTTTAATATTTTATGCCATTTTATTATCCAAGATTACGATTTAAGAACATCCAGATCTAGGAAAAGTGCCTTTGTGTCAGATTTCAACTTGGTAAACTAAAATATGACAAAAAAAGTTGAATTTGTATGAAAATATATGGAAAAAATTTAAAATACATGTTAAAATATAGAAAGTGAAGAAATAAAATATGAAAATGGAAAACTTTGTCATAAAACTTTATATGTTATCAAAAAAGTTTAAAAACAAATCATAAAAATGCAAAAAAAGAAAGTTGCTTGCGGTGAGATTTGAACTCGTGACTTGAGGAAGCAAAAAAATTGATGAATTTTGTATGAAATCTTTATACTTCACTAGAAGAAAAAAATTTCGATAGTCAAAGGTGACAGGTGACAGGTGACAGGTCAACCTGTGACAGGTAGATTTTTTCTACCTGTCAACAGGTGACGACCTGTCACAGGTGAGGCCTGCGACAGGTCAGAGCTGTGACAGGTGGAAAAAATTGACCTGTGAACAGGTAACGACCTGTGACAGGTAGAACCTTTGACAGGTCAGACCTGTGACAGGCGAAAAAAATTGACCTGTGAACAGGTAACGACCTGTGACAGGCAGAACCTTTGACAGGTCAGACCTGTGACAGTCAAAAAAAAATTGACCTGTGAACAGGTAACGGCCTGTGACAGGTAGAACCTTTGACAGGTCAGACCTGTGATAGGCGAAAAAATTTGACCTGTGAACAGGTAACGGCCTGTGACAGGTGGGCTGTTTTTGTTGACCTGTGACAGATCGCAACTCTGTTCCTAGCTATCTTCAGTAGCTTTTTAGAGTAACGGTCTTTTGAAATTTGAATTTCTCCTGAACATTGAACATTGAAAAAAATATTGATTTTTCACAGAATTTGTTCTTACAAGTCATTAAATATATAAAATTAAGTCTGTGACTGACAAGTTCTCTGATCTTTAAAGGTTGGAAGTACTTGTTGGAGATTTTGTCAAAGCCTGTGTTTAAGTTTACTTATAAGATCATTAAAATCATATTGAAATTGAACGATAATATTTGCAAGTCAAAATTTTCTTGAAAAATTCTGAAGAAAATATAGTAATTGACTATGAATCCCCATGATCCATTTTTGGTGACAGCAAAAGAAAAGTTCCGCTTTGAGCAGCAGTTTAATGCACTAGGACCTATAAATGGATTTGTGACTGGAGTGCAAGCAAAAGATTTTTTTCTAAAATCAGGCTTATCGCCTTTAATTTTGGGACAGATATGGTGAGTAGTAGAAGAGGAATGTGAGGAGGAAATGAATCTAAAATTATTATTTACTTATCTTCATAAAGGGCACTTGCTGATACGGATGCTGATGGGAAAATGAACATCATTGAGTTTAGTATTGCATGCAAATTAATAAGTTCAAAATTAAGAAATGTAGAAGTTCCAAAGCTACTTCCACCGACATTATTAGCATCTCTTCAGCACATTGGAACGCCGATACGAACACCAACAGGCACAATGTCACCGACTGAAGGCTATAAACAATTTCTTACACAACAACCATACACAAATGCCCAGCAACAGCCACAAATTATGCCACAGGCAGCTACAAATACTGTTCAAATGATGACACAGCAACAATATCAGCCTCAACAAATTATCCAGAATCAGCAACCATTAATTATGCAGTCTCAACCAAATATCGTTCCAATGATGAGTCAAGGAATAATTACAACATCAGTAGCTCAGCCTGTAATGATTCCACAACAAACAATGCCTGTTCAGGCAATGCCACAGCAAGTTATGATGACACAAGCGCCTCAACAAATAATGGTTCAACCACAGGCTATTATTCAGCCACAACAAATACCACAAGTATCGCCCATACAATCAGCAGTTCAAATGCAGCCGACAGTCATGCAGCAAGCACCTTTAATGACATCAGCAATAATTCCACCAATTCAATCAGTCATTCCTCAGCCTCCAGTTGTTCCAAAGCCACCATCAATTGAACAATTGAGCAATAGCTCTCTTCTCGATTCATTAGCTCAAGTTCAAGCTCCAGTTGTCGCTAATATTCCTGCAGCTCCAACACCCACGCCTCCTCAAAGTGGACATGCTAGTCGTTCTATGTCATTTTCAGAAAAAGTGCCATCAGTTCCAGAATCACCGTAAGTTTATCATCATTGTCTGTTTTAAGTAATAACCGTTGTTCTTTATAGAGGTGAGTGGGCCATTCCGCAATCATCAAAGCTCAAATATACGCAAATGTTTAATGCTGCCGATAAATCTCGCACTGGATTTTTAACTGGAACTCAAGCACGTGGAATATTGCTTCAAACGAATGTTCCAAATAATATACTTGCAAAGATTTGGGCAATGTCTGATCGTGATTCGGATGGACGATTGGGATGTGAGGAATTTGTTTTAGCACTATATTTGTGCGAAATGTACTCGACAGGAAAACCAATTCCAACAGAACTTCCATACGATTTAATTCCACCTTCATTCCGTAAAGTTCCTTCACGTCAAGGATCTCAAGCAGGCTCAAGACATGGTTCAGTTTCTTCACAAGGTGGTGGAGCAATCACAGACATCGACATAATGGCAGGCATGTCTCAATGTAAGATCAAATAAAATTCATTCGTTTATGAGCTTATAGGTATTTTTTTTTTCTTTTTATGAATTGATAAAAATGCAGCGTCGTTTGAAGATAAAAGGAAGGAGAATTATGATAAGGGTCAGGCTGAACTGGAACGAAGACGAAAAGCATTGGCTGATATGCAAAAGAAGGAGCAAGAAGAGCGTGAAAGAAAAGAACGAGATGAAGCAGACAAGAGAGAAAAAGTAGCTTTTTTTTATCAATATCCTAATCATGTACGATTTTTAACTTCTTTGATTTGCTCTTATAGGCAAGATTGGAAGCCGAATTAAAGAAACAACAAGAAATTGAACGTGAAGTTCAGCGTCAAAAAGAGTTGGAACAGGAACGAGAGGAACAACGTAAACGTGAATTGGAGAAAAAAGAGCAAGCCAGAAAGTGCGTTTGATTTCTATAATAACTCATAAAATTGTTAAGTATAATGCTATTTCATTTTAGGGAGATGGAAAAGCAAAGGCAGCTCGAATGGGAAGGACAAAAATTGCAAGAAATGGAACAAGAAAGGCAAAAGGAGCAGGATCGTCTACTTAAGCTTAAAGGACACAATCAAACATTAACCATCGAATTAGAAAGTCTAAGTACCAAAGTTAAAGAATTATCACAGAAAATTTGTGACACACGCGTTGCAGTGACCAATGTTAAAACCGTGATTGATGGAATGAGAAGCACTCGTGATACGTGCGTAAGCGAACAGTCGTTATATAAATCGAAAATTAAGGAACAGAATGCCAAATTGGTTCAGTTAAGTCAGGATAAGGCAAAGCTCGATGCTAAGAATAAAATACACTCATCCTCAGATGATCAAGCAGTGTTCACAAACAAACAGGTATGCTTAGAAAATCGAAAATATTCAATAAATATACATATAAACATAGTTATATCTATATTTATTTTATTCATTTATTAATGCTTTCATCACAGATCAACATAAAGCAATTAAAAGACAAAATAGAAAATTTAAAACAAGAAATTGAAGAGAAATCTGGTGACGTGAATACACACAATGAACAGAAAAGTGAATTGCGCAATGAACTGCAAGATTTGATAACGAATTGCGAGCAACTATATAGTGAATATGATACCACTAGAATTCAAGTATGTTTATATAATTTTATGTCTATAATATCAATCTAAATATAGATTTCAATTCCAATTAGGTTCTTGAGTTAAGGAATAACCGCAAAAACGATACATTCACATCAGCGTGGGATACATCAGCGCCTACAGCAAATTCATGGGCTACAGAAAGTAACCAAAATGCCACTGAACCAGCTCATCATTCCGTAGTTACTAATGCTTCCTATGAAGCAGATGCATCTAATTACGTACGATTTAAGGCAGTCTATGAGTTCAGTGCTAGAAATAATGATGAAATATCGTTTCAACCTGGTGATATTATTATGGTAAGGATCGATATTCCTTTCCTTCAAGGTTATTCCAATGTATTTTTAAACCCAAACAATGCATTCTTTTTATTGTCAGGTTCTAGGCAATCAAAACACAGAGCCTGGATGGCTGGCTGGAGAAATTAATGGTCACACGGGATGGTTTCCTGAATCTTATGCTGAAAAGTGTGATGATGAAGTAGAAGTTGCTGTTGAAGAAACAGTTATAAATGAACCACAATCAAAGTATGTATTCGTAATAATTTTGTTGCCATTAATGACGTTTATATAAATTTAACAGTGAACCAACCATAGAGGCTAATACTTTAAATGGAGATGACGTTGAAGGAGAGTTATATGTTTCATGTTATCCATATCAATCTGCAGAAGTTGGAGATCTCACGTTTGAAGCAGGCGAAGACGTAAAAGTTATTAAAAAAGAAGGCGATTGGTGGACTGGAGTTATTGGAACTCGTTCAGGAATATTTCCGGCAAATTATGTTCAACCCATTACTACTGACAATAACAACACTGACATAAAAAATAATATCATAGAAAATGACCTTAGTAAAATGAATATAAATGGTAATTCACAAGAACAGCCACAAACACCAACAAATCTATTGAGTGCAGCAGAAGAAGCAGACGCTAAAATACAGGCTGATGCTGATTCAGAAGTTTCACAAATCAATACTCAAAACGTCACAAATGATGCAAGCATGCAAGAATTCCGTGGAATGACGTCATCCGCTGTAAGAAAAAAAAATTTATTATTTTGTGAATCTCATGAAATATTTATAATTTTTTTCTTCTTTTTAATTATGCCATTAAGCAGAGCCTTCGAGGAAAGAAGGGCGAAGTAGCACAAGTTATAGCACCCTATGAAGCAACAAGTAGTGAGCAATTGTCACTGCAAAAAGGACAGTTGATAATGATTAGGAAAAGGTCAGAATCTGGATGGTGGGAAGGGGAATTGCAGGTAAAATATTTTAAATTCCACAATGAGAACTATTTTTAAAACACATTAAATTTCAATTGCAATATAGTCCAAAGGTCGTCGTCGACAACTTGGCTGGTTTCCAGCTACTTATGTGAAAATTCTTGCTGGGGGACGAATGAGTGGGAGATCAACGCCTCTCTCATCTTCTAAAATTGATCTTCATGAAGCTGTCATCGGTATGTTAAAGTCTTTGAAGCTGTTTGAAAAAGTTTTACCAATTTGTTTTTTGTTGCAGACAAAGTTCAGGCAATGTATCCTTATCGAGCGTTAAACGACGATGAGTTGAGCTTCGAACCAGACGACATAATAAGTGTTACATCTAGAGACGAGCCTGATTGGTGGAAGGGAGAGCTGAATGGTATTACTGGTCTTTTCCCTAGTAATTATGTCAGGGCGTTTGTGTCGTCAGGTAAGAAATCATAGAGACTTCTCTACTACTATTACTATTTATATTAATCTAAAATATTTCGCGTACTTCGTTTGTGATAATTTAAAATTTATTTTACTATGTTTTGTTTCACATTCATGTCTACACAATTTATTATTGTTTCCTATTTTTGTAATTTAAAAAATAAGAATATTCAATAATTAATGATCCCAAATATTTTTCATTCATTTATTCATTTCTTCATGCCTACTGAAAAAATAACTTTGTTCTGAATGACAAGCAGGTAACATGTAAGACTAGCATTTGACAAAATAATCGAAGTATTTTGTTATTTGATTGATTTCAATCATATTTAATATAAATGAGATATAATTTACGTATGATACAATTCATAACAACGTTTTGCCATCAGCTGTTCTAATAATAAATAATAATATGAAAAAAATGATGATGAGTATATTTAAAAGAATTATTAATCCCGAACAAGTTAAATATACATACAAAAAAAAATATATATATATATATATACATATAAATAGGTAAAAATCATCCAAGTCGTAAAAACAAAATATTTGTTAAAGCGCTTAAAACGTGCATATATGAAGCACAAAAAGTAAATTAAACATTCCATTAATCTCAGAAAGTTGTGCATTTTTCCAATCTGAATATTTTTGCGCAAAAGCTTTCAGTTAATGGCTGCTGCTTGTGAATGAATGAAACGTTTGTGCTACTTTAATTAATCTAACTCGAGTTCATTGATATGTTGTTTAAAACATTTTTAGAAAGTCCCTAAAGAAATTAACTCAATCCTTATGCATTCTATTATCATTATCATTAGGAAATTTATGATGCTAAAGTAATGCGAGTATATTTATGTCGAGAAAGTAAGGAAAATTTAAAAAAAAAAAAATGAAAAAAACTTTAGATATCAGCGGTAAAATTGTCAAAATAAATAAAATAATAGGAAATACATTTATTTAATAAACTTAATTAACGTTAACGTTCTATTTAGATGACATAAGCGCATTTTTGCTTGTCTGATCAGAAATTGTTGTAACGATTTCCTGAACATCAAATGAGAGGATAAATTCAAATATTTAAGCATTCCAAGCTCGAAATCAAAATGTTATATATTTTTTTCATTAAAAAACAATGTGAATTTCTTAGCATCTTAAAACATCTCACACCGCACTGATACAGCAAAAACTATGAAGATGCTTTTACTGCATGTTGATCTACTTTCTTAGACTTATTTTTATAAAAATCTTCAAAACAAATTCTAAACACACGTTTTCAAACTTCCAATATTCTTATCAAAAACATCACATAAAAGAGTAAGGATGAGACTGTATCAATTTACTTCTCGAATTATAGACTTCAAATCATATAAAATCTCAAGAAATGAGCTACTTTCAAATGTGTATGGCTCAAGAAAACACACTCACGTGTCTCATGAAGTAAGTCGAAAAAAAAATCATTCGGAAATGCTGAGACGAAGAATTTGAACTTATCTACTCACTATAAAACTCCCCTATTTCAGTTATACTGAACCAATTTTGTTTTTCACAACATCACATCCTCAAATTTTTATAGTTAATTAAAATCTGTTTAGGTTTAAATCAAGTTCCACAGGATATAACAGTCAGTATAACTTAAGATAATAGCATAGCACTTAATTTGCAAAAAATGCGCTGAGCCCATTAGATTGAGGATATTCATTTCTTACGTTGCTATATTTCCGTAAATTTAATTGTAAAATACGAATTGAAATGCTTTGTTAAATTGAAAATATTTATTATTGTGAGTTAATCAGCAATATTATTAACATAATATTTTTATTATTGATTTACTCATTATGAGACTATTGCCCTGTATTGTATAATTTACGATTAAAGCCTTTTTGTATATTTGCGAAACGAAAGGGAATTTCATTAATAAAAAAAAAAACACAATAAAATAATTAAGAGTTATGTTAAGACGGACGGATATTAAGCAAAGGAATTTAGTTGATTGGAGTTGTTAGTAATCTTGTTGATCTTATAAATTTTCAAATTGTTCAAAGACATGATAATTATAAATACATATATCTATATTTATTAATAGCAAACAAATAAAAAGGAAGTAAACTTTCATCGAAAAATCATTCTCTCTTAACTTTGATCCACCTAGATAAAAAATCAATAAAGGAAAGTATCTTATGCAATAACTGACATTAGTAAATTTAATGAAATTAAATTTTTTGAGTCTCCTTTATTCTTCTTCGCGATTTCATCAAAAAAAAATATTTATTGAACGAATGATTCAAGACAAGAGAACTCCTTATATAAATTCAGACATTACAGATATGTATTATGGATAAAAAATATAGATGGGATACAAACAAAATCACAATTTAATGTATTCATAACCAAAGTGTGAAAGAAGAAAATCGAAAAAAAAAATCATGTTGTACTATAAAGTATATACTCAGCTTTCAATAGTAATAACATAATCATCAATATTATTATTACGAAACAAATGAACTATATATCAAAAAGCGATTTAAGTAATTATACATACATGTTTCAAAACAAAAGTCGGCTAGACATTATAAAAATTTAAAAAGAAAAAGATGAAAAAAAAATATATTATAAAATGATACCAACAAAAAATTAAATGGATTGAAATATACTAAATAAATAAAAATGAAAATTATGTCCACTATTAAATATGTTAAAAGTTTCAGGAGAAAACAAATTACACAACACCTAAAAATGTCAAAATATGTTCTTCCCTTGGATATCGTTTAAGGATATTTATTACAATTACTCACGAGTTTCATGGATACTTTTCTTCGTTTATGTAAGAATTCGAGACTAAAACGTCATTTTCCATTAAGAGAGTTTTCCAAAATCTTCATATAACTACTGGAAATAACGCTTTGTCATTGAAATAGAAACATGAGTGATTTTCCATCACTACTCCTTACAAACGTCAAGCTTTATCATTGTCATTTTATAAGGTGATTTAAAATAATGTACATTTTTGCATCTCTTGAAATGTAAGTGATTTTTTAAACGGATATGATACTACAAAACTAACCAAGGTAAAAAGGATCAATAGATTTTGTCATCAGAAATGATTTATTACTAGCTTTATAGTAAATTACAATTGAGAGACGTTTGTTATTCGAATGGGCACTAAAAGGATGTACAGTTGTTGTGCTAGTGAAAATATGCTTGATAAGAAGGCATTATGTGAAATGCAACAAGTTGTTATCTCTACGAAATCTTTAAAATCTACTGTTTCAAATGAACAGAACCAAGGCTTCATCGTCATCGATTTACAAATCATATTTCAATATTTCATATTAATATTTCATGCACAATAAACAAATTAATCTTATTCTCATGCTTTGTAGAAATGTATCTGAATATCAAACCTACCTTTCTTCCGCTACCTGTGTTCATGAATATTTAATTTATTACCATTTATTACATAATTCTTTTAACGTTGCTAAGAGTTCAATTTACGTCTTAATATTATACATATCATGCAGTATCTTAACTTGGGAAAATTTCACCTTATATATTCATCAGTTTGTAGAACGATCCAATTAAAATGAACTTGCCATTTATTTTTGTCCTTGAAAGTTACACTTAACTACGTCTAATTTGGCTTTATTCAATACTTTCTAATGCTTTAAAAGTGTTTTGGATTAAATTCTCCAGCATCGTTGAAAATGAACTTTTTAAAGTACATTATATAATTTCCTAATCAGGTGAATATAGAAGCTATGGTTCCTATCTTCTAATTTTGGCTTTAAACTTTGCATTCTTCTTTCAAGATAGCTTTGAACAATTAAATGCTATATCATTCAATGCACAACGTGTATGTAGAAAATATTAAAGATGAATTGGATGAATCCAAAGAAAGCATTTGTCAATAAATTCTTAGGAGGTTATATCGAAATCGCTTGTTAAGGAGAACCACATTGCTAATTCACTTCTTTAGTTTGTCGATTAGAGTCATCGACACACAAATCGATGTAACCACTACCTGATAATTAATAAATGCTGAAATGATGAAACACAAACAATGCTATGAATAAAATTAACTCGATAGTATTTACGTTTCTTGTTTTCTTGTTCATCACAATTTATTGACTTACAGCTTTTTTTTTCATAATTCATCTTTTTAAAAATGTTTTAAGTAAATAAATCCAGTGTCTGATAAAAAGAAATGCAGGTGATTTTAAAAAAGGGTTTTTTTCTCTGTGTACTTTAGCATCATTTTTAATAGAATAATAATATAATTTAACTAAATTAAAGGCGGAATTTCTTGCTTAGCACAATGCAAATGCATCATTTTTTGGCGCAAGCCTCTAAATGTCAAATTCATCAAAATTATTTCTAAATTTCGATCAATTAAGATTCTTGCAAATTGAGCCAAAAAATCCATTAAGATTTGATCGCGGTGTGTTAAGGCAAGAAAATCATGTTCTTCTCGTAAATTATAAAATTCAGTAAAAGATTTATTAATTTTAGACTCTTTAATCTTATTTGTTTGTATCGCAATTCTTAAGTAACTCACTTGAAAACTCCCAAGGCATTTAATAGCAATAAATGAAATAAATTAAGTAAATAGTAAACGACTTCACAAAAATATCATTTGTTTCGATATATTCGACAACTAATTCGAGAATTAACTTAAATTCGGGGATGAATTCTCTTGCGATCTACTTCAATAGTAGAAGTACATACTCCGTTTATACTATTATCAATTATGACTATTTCCTAATGTTCTTTTCAATCAGTTCAATTAAATATGTATATATTAATTTCTTTTTTTTTCATCAAATTTTCCAAAAACTATATCAACATTATTCTCTTAATTTGTTATGGTTAAGTTTTATCGTGGTTCAATCTTTTGTTAATATAAATAATCTGTTTTCCGAGTTAACAATCAGTTAATTTGTCTGGTAAATGTCTAGTTATATAAGATTTATTCTCTAATAACTAGACTAGACAAATTGAACTGTTGCACAACTCGAGTTTGTTATAAATCCTCTTTCATTTCTTATTTTTCACCTCATTAGACACGTTAACTCGGTTCTTATCTTCAATTTTGATCAAATTTGGGAAATGTCTTCAAAATTCATACAATGTTGACTTACTGAATTTCAAGTCAATTTTGATGAAATTTCCCGAATCTAAATCATATAAAGGTCGTTCACAAATGACGTCTATCATAAAATATAAATTTTTTAAAAGCCCCATATGTCACTACGTAGCAACAATAAAGTCTACCTAATTTTCCCCCAATAGATGGACGTCATTAATGAATGGTCCTTTTTAATAAAATGTACGCAATAAACAAAATAAGTATCTTAAAATCTCTTAATTAATTAAATAAGTAGAAATGTCAAATAAATTGATAAAATACTGATAAATGATGATGAAAAAATCACTGCCATAATCTTGCCATTAACGAAACATTTTCGGAACAAATCTTCATATGATGATACAAGTGGTAATGTGATGAAAATCGTTTGAATTTCTCATATGAACAACTCTCAGGATCGTTTGATGGTTAATCCACCTTCGTCATCATCATCATCACTGCCTACCGAGAAATGCTTCTTTGCTTTCTGTTGCTTCATAAGCTTCTCCCTCGCCTCATCATCACCGGAATGCTCGGAATCAGAACTAGTGTGCGACAAAAGACCACGGGTTTGTTGGTTATTATTGTTATGACTACGTGAATTTTTAGGACTTTGTTTTGCAATTATATACTGTTGTTGTCCTCGTTGTGGTACGGATTTTGAATCCTGAGTTTCCTCGGGAATTGTTGTATCTCTGTGTATTAATTTCAATAATATTCAGAAATGAAAACTTCATGATTTTTGTGTGTGCTAATTAATTAAATGTTGATTTTCATCCCTTCCAAGAATGAAAATTGGATGGATTAAAGTTATTTGTAGGCAGAATTAAATAAACTTTACTGCGAGAAATCATAATATTTTGAAGAGTTTTTCTTTATTATTCGCTATGACTTCTCGTAAAGAATTTGAACAACAATCAATTAAAATTTTAAAAAATGCTTTGATTCAAATGTGATTTTACAGAACTACGTAAAAAGCTCCTTTTGTGTTGAAAGCTGTTCACAAATGACGCTTAAAGTTTTTACATACGTAAAGCGATAAAAGCTCAGCATATAAATCTACTCGTGCAAGGTTATTCCTACATTTTTTTATGTTTATTTATTTATTTAAAAGCATATCATTCATTCCATTTGGTACATAACATTTATTTCTAAAGCATTCTAATGTTTAGGAACTTTGGCAGATATTACCGAGAAAGCAAATTAAGATTGAGCCACACTATTTAAAGAGTTTCTTGTGTAAACATTTCAGGAAATGCTTATTTTTGTTCAAAAATGTGCTAAGTAAATTAGCTTTAGAATTTTGATATTCAGCAAGCTATTTCTGCTGTATTTGATGTTCTAACAGAAAGAAGCAAAAAAAGTTTCTTGCTTTTGATTTTTTTTTTAAAAAAAACTTTTAATAAGCTTAGCAGCATAAAATGAGCGACAGCTAATTGACTGCATGAATAAAGAAAAAAATTATCTGTGCAAGATCACAACAAGGCACAAAATAATAAAGAAAATTGGTTCGCCCGAGTTAGGTCTTATTATAACACTTAGTTCAGTTTTTGGCTGTTTATGCCATCCCTTATTACTATAGCAAGAGAAGTACAAATTAATCTGGAGATTTTATATGATGTGAATCAAAAAACCTTATAAAAGTAGTGTCAAATTCCATAAAAAGGACAATGATTTTATTAAACTGCTACTACTTAGTGCTTGCTGGCTCTGGATTTTATCTCAGTTACTTAAACTTGTCAATTCTCAAAATGCTTTTCCGTTAGAATATTGCACGATGTTACCTAATTTATAGCAAGCTTTAGCCTTCTCAATTGAGAATAAAATAAAAAAAATTGATAGAAAAAAAAAATGAGAAACTGTACAATAAGCTATCATGCAAGGATAGGAGAATACTGAATCATGCTTTTAGTAAATTTTTTAGTAATTTTTAAGGAAGAAGATTAAAAAGATTTCCCACTTAAGATAATGAAAATCTGTTCATAAATTAATAAATTAATATTATTTTTCTATTTTTTTTATGTTAGCATAAAAGCACTGAAAGGATTAAAAGGATTATATCATAAGTATTAATCATGCTTTGTTATATTTTCTATATCCATAAGACGGCTCGGTCTGCGATCAGTTACTAAAACGAGTCTGTAAATGATAAAAATATTTTGGAAAAATAGCATGCATCAGTTAAGGTGTTAGATATAAAATAATTGGTTTAAGACTTAGATACTTTCAAAGTGACACAAAAAAAGTATGAACAAAAAAAATTAAAATCGAATTATAAAAATAAACATAAAATTTTGTGTGTATTTACAATTTGTGTGTAAAGTGCATTTTAGTGCGTGCTGTGCATTTTTTATTCAATCAACATTCAGTCAAACTAAAGCATTTGAAAATATACGGTAAAACCCTTATGACAAACTTCCTTAACACATCACAGAAAAGCATATTTTCATTTCCATAACCGAGCATGTGCTTTCGAATACAAAAGTAGCTTAGTTCATTTATGTTCTGTATCACCACCATTTTTACGAAAGGTTTACTGTTTTTAGTAAGAAATGGCACACAATTTTAGAGATTCAAGAAAATGTAAAAGGACGTGGAAGCACTTTTAATAAAATTAGATATCCAATCCCATCACATTATTAAAATTCTTTTAAGGAGATCATATAAACAAAATATAGAGAGATAGTCCAAAAAGAAACAAAACCACTGAATCCATAAAAACGCATGTATATAATTTTTTTTAAGTATGTAGGTATAAGAAAAAAAAATGCTTTAAAAAGTTTGGAGAAAGATTTTTATTTTCTCGCACAAAAAAAACTTACCCCGATACTTCCAACAATGAACCTTTTCTAGTATTTCTACGGTGGCTTGCTGTTACAGGGAATTGAGATGAATGACCAGTTGGTTCTATTTCATAAACTGCATGTGTTGTGATCGATCCAGAACGTTTATCACGATCACGTATATTTGGCGATGGTGCAGAGTCAGTGTCTCCATGACTTTCTCGTCTAAATAGACCTATTACAGAGTTTTTCTGTTTAGGCTTTGCTATTCCACCTAAACTCATTCAAGTTTGTGAGTTTACATGACATATGACATATTTTGGTTTGTATTTATATATTTAAAAATTTGTCAGTGTGTGAAGTTAAAGGTGGACCAAATACAGTGAGCAAGCAAGTAAGTTGAAACATATAAGAGAAAATATATAAAAAAAAAAATAATTTGACATAAATAAGAAGGAAAATGAAGAATGGATGCAAATAAATTAAAATTGTGCAAGCTAACAAATTACTGAGGGATCATTGTTGACATGTATAAATACCAATTATAATTTATGCAGGTTTCGCATCAGTGAGATTACATAAGTGATGATTTGATCTTGAATTCTAATTCGATATATTCTCATCTATTCTAAATATGTATACATATATGCAAATAGAGTTCATATAGTATGAGTCATTCATAAAAAATAGAACTGACAGGAGAGCAAGAGATAAGATTGAAATGTCAATGAATATTTCTCAATGTAAATGAGTTTAATAATTTTTATGAATGATAAAATCACATGCAATAGATCTAGTAATACTATCCTCTGTCGCAGAAAGTTGTTTCAGCTTGTGTAACTTGAATAAGTAGATTATATAATAAATAAATTTACCTAAGAAAGTAGCACTGGGTGAATTGTAAGCAAGATATTCTTTATTATTTGCCCACGAAGGAAATTCTGTTTGTTGAATAACACTATCATCCTCCTTATCGTCTGCACGCTTCCATGGCAATACGGATTCTGGTGCTGTTGGTGTTGTAACTCGATGTTCTCCTATTCATAAAGTATTTTTATTGTATTGTAATCAAATTGAAAGGAAATAGAATTGTATAATCACATCAAGTCATACAATATCATGAATAAATTCTACTGATGACAGGTTTCATCTAACAAGTAAGCTTTCAATAATGCTTACGGAAATGTGACTAAGTTTGAAGCATGTTTACTATTGTGCTATTCTTTAAGCGCATTGTTCTGATCAAATTTATTTGGTTTTAATGGCTTTGAATAAGCCTAAGCAGCACATCAGTGGAATTTACATTTTATTTTTATAAACAAATATTCATCACGAAATTATTGATGTCACAAAACACTGATTTGAGTGTCGTTATTATTGTTATGTCTCTAAATTATCGTCCATGTCTTTAACATTTATATTTATAAGGAACATCTCAGGGAATACTTAAAGACGATTGTAGTAAAGTCGTGGAAAACAGTCAAATGTGTTTCATAAATGTGAGTGACATAAACGATTTTAAAGACATAAACTTTTGTTTGGCTCGAAAAATGCGCTTAAAAAACAGTCAGGCTTTCAATTGAGTGAATTTCACACTAAATTTACCTTCAGAGTCGCGTGAATATCTCTTATTATCGTCGTGAGCATCACCACTCTCGTCTGTAATAGAAAATGACATTTTGATATTAGCACATGATATTTTTTATCTCGTGGTATTAAAACACTTAAACGATATTAATCTAGCAGAATAAACTTAAATATTTTAACATTATTAACTGTGATGACGATATATTGATATTCTTGCGAAATTTGTTCTGGTAAGAATAACAACGACACCAATAATGAAGCCAATTCACGAAATTTATTCTCACAATTTATTTATTTTTTTGTGAACGATATGACATGCTTTCATATAAATTATATATGATTTATGTGGATTTATGAGTATGTTGAAAATCATCTAAAGTTCTAGATAAAAATATTTTCTTAAAATTTCTTTTTTGTTCGCTTTCAAGCCTTAAGCGCTTCTTTCTATTTTAGTAAAAAAGGTTTAAATTAAGCTTATTTCCAGCACGGAACACGTCCGTATGACTAAAGTGCAGGAAAAATTAACGGAACTCATGCAAGCTTTTATAACAAAAGCTTTAAAAAGAACTAAGAAGAATAGCGTGCTTGAAGTGCGTCGGGCCAACTTCGAATTTCGAGCTGAAACTTTGTCAGTTTAAAGACACTTTTCGACAGCTAATTACTTTTTTTCGACACCCCTTAGTTTTCGAGATATCGGAGATTCAATTTTAGGCAAAACGACACTTTCGACATGCAAACCGTTTTTAGATCTGATCATTTCTTGCTGAAATATAGCCTGTCAAAGTTTTGCCATAGACTGTCAGCCATAGAGTTGCTGTTCCATAGACCAAAAAAATCAAATTTTACTAAAATTGTCAATTTGTTACAAATCTTTTATCAAAATGCGTCTTTTTTACTTTTTATTATCTGTCGACTTATAGCATGTTAAGTGACTAGTCATGGACCCGATCTCAAATGATTTTTTTTTTTCAGAATTTCTCAAAAACTTTTATTTTATCTTTTTTTTTTTTTGAACTTTTTGTTTGAATTAAAAATATAAGTTTCGGAATTGTTGAGAAAGTGAGATCAATTTTGAGATTTAAATTTCAAAAACTCTTTCGAAGATTTTCTCATGAAGCTCAACTTTTTTAAAAATAATTTTTTGATAATAAAGTGTCGCAAAAGTGTCTTTAAACTGGCAACGTTTCAGCTCGAAATTCGAAGTTGGCCCGACGCACTTCCAGCAGACGAAGAATAAACTTATTTACAGCAAATATTTTAACGTCCATAAATTTTGTAATAATTATAAAAGAATGATGGTAACATGATGGATAGAGATGATAATGATGATAGCCCAGTCTTTTTGTAACATATTTTGTAATAAAAACATAATTAAAATTAATCATAATGATAACGAAATTTGTGTGTAAAATTAACTAGGCATCAAAAGAAAGGTAAGGTAAAGTAATTGATAATTTAGTGCATTAAACTAGATTAAATATATAAATAGCCAAAAATCAATGCTAATAAAATCATCATTAATCAAATACCGAAGCTCAAACTTTGATATGATTTGTCACGACGCCAAGGAAAAAAAGATTCAGCCGCTGTAGGCAATAAATCTAATGCATTATAATCCTTTGCCTGGTCAGATGGACTCGGTTTCAACGATAAATGCTTCACATAACGTGATTTGTTGGGATCACTTAGATTATTTATTTGTGCGATTAGTAAATTTTTATTGCTATTCGACCGATTGATAGATGTGTTAACAGAATCAGCTAAACGTATTGATATAAAAGGAAGCAAAAATCAAAAAATGAAAGAAACATAATTTCATTATGATTTGACTGGATTTGACCTTATTTTTTTTTTCAATTTCTAAAACAAAAAAAGAACGGCTAATAAACTAAAGTAAAATGTGGATTATCATCTTTATCTTTACTGAAATAATATACCAAATCTTTTGACGTAAACGAACGTACGTTCGAAACCCTTATAATCTATACCTTAATACTCAATGCACATGTAATCTAAAACCATATACATTATTATGTATATTAAGAAAAGACAAAACCTACAGAGAATGAACTCATCCTGATCATATTTCATATATTGTATGTGCACGTTATGAATTCAAAATTACCCTGCAATATTACGCGTTCCTCGCTCGTTCATTATTATTATAAAAATTTGCTTATTTTTGTATGCGTTACAACTGAATAAATTGTCAAACAAGAAGTGATAGCTATTCATTGAAAAATCAAAGGAAAATAATGTAGAACTGAAGAACTAACAAATTAATGGCTCTTTTATCATCTTTCAAACGCCTGCTTTGCCATCTATCATATCAAAGTGATTTCATGAAACCATCTTATGTAATAAATATAAATGTGTATTTATAGCGCATTTTCCATGACGAAATATAATGATTAGAAGAACTGCTCACTCGTGTAATCAAATATTTTTGATTCCTTATTCATTATCGTCTTGCGAGAATTTTACATCTTATTGCCATGCTTCTCCAAATTATAGACTTTGCGTTAATTATTAACATTTGACTTTATAAATTATATAAATAGTAATAAGTTAATTTATAGTTCTTAATACATTAATAGTCATTTAAATTTCCTAAAAGTTATTATTACAGATTTTAAGAATAATTTGAATTTTTGTTAACTATGCAAGTTTATGAGAGTAAGTCTATCCCGAGCTACACATAAAAAATTACTTGTTCTGAGTCCTAGATTTGCATGTGAACCGAAGGAGTCTAATGTAAATCTAGGACACCTAAACCACAAAATTATTTCATAAGGACGTCATGACACTGTCTCGAATAGATGTTATGAACAGGTGGCATGACTTCAAAATGAAATTGTTCATTGTCAATTGATTTTATGCTCACTCAGGTCCTTGAAAATGTAAATTGTGGAAAATGCACTACGTTGTTGTGTTTATGGCATGTAATAGTTGTAGGTATACTTTGTATTTTGTGTATTTTATGGACTTGAAAATAAATTTATTAAATTGTTCCCTCTTCATAAATTTTAAAGAGACATTTCATTGATTGATTAATGGAAATTGTCACAGTGATGAATAACAGAATAGTCGGAAAATGTAAGTAAAAGAAGTTTTGAAAACGCTGAGTTATTTTTAGTATTTTCAATCATATAATCGTATTAAACGTACACAAAAAATCATGGCTGTTATTAGATTTTCAATTTAAAAAAAAATCAGATAAAAGAAAAATCGGTGAACATTTCGTGAAATTCACTCTTTTTTTGGTAACAATTTATTCCGTCACGAAAGATAAATATCAAGAAGGGAAGTAAATATGAAATCAAATAAATAGAAAGAGAGAAAATAAAATTAAGGAACAAAAAAAAAAGGAAGAAAAGAACGAAAAATTTTCCCAATCATATTTTTCCAATTGATTACTTACTGGATCCTTTTGCGATAAAAGTAAGTCCACCTTCCCAGTCATCTGGCGCTTGTTTAGACTGATCTTCTTCTTCATTTAAAACTTCATTAATATAATCTAAAGAAATTGACAAGCAAAGATTGTGATAAGGAATTAAAAGAGCTTCTTTTTAATGCAATGGCAAGAACATGAGAGATAAAAAAGATAACTTTAAGGATATATTTAATTAAATAAAGCAAATTGTTTGCTAAATGTACAATCATAAAAATATATAGATCTTATAAATGTGCAATATGAAATCAAAAGGTAAGGGATTATTCGTATGTTTCGTAACGCTAAAGGAAGTTTTAATATGCTCCATATTAAATTTGTTACGAGAGAGAAGGAGTCAAAAATAGCGATTTCAAGTGTTACGAAATATGCGATCGATCCCTAAGTGTTATGTGTGAGAAACATTGTGTGCACTATAATCTCGTTCTCCTTTTTATAGCTTATGATTGCTTATGATAAAGAATGATTTTATGTATGAATGAATATGTATGTATCTCGGATCAATGAATCATAATGCATCCTACAAGATAATAATATTGCATTGCGTTTTCGTTTCTAAATTTTGTAAAAAAAAAATTAAAATTGTATGACATTAAGGATATATTATAATTTTGTATCACTAAAAAATATTCTTTGAAACATTCATACCAAAACATTGAGTGTAACATTGAGAAAAATAAGTCATTTTCTCTCGTTCTCTCTTTTTTTAGTCCAATTTGGTTGGTTGTAAAGACCAAGAAACATGCATATAAGTAATTTCCATCGAGAAAACATAAAGCATGGCTATGTTTTGATTCTTTTTTTCTTCTTTTAAAACAAAAAAAAATTACACAAAAATATGTCTAGAAAACATTGCATTATCCATGTATATTTAAATGTCAAGCGAGCAATGCAATTGTTATTACCTATTTCTAATAATCTACGGTATTTCTTATGACTGTGATTATTATGTTTTCGGTTTAATTGGCTTAATGACAGATGATTCGTATTCGTACCATTCGTAAGTTGTTTTGCAGAGCCGTTTTGCTGAAATTCAGGGAATGAAACGTGATTTTGCTTGCTGCCATCCTATTAAATGACACAAAATAGAATTTATAAAGTCATTAAAATCATGATTTTTAAAAAGTTCTCAAGTAATTATATATGCCCTACTTTATTCAGTCGTTTACTACGCTTATGATGCTTTCGATCGCCTTGTGCCATACGACGAATATTCATTCTCATTTTATAGTTAACCTTGATGTATGAAAATATAATCGATTAATATTCAATGATTTTATTTTTCCATGAGAACATAACGACAATTACCTGTGTTGATAGGTCTCGATCGTCTACAGCGTGTCTACTATAACTTAATCGTCGGTGCTGAAAATATTTGAAAGTACGCAATTAATTTTTTTATACGCAATTCAATAATCCAAATGAGAACCTAAAACCATGCTTTCAAACTATATTCATTGCATGCAATAATACTCATAGAATTTTGGATATTTTAAGAAAATAATTTTGTGAATTTTATGAATTGGGATATAATCATGAATGATTAATAAATTACGTTTATATGTTTGGTGAGAAAATGAGGTATGAAATCCCAATCTTGTTAGTAATTCGAATAAGGTAGGTTAACACAATGTTTAAATCATAAGCAAATCATTACAAACAATATCGAATTAGGAAAATTTTCATTGATTATTGATAGTGAGTGAAGCATAATTGGAACAGAATTTAGCTGATTAATAATTCATTTGCAAATTGCTCACAGAACAAAGTAAGTTCTGTCAGTATCGGAAGCAATTCGCAAAAATCAAAAAAGTAAAACAACATACATAAATGTATTTCAAATTCAAACTCAACAGATAGGTAAGTAAGTTAGCACATGATTAAAATAAATCACTTTTGTGTGAGAAAATATACATTAACATAATGACAAAAAAGAATATTTTCATACCGCCGATAAAGAAGCCTTTTTTTTTGTACAAAGTTGATGATATGAATATTTTCAGATAATATATTTGTTTTGTATAGAAAATGTTTGATATACAAAGGTATATATTTTTTCGGAAAAATTAACGAATGAAAAAAGGAAAATAATTGATTAATGATAGTATATAATAAGTCACCAATTGAAGTTTAAATTCAGAAATCTAGTGAATTATATTAAATTCTCTAGTTTAAGAACATGCGGATATAGGGCCTTCACTTATGACGTCCAGCTTATAAGCGGGAGGGGAAGGGGATCTAAGCTTGTATGACATACTTTGAAGTGAATTTTCTAGTTTTTATGAATTAGACGTCATTTGTGAATGGACCCCTAACTTTAAGCAAAAATTTTAATTTCTTATTTTACATTCCATTTTGCTTAAAGCTTTCATTTCTTTCGAACAATGTTTCTCAAACTTTCTAGCCACTGACAACAACTTTGACGATTCGACACTTATACCCCTTATATAAGATCATATAAGTTCACTTATTACGTTTTACGTTCGCATTTTAGTTGGGAGGGGGGGGGGGGGGGGGGGGTTGAAAAATTGTAACAAAATGTAACATAGGGGAGGGGGGGTGTCAAGAATTATATAACGTTCTAACTGTCGTCTGTCTTTTAAAAAAATTTTGTTTACAAATTCACACCAAAAACATTTTTTTAAATTTTCCTCCTTTTTAATTATTTATGAAAACTTATCAAAATAAAATAAATTATGAACGTTCAGGGGGGGGGGGGGTTGTAAGTTGTAACATATTGTATCAAGGGGGGGGGGGGAGTGGGGTGGAAAAAAGGTCGTTTTTTTGTGTAACGTAATAAGTGAACGGCCCCAAAGCTATCCACACATAATGTTTTTGAACACTCAGTTTGAGAACCACTGGTTAAGAATCATATTAAGAAAAAAGATTTTGTATATTACCCTTCTGTAAGGTTTCAGTTCCTCTGACAAGAGATGATGAATTCTAGCATCTGTTAAATCCTTTCTTGATGGATTATAATCCAATTCTTGCATATCCAGGTTTCTTGTTGACGTTTCGAAATTCGAGAAGCTTGGACTGCATGGAAAATTAAACAATTAGTAATTTGATCAATGAAAAGCATTGAGTTGTCATTACCTTCCGCCAAGTATTCCAGTGTAATTTCTAAACAAAGCACTCATAGATTCAGTACCAGACATTTGTCCCACTGTTGATGGATTGCGTCGCATGTAATCGATAGCATCTTTCATAGCCAATTTCGAATATGTTTCAATAATTTTCGGTTCTGCACCCTATTTATGAATTAATGATCAATTTACCGTAATTAATATCCAATTATAATCATTTTTTATTCTTAATGAATTTACCTTAAGATCTCTTATCAAATATGGACGAATGAAACGATTATCGAATCGCTTAAACTTATCACGAACGGTATAATTTCCAGTTTTACCTACAATATCCTCCAATCCAGCCATCATATGGTCAATAAATCGTTCATGAATACGTTCATTCATTGTAGGTTTTCGCTTTTCAGCTCTCTTGACATTCAATATCCTTACAAGTGGCTTTATAGTAATTCCCTGAAGAAATACCGTGAAATATATCACACAAATAGTCGTAGTCACAAACAAGGGAGCCAAAGGCACGTGCTTGGGGTCAATAAGAAGGACTAATGCAAACGCAATTGCGCCTCTAAGACCTCCATAAGACATTACAAATTGATCGACCTTTGATAGCTTATGAATTCTAAATCGATTGGCAATAGCAACGAGTACAATCACGCCTGTGAAAGGAAAGTCATATGATGTCATTAGTACAGACATATGTGTATGTAAAGTACGCGGGAGCAAGTTGTCAAGGAGTGGTGAAACTTGGCCTGAATTACTTCCATTAAACGTCCATTTTCGTCCTAATTCCTATAACTGTATAAACCCCTTAAAAGGTTTTGAGTATCTTTCCAGCGTACTCAACTTTTTAAAGCGGGAGTAACTATAGGAACAAAACTTTTATGGCCAAATTATATTTGAAAATGGATCTACTAATTACGTTAAATTTTATCCTGCAGAAATTTTTGGAAACGGATAAGAGTTATGGACTGTCAAAGTTTTGGACAGTACTACTTGTTGAACAACATTTTTATCCACAAAAACCTATCATGTTATATATCAAAACACGTCTATTTTTCCTCAGTAGCTTAAATATGATGGAATTATTTAAGTCCAACCTGTCATGGTATACATCAAATCAAAAGTATTTTTTCTCACTTATTCAAAATCCCAATTGGGTTTTTGAATTTATTTCATTTTTTTCACATTTAAGTTTTCAAAAATTTTTGCAGGACGAAAGTAGACGTAAATAGTAGATCCATTTTCATATGTTAATATATTAAGTTCCTATATTTAATCTCGCTGAAAAGTGAAGTACGCTGGAAAGATACCTAAAACCTTGTAAGGGGTACATCCACTTATAGGAATATTTAAATGCGGCACGTAAATGGACGTAATTCAGGCCAAGTTTCACCACTCCCTGACAATTTGCTCCCGCGTACTTCACAGACACAGACATAATGTTTAAATTATTAATAGATTTTTGAGATATAAAAAAAAAGAATGTGTTATAAATAAATATTGACATTATTATTAAGTATCATTATTAACGTTATTAATGGACAAAAATCATTAATACTTAATGAATGTTTGACATACCTATCACTCGAAAAACTGAACAGAATAGGACCGTCAATAGTACGAACCAAGTGTTCCATACATGACTATTGTTTACTGTCGCAACTCCCAGAAAGATGAAAATAATGGTTTCTGACGAGCTCGACAGCATCTTTAATGCATACTTTATTGTCGTATGCGATTTGTGCGATATATTGGCCTCTACGTAATTTTTCATGGTTATACCACAAAAAGTTATTCTACATGTCAAGGAGAAAGATAAACAAATTAATTCTGAGTATATTGGAATGTTAGCATGTGAAACTTACGCCAAAATACCACTCCAGTGGAATATTTCAGCATTTAAATATGCCAAATAAGCCATAACAAAAACGAAAATTGGCTCAATCACTCTCACGTGATCAGTAAATCTAGTAACAAGGCCAGTCAGGAATCCCCAAACAACTCCTGAAAATTTACGTTTGAGTGAGACATTATCAATCAAATGACAATCAAATTATAGACATACCAACAACAACACCACCAACGGCAACGCATAAAAATGACAATGCTCCATTAACTACGTCAGTAACTTGAATGTTACTTGCACCCATTTCGTTATATGTTTCGAACATGTGATAAAGTACGACAGTGACGGCATCGTTAAGTAGAGATTCACCAAAGACGACAATATATAAAATTTCATTGACATGAATCTCTTCAAATACAGCCAATACGGCGACGGGATCTACAGCTGATATAAGCGATGAAAAAAGGAATGTGTCTAGTAATGGCGTTTCAAATCCAAATATTCCTGTCATGCCACAAAAATAAAGTGCACCACCTGTTGAATTCAATTTAGTTTTTCAATTGGAACCACGGTAAAAAAAAGGAAATAAGAGAGAGAAAAAAAATTATTTCATGTCACTCAAAAATAAGTTTCTGACGTTTTGTTTGAATTTCTTTATCTGCTGAATTTTCAGCGGTATTTATATGAAATCGAACACTTACCGATTGTGGCCACATTGTATATAGTTCCAATGACTGCCATAAGCAAGATAGTACCAATATTATCAAAAAACAAACGATTTGGCATAAAATAACCGGCATCTAATATAATTGGCGGCAACATATAAAAGAAGAATGTATTCGGTGTTAACGGTTGCACATGTAGTTTCGTAGATGTGTATAATATAAGACCAATAATAATTCCAACTACTATAAGAAGCGATGATTCCGGCAGAATCTTGTTTATTTTAGGGGTCATATGGAAACCTGTAATGTATATATACAAATGTAATAAATTCTTTCTTATTAAACTTCATTATCATGACATTTGCCAAATTACAACGAAATAACTTTTTTATCTTTTTGGATGTGGATAGATGTATAAACAAACATCTCAATGCTCAATGTGTATGTCAACGAATACTCGTGATTAGAATGAAGTACACGAAAAAATTAAAAAAAGATTTTTTAAGTTAAACAAACAATTCATTTAGCACGACGCTTTTTGGAAAGCTGAATCACTGCTTGATGTCGGCAACAACCGGTTTTAATTGAATATAATATCTTTTCAGAATGCAATAAATTTGTTCATTAAGCAGTTATGCCAATCAATTACATGGCGAATCAAATAAATGTAAATGTAATGTGATTGTGCATTTCCATGTTTTGTTCTTTACTACTTTACTTATTTGGCAGATGACACACTTAATATTATTTTTGTTATTGACTTACCAATCTTCGCAATACTCGCAAATAATATCCATATTCCAATGATGAATGGCGTTTCTACACGTGAAAAGTCAACCGTTGTTACCGGGTATCTTTCAACTTCATGTTCGCCTTCTGCGGCGGCATGATCATCTGGATTACTCTGAACAGATTTCGCTGAATTATGATCTTGGTGAATAGAAGGCAACACTGAGTCTTCATGTTTTATTTTTGTCGTGTCTCCTGGTAAATTTAAATTTGGAGGCTCAAGCGATTGTTGAAACTAAATAAACAAAAGAAGTAATAATTATAATTTTCTCTCTCCCTATTCCTATCCATTTAGTAATTAACACAACTAGCGTATCATGGCGAAGCGCACGAACGTAAGAAATAGTGGTAATAATTAAAAGCAATTACAATTATTCTTACATTTGAAGTATCTTCTGATCCATAAACTATAGTCGCACTTGCATTTGGCCTAGCTTCAACATATCCACAGTTAATTAAGAGCACATTAAACAGCACCAAAAATATTAGATGTTTCCTCTTCGACAACATCATCATATTCCATTTCATAAATGCTAACATTATTCGATCGCTAAAAAATTGACTCAATTTTGTTAAAATCGTTCTATTGCAGGCTCCAGTGTGAGGATGACTGGATTTTCTATTATGGTAATTCTGAAAAAAATGAACAGAAGAAATAAAGAAATTAAGCTTTGACATTTTCCTTCAAATGTTCATCACAAAGGTTTATATTAGCGTGCGATAACGTTACATACATAACACTCATCAATACTATTAAAATTTTTATTTAGCTTTTGTATCTGTTTGTTGTTGCTGGTATTATTATTTGTATTATATCCTAAGTAAGTGTTCCGACAAGCTCTTCGTGACAAATTTACTTCTTGTTCTAGTACTCGAGCCATAATTTCTCCCAAATTTCCTTTTATGGCTCTTTTAACTTATTACCACGTTTTTTATTATTTTAATCAATTTTGAATATTTTAAATTAATTGCTAAGAATCCGATTTTTTTAAAACATAGGTAAAATTAGAACTTTGCTTCATTCACTTATGTAACTATGATAATAATAATGTATATCTGTTGGCGAAATAAATCGAAAAGAGGAGATAGAGAAAAAGAAAAGAATGTTTAAATAACTTTTGAATAATAAATAACTTTGCATAAATGACGAGATGTTGCGTGATCCGAAGTGCTCAATAAAAGCTTCTGCTATGGATTTTGAATTCAAATTATAGACATTCTCTTTATTATAGGCATTCAGAACAACATTAAATAAAAACTTGTAGAGACGTGGTAACTCGAGATAGAAAAAGACGCTTTTTCTTTAAAAGCATCAAACAAACTTCTCATTTGATCCTCACTCTTTGGGAATTTTTTTTTACATCATTCCCTCTAGAATAGGTAACTTTCAAACTATGCTACTGTTTTGCGAGAAAATTCTAGGTGTAATAGATATGTCATAAAAATAATTGACCTTTTCACGTCCCTTATTTGGTTGAGATACCTGTTACGGATTTTCATGAAACATAAGCCTTACGTAAGGTGACATAATGAGTACATTAGTACTTCTTCATTATAGTCAATTGTGCTAATAATTGAAAGCAATAGTGAATCATTGTATTATATTTTTTATCGTACTATTTTTCGTTTAATTTACATTCGCAAACTTGTCATTTTCAGTTAAGTATTTCAAGGTTTAACCAATTTTTTTTATATTCACACCGTTTTCACGTGTGAATCTATTGGTTTTGTTTAGATTGAAAAATCAGTTTTTCGCATTTTGTGAGAAAACAAAGCAAAATTGGTTATAAAAGGGCAAGAAGAAAAGTTTGTGCCTGAAATTTTACATCATTTTCAAAAAACAGATTTCAAATTGGTTGTGGCATTGCTGAGAAAATCGCAAAATACGCTTTCTGTAAGCAAACAAGCAAGCAAGCAAGCAAGCAAGTTAATCAGCAAGAAATCTCAATAACGAGACATCGTAGAGACTTCTAGTTTTTTACATTTGATCCGTGCTGCTCTATAGAAGAGCTGTATTGTTTTTGGGCAAGGTAGGAACAGCCGTTGCTTCAGAAATGGCAAAAAACTTTCCTTTCTTACGAATTTTTTAAAACAAAAGTTGACTGTGATTTTTATAAAATTCAACTTTGGATGAAAATTTTTTTTTAAAAAACTTTAAAAGAATATTTGGCATATTCGTCAAGCTTTATACCTTCAAACTTATGCTGAGCATAGCTCAGCTGACTCGATAGCTTTATATCTTCAAACTTATGCTGAGCGTAGCTCAGCTTACGCGATAGCTTTATAACTTCAACTTATGCTGAGCGAAGCTCCACTGCCTCTCTAGCTTCATATCTTCAAACTTATGCTGAGCGTAGCTCAGCTGATACTCTAGCTTTATATCTTCAAACTTATGCTGAGCGTAGCTCAGCTTACGCGATAGCTTTATAACTTCAAACTTATGCTGAGCGAAGCTCAGCTGCCTCTCTAGCTTCATATCTTCAAACTTATGTTGAGCGTAGCTCAGCTTACGCGATAGCTTTATAACTTCAAACTTATGCTGAGCGAAGCTCAGCTGCCTCTCTAGCTTCATATCTTCAAACTTATGCTGAGCGTAGCTCAGCTTACGCGATAGCTTTATAACTTCAAACTTATGATGAGCGTAGCTCAGCTGACACTCTAGCTTTATATCTTCAAACTTATGCTGAGCGTAGCTCAGCTTACGCGATAGCTTTATAACTTCAAACTTATGCTGAGCGAAGCTTAGTTGACTTATCAAGCTTCATACCTCCAAACTACTGATGGGCAAATCTTGGTCTATCCATAAGACTTATGATAGTACGGTGTGAATATAATCCGCATTGGGTTTCTACCCGATACACTAGTTTGTTCACATATCGCACATGTTAATTCCCATTTAATAAAAAAACCAAGTTCTCATGTAAATTATGATTACAAAATAGCAGTTTATAGTCATTAGCTGTGACAATAACAAAAAAGGCGATTCCCTGCATTAACGACAACACATTTGTGATGCCCAATTCAATTTATTTCTATACATAAATAAAAATTATGAATGATTAAATGCTGCCAAGTTTGTTGAAAAAGAAAAAATTGACTTGGGTAGGCAATGTGAGTCTAGTACTTAATGTAATTAGCAGGTTGATAACTAGATAAATTTACAAACACTATTATTTAAACGTATTTATATACAAAGAGATGTGCTTATTTAGGATATCGTGTATTACAATGTATTCGTTTTTTTTTTTAACTTTAAATTAAATTTTGTATTAAAAGTAACCTGAGAACTCTTTTGATTATTTACTTTAGCTACATCCAACTATATACAAAATTTTTTAAAAAGTTCGTGCTCCTTGAGAATTTTCCAGCATTTTAATAATATATTCAACTTAAAGTCCTTTAAAGTATCTAAATCTAGTTTTATATGGTTAACTTAATCTATTTACAAATTACCCCAACAATTTCACTAATATTAATCTCATTCGAGGTTCAACTCTGAATACGTTTCATGTCTTTATTGGTTTGTGTCACTCAGGCTTCTTAAAACTTAAATTAAATTAAATCACATATTTGCCGTCAAAAGATCACTCGTGGTTGTCAGAAATTGCTTTCATAAAAAATAGATTTGATGCCTGACAGATTTAGAAAAAGAGCGGCTCAGAATAGAATCACGAAAAATCATTAGTTTTGTGATTGTTTTTCAAAAGTACTATCTTATTGATTTACTTTCACGACAATGCATGGTATTTGAAATGCCTAGCATTTTCAATTACATGCCGACAAAGGTCTCTATTTAGCAATTATTGCTTATCAACAATCAATCAAATGATTCCATCAATTGGAACTAAAACAATAATATCGAGCTACAGAATTCGATACACACGAAAAATAAAAACTTGGGTGAAGAAGAAAAGTAGAAAAGAAGAAAGAAGGCATTAAATGAAGCTAATTGTATCAAATTGGATACTTGACAAAAAAAACATAAATATTTATTTTATAAACATTGACACAAGTCAATAGTATGATAAATGGGATGTTAATTTGAATAATCATGTGAGTTTTCATCCTCATCAATTTATTGTGCAAACAGCTTTTTTTTATATTATACAGATATTCTTATAAGAAAATCATCGAAGGAAGGAAATCCTAAAAAATATTTTTGTTGTCTCAACTAACACATCGCTGCTCTCTTATTTTTTCTTATGACTCACTGCTCTTCTTTACTGTGACACATTACCACGTTTTTTATTATTCTTCTCAGTTAGAAATAAAACATTTGTTGTTACGCATTGAACATGTGTGTGCTTCCCTTCCAAAAAAAAGTATGTACAGACACTTCCAATAATTCTCTCATTTATGGACGAATAAAACAGTCAGTCATTTAAAAAAAAAAGATGAAAAAAAATGGAAAGAAGACTTGTATTCAGGTAATGAATATAAAAACGTTGAATACATCCAACATGTTGAGTAAAATACAATTCCACAAAATATATGAAAAAAAAAAATTAAACTTTGCCGATCTGAAATGTGGCAAATTTCTTCTTTAAGTCCCATTTTCTGGCCTACATTTCCGATTTCATGAAGCGTATATGTGCAAAAGTTTATACTTAATTTAGGTATTAAAAACAACAAAACAAAATTACTTTTTTCATTAACTCAACACATTATTTTAACTATTTATAAATTAATTTTCACACAACAGTGATTTATAAATGTTTGCATATATATTATTATATTCTTTATCAGTAAGTAACGTTTGTAATTCCATGTGTGTTAATATAAAACTTAGAGCAAGGAACTATATAAGTATAGTCTTAACGCGATTTTTTTAAACACATTTTTTTAAAAGTATAAACTTAAATTTTTTGAGGTTTTAAGTACTTAATACACAACTCGATTATTCTCGATATTTCGCGGTTTATCGTTATGAATTAAACATCTGAATTGCCCCGAATGCCGAAACAGAATAAAGTCTGCTGAGAATGAATGAGTGAATAATTGTGTATTGTATTATTGGAATTGGAAATGCTGAAACATTCAGGGAGTTGTAAAAACGTGTTCCTCTCTGAGAATAACAAATGATTACTCTCTCACCACATTTCAATGTTTTCGTACTCTAGATGTCATCGGCATGACATAGGAGATACAAGGATACACACATATATTTCTGGACAATTTAAAATAATATGTATGTATCTGCTGTACGCGCCACACAAATGAAATGTTACAGAATTATAATCATTCCAGTATCAAGCATAGGAATTTTAAAATTATGATAATATTTAATGCCTTATGCGTCGCAAGACACTACAATCTGATTATCTCAAAATTAAATCATTCATGAAAATCACTCAATTGGTTTGGAAATTCGTAATATCGAGCACAAGCAATCATTTCGCATTAGGATCACGAAATATAATGGGGAAAAGAAAAGAAACATTCGGACAAAAATCGATATAATTCATTAATCGATTACATTTCTTTTCCTTTTTCTTATTTTTTCCACATTTTCTTCACCTCAAAATATTTTTAATTTTTTTCTCTTTCATTTTCTTAATTTTATTCAATGTTTTTTAAACATATTTAGATCACACAATTGATTTATTTTATTTTTTCATTAATTTTTATTGCTATCTAACATAACTAGCGTCAACAATACACAATTTTTTTTATTTTTTTATTTTTTGATTCAAAATAAATTATGTAACTTTTCACATTTTTGAGACGTCGAGGAATTTTTATTAAAACATTTTTCGATTTTTTTTGCCTTCCTCTATCATTTTTCGAACTAATGGAAACATAAGAAAAACTTGACTTTTTCGCTAAATATTCATTTTTGGCATCTTTACGAGTTTAATAATATATTTTTTCGTGCACTTTATTGATTTTCATTTCCTTTTTTTCCACAGTCTTTGTGTCAAATGTTTGATTGCACAATTTCAATTTTCACTCACGGCAGTCTCACTCATTGTCACTGCTTGCTCGATATTCTTTGCAATGAAACGTCGTGAACAAAAAAAAGCAAAAAAGTTTTTCATTTTGGATATATGAGAATTTTCCACATTTCCATGAGATTTTCCACACAAATTCTCTCCCGCTCATTTTCCCAATGTTTCTTTCCGGCAATAAAGAGAAGCAATATTGAGTTTTTTTTTTGAAGCAATAAACAGCCAGGAAGGCAGACAATTCAAAATAAACAAAATGTCATGGTCAAGTGCGAATAATTTGAGGCAACTGAAAATTTCGCTTCTCGAATTCACAGCGATAATCTATGTCTGCTGTAGGGCTAACGATTGACGATCAACAACTATTTGGTTTCTCATTCTAAAATTTTACGTCGTTCGGAAATAAAAAAAAAAAAAATCGGATTTGATATTTATAGTTTTCATGCACAACTACAATCGATGTATTCTATTCAGTCACATCTTCCTTCTTCCAATTCCATCACAAGACAATGACCGTTACAAAAATGAAAATTAACGTTTCTTGCGTAATGACGACAATTTTCTGTGACAAGTACAACATTAATAATATTGTTCATGTCATACACGATCAAATTATTTTGTAACATCGTTGTTATCTTCTTATTATAACAACTTACTTACACTCAAATGAGTGATAAAAAATGAGGTGCATGATGATTCCAACAACTTTAATTCAATCACATGTCATGACATAATGGAGCCTCTGTTCTTATTTTGTATCTATGCACTACATCATGTCTCATTTATGAGCAGCCACAAGATACAAAGTAAGAATAAAATTTTAATAAGACTGCGTTGAAGCACTTGACATGGAGTTGAAAAAGTAGGCATATTGCTAACGACAAAGAATGCAATACGAAATTTTCATTAAGTTTACGTTTGATAAGAGATTAAGGTAATTGAGGCCATAATCCACCAATAAATCATTATTATTGTTTTTGCAGAAAAGTCGACGATTAATTTACAGTCAAGACATCACTCGAAAGTATGACGTCGTGACAAATGATCTTAATTGTTTTCTGAAAAAACTCACTTGCATTGTTAAGATACAGTAAGTAGCTTAATATGTGTGTGAATTAAAAGATAAAGCCATAATAAACATGTTGAAATAATTAAAAAATAAATTAAAACAAGTAGCTTAATTGTTTACTCTTACTACCAATGTGATTTTCGTCTTACAGATAAGACAAATGGCAGTTAAATTTGAAATCTGAGTGCCTTTTACAACTGTTAAGATATCATTTATTACGTTTGCTACTGGTTGGTTGTTGAACAATTATATTCAAATCGTCACAATTTAGTGGCGCGTGATCCACATTCACTGTTTTTATCTAAATATCTAGTCTATCACTTCTTGAACAATGTATATAGCTACTTGACACAATACGTTTATTACAGCTTTTTGAAGGAATTCTAAGGTGATTTATGGCCATTTCTAAATAGCTTATTGAGCTATAAACATTTATTTATTTATTAACTTCCATTAATTAATTAATTTTCTGTCACAATTTTTGCTTGTCGAAAAATGGAACCACTTTTTGTTGTTAAGAACCGCAAAAAACAAATTCACATTAAATTTAATCTTACTTCTGAATAATTAACTAATCACATCGTTACACAGTCACAAAAAAAAATATTCACCTCATATAGAAGTCCAATGAATTACATGGAGCAACAGAATGAAAAATAAAGTGAGGCTCAGGTAAGTCACTCGCTTTTATACCGTATCTTTCATTTGTATTATCATCTCTTATCTGTAAAAAAAATCATATTCTCTTAATGGTCTTTTAACAGCCAATAAATGTCATTTTTGATACGACTATCGCAATTCATCAGATATCAAGAAAATACTTTTATAAGTAAAATCGACGATGAAAAGAAATAAATGAGAAAAAATGAAAATTGGCATCTCTTTTATTCTAGTTTTCAAAAATTTCAATACATCCACCAAATGTTAAATTATGAGCCATTAAATACCCGAGTATATAAAAGGAATATGCAAGTAGAAATTTATAGGCGAGATTTCGTCAACAGGAACCCTTCACCTTTATGTGTATAATTGAGTCATGCGAGAGCTTTTTGCAAGTTCTCAGCAAGTTTATCCAAAAATGCAAATGTTTCCAAATAATCGCCAGGCTTTACGGCGCTCATTGAGCCTTTAACACAAATTGCCAAATCCTTTGTCATGGAGCCACTTTCAATTGTATCGACGCAAACTTTTTCCAATGTTTCGCAGAATTTCTTCAATTCAGTATTATTGTCAAGTGCAGCACGATGTAACAAACCTCGAGTCCATGCGAAAATTGAGGCAATTGAATTAGTACTTGTTTCCTTGCCCAGTTGATATTGGCGGTAGTGACGTGTGACAGTTCCGTGAGCTGCAAATATGTTATTAATAAGTTGGCATTCAAAAGAAAAACTATTCGCTATCTAACCAGCTTCAGCTTCAACTGTTTTTCCATCTGGACAGACGAGGACGGAAGTCATAAGACCTAATGATCCATAGCCTTGAGCAACGGTATCAGATTGAACATCACCATCGTAATTCTATAAATTATCAATATTCAAAACGTGCTCATTCATCAATGATTGTGTAACTTACTTTGCAGGCCCAAACATAGCCACCTTCGCTCTTCATGCAATATGCAACCATGTCATCAATTAAACGATGTTCATACCACTGACCAATCTTTTCAAAATCAGCTTTGTAGTCTGAATCATAAATTTCTTGGAAAATGTCTTTAAAGAATCCGTCATACTACAAAATTTTAGCGAATAAAATAAATTAGTTCAGTGATTTGATAAACTAGAAAATCATAAAGTCTATACCTTTTTCAAAATGCTGTCAGGTGAGGAAGAGAAATATAAATAAAATAAATGAGAAGATAAAATGATTAAACAAAAGAGAATATGTGAGAGTTTTAACTTACGTATTTTTGGTACTCAAATATAGCGGCATTTTACGATCCAAAGCGTATTTGAAAGAGGAATGAGCAAAATCTCTGATTGACTCTTCTGTATTGTACATTCCCATTGCTACACCTGGTCCTTTATATTCATTAACGGTAAATTCCTGAGGTGCACTACCATCAGCAGGTGTGAATATCATTTTTAAAGTTCCTGGGCTTTGGACTACAAAATCTGTAGCTTTATATTGATCTCCGTGCGCATGGCGTCCTATTACAATAGGTTTTTCCCATCCAGGAACTAAACGTGGGATGTTTTTACAAATAATGGCTTCTCTAAAGACAGTTCCTCCTAGGATATTTCTTATTGTTCCATTTGGAGACTTCCACATTTGCTTCAAATTAAATTCCTTAACTCTTGCCTCATCCGGTGTAATTGTTGCACACTTGATTCCGACATTATATTGTTTGATCGCGTTGGCACAGTCAACAGTAACTTGATCGTTTGTTTGGTCACGATATTCAATCCCCAAATCGAAAGTCTTAAGTTCAAGGTCAAGGAATGGAAGAATTAATTTATCTTTAATACTATCCCAAATAATTCTTGTCATTTCATCTCCAAGAACATCTACAACTGGATTATCGACTTTAATTTTTTGGGCCATGACTACTGCAAACGGTTTAATGTAATGACGGTCTACAAAACAAAAAAATAATAAAACGTTTCCAAAATCAGGCGATGCACGATTAGTGAGTGATAAGAGTCAAAATAATTAACTATGACGTCAAACAATTGATATTAATTTGTGCAAAACGAAGACCCACAAGAAACGCCTAAATTGCCATGTAGGAACGAGACACATTCAATTGATTAGCATATCTTATTTACGTGAAGCAGGAAACAAATTCAGTTCCAAAAAATTGAACTTTGATCGTAGACACCTGAACATCATATTAATTGATATATCTCGCACTTTAATTCACTTTCTTCAATATATTTTTATTAAATCAACTAACCACAATTATTGCAGGATAATAGAAAATTTTATTTTTTGAGAAACTTACATGCAATTTGCTCGAATTCGAAGTGATAGACTAATAAAGTTGACGATAAAATGCGGGCTGAAACAGTGAATGATGTTACGCAATTTATACACAAGTTTCAACAGTTTTCGAAAATTTTGAAATTTCAGAATATTTTAAAGTTCGAATAAATTTGTGTGACATCATTTGTAGATTCCCCAAGTTTATTTTCACAAAAAAAATCTACTTTAAGTAATATTAGGACCTTAAAAGTGCGAATAAGCATGCAAAAATACTATACAGTCGAAATTAATAAAACAGAATGGTAAGTAATCACTTTAAAATTGTTTAATATATAGGGCACTCTAAGATTTTACCATTCTTTTGTCAAATATTAAAAATTTTCCAAGGTTCTTTTCAAAGTTCATTTTTTCCTTCTGAAAATCTTTATAGGGAAGTACCTGAGAGATATCAATTGTTGCAAGCTATTGGAAGTGGTGCTTATGGCCTTGTGTGGTAAATTAAATTATACTCAATTAGTATGTTTCTCAAATAGCCGGCAAAATATACATTTTCTTCTTATTTCCAGTTCCGCTGTTGATACTGTAAATAATATTAAGGTTGCAATTAAAAAGCTGAATCGTCCGTTCCAAACAGCGACGCATGCTAAAAGAACGTTTCGAGAACTTCGATTGTTAAAGCATATGAACCATGAGAACATCATTGGTTTATTAGATACGTTTTATCATGGAAATACACTCGAGACGTTTAATCAAATTTACTTGGTTACTCATCTAATGGGAGCTGACTTGAACAATATCATTCGGACACAACGACTGACTGATGAACACGTACAGTTCTTAGTTTATCAAATGCTACGTGGATTAAAGTACATCCATTCCGCTGGAGTCATTCATAGAGATTTGAAGCCCAGTAATTTAGCAGTGAACGAAGATTGTGAGTTACGCATATTGGATTTTGGTCTCGCTCGACCAGCAGAAAGCGAAATGACTGGATATGTTGCGACTCGATGGTAATTGTTCTTTTTTTAAATTGAGATACAGTGAATAATTTTAGGTACATTTTTAAGGTATCGCGCTCCTGAAATCATGTTAAGTAAGTACTTTTTTAACTAAGATTCACAAAGGTTTAATATCTTATTCCTGTTTTTTTCCCATAACAGATTGGATGCATTATAACATGACAGTTGGTAAGTAGAGTCATTAAAACCAGACTTTGCAAAAATTTGTTGTTGGGAATGATTAGTCGCTGATTAGTCATTTAATTTTAATAGATAACAACCCATAGTTGATGATTGAATACGATGTATATGCACAGTATTTGTATTGAAGAAAGTAATTGACGAATTCTAATTTTATTTTCAGATATTTGGTCTGTAGGTAAGCTGATGATTTTGATTAGTTTATTGAAACGTTGATCAAGTTTACAATATAAACATACATCGCAATTAATGTAAATATTTTGTTCTCGCCACTTTTTAAATAGGATGCATTATGGCAGAGCTTTTGACAAGCCGAACATTGTTTCCCGGATCAGATCGTAAGCAAAAATATTTAAAAATAATTTTTTTACCTTTTTCTCTCATACTTATTTCCTTTATATAGCTCTCTAAGTATTTTGTTAAGTTTGTTTTGAAATGGGGAAATGAAAATTTGTAGTTTCAAAATTTATTTTCCTTCCTTTTCGTGCATGTACAAAATTATTTTAAATTATTCTTTTCGTATAATTTCTTGCACATTTTCTGTTAGATATTCATCAGCTGAATTTAATAATGGAAATCTTGGGTACGCCAGGTGATGAATTCATGAAAAAAATATCATCAGAGAGTGTGAGTAGCTTTTTTGTGTTACGTATGATTATTATTTTTTTTGTATCTTTCCATTCTTAACGACTGTAATTTGATAGAATTTTTATCAGTTCATTCATTATCACTTTTGAATTTATGACGTGGTTATACATACAGTTTTTTTTTTGCAATGCCCAATAGTTTTTTAATGTAAAGCGTGAAGATAAATGCATAAAAAATAATGTCATAAACATTTTCCATATCTCTTTTGAATCTTTCATTGCGCACATTAAAGAAATCAATCAATTAACACAAATTTTCGCGCTTTGCGGCACACCTGATAGTGAATTAACCGAAAAATTTAGTGAAGAGGTACATTAAGCATAATCATCTACGATAATTACTGACTATTGTCTCTCTATAGGCTAGAAACTACATCAAGTCATTAAAGGTGATGAAGAAGCGCGATTTTAAAGACGTTTTTCATGGAGCTAATCCTTTGGCCATCGATTTGCTAGAAAAAATGCTCGAATTAGATGCAGACAAGAGAATAAATGCAGAACAAGCTCTAGCTCATCCTTATTTGGAAAAGTATAGCGATCCAACTGATGAACCAATATCTTCACAGTACGATCAAAGCTTTGAGGACATGGATTTGCCAACTGAAAAGTGGAAGGGTAAGGCATAAATTCAATATATTTGTCTATCATATAATCATTAGCTCCTTTCTCTCTAAACGTCGTTATTTAGAGCTCGTGTTCAAAGAAGTGGTAACGTTTAAGCCTCATACACACAATATCGATAATCAATAAAAATCAAAAGAATTGGGTTGCTTATTAAAGAATAATACTAACACGAGAGCGATTTTTACGCCGCCATAAATAAGAGTACCAGATAAACAGTTTTATTAATAATATTAATAAAAGAGAAACACATAAATTATTAATAATTTGTACTATAAGTGTAGTACTCGTACCTTATAAAAGCTATATTATATATACACATTCTTAAGAAGTGAAATTTGAAAATAAATTAAAGTTTTTAATTTTTAAGCGAAATTCTTTTTTGTATGTCTTTAACTGAGAGTTTGTATGCCTACAAAAGAGAGCTTGCTTATTTATATCCAATCAAAATTAATGGAAAGATGAGAAAATGAGCAAGCATGCAATAAGAGAGATGATGAAACAAATCAATTGATTTTTTATGGAGAGACGTAATAAACAGTTAGAATGCTTCTTGACTCGGGATTTGAGCATCGAGTCAGTTTATAGACAGTCAGTTGTTTTCTGGAAGTTAAAGTGTTGTGAAGCAATATAAAAATCATGAAGATAATAATTTTAATTAATGTTCTGTTGCTCGTTCCATATATATTGTCACAGGATACTGAGACAGCTTCTGATATTAAAGACATGACAACAGTTAAAATTGAAGATAATGAAGATGTTCAGATGACGACAATTAAGAATGATGCTGAAATTCCTACAGAAACATCTTCGATAGAAGTAATTCATCCAGAAGTTGTCGTTTCAACTGAAAAAGTTCAGGAATCTCAATCAACAACCACATCAAAAGTAGGAACAGAAAGTACTGAAGAATCTGAAGATTCTGATGATAGCTTCGAAGATATTGATGAGAGTTCAATGCCATCATTTCAATCAGGTTCACCATCACAGAGACGCAAGATTCTATACGTTAATCAGCAACAACATGGAAAATTAAATGTACAATTTGAGTTAAACGATGTTAGTTTGATTGTTGTTCCAAATGGTAGAGATCCGCAATTATCATTGTTAGATTTGCTACTTAAATCAGCTCAAAAATCTAAAATAATGAATGACATGAAAAAGAAAGAAGACGCTTCGAAAGTAAATGCCAATAATGAAGATGATTATTCCAAATATAATTATATGCGTACATCGACAAATGAGCCATCCATTGAATCTCGCGCACCATACAGAGTCGATATATCCAGTACTTTAAATAGTCAGCCTGTCGTGGAAATTACACATCAAAGCGAAGAATCTCACGTTACCAAAACACCAATGTTAAAAGTCAAGAAACCAATTGTCTTCCAATCACCACAAAGTAACAAGTCAAAGAGATCTATAGAAAATAATCTCGTGGGAAGTGACAATGATGTCGAGAATATACCACTCGATAGTGATGAAGACCGTGAGATAATTAATTCCGTCGAAGATAACGAGAATTCAGAAGAACTAATCAAGGAAGAAGACATCGACAGCACATCAGAATTTGTTCTTCTTGGTGCTACAGAAAACTGCGGACCAGGAAGACGAAGAAATTCATATCAGATCTGTGTCACAGTAGCTCAATAATTTATTCTTGTATTTTGCATATTTTCTATTAATAAATTTTTAAAACACCTCATTGAAAAGTGTCAATTTTTTATCTATTAAATACGATTGTATAACTGCTTATGCAGTTATGCTTTCATTCTGGTTCCTGAATTAATCTCAAACTAATTATAAGCAAAAACGGTACCTCTGAGCTCATTAAAATTTCTCCTTTACTGTCTCTTGGATATTTACAGTAAAAGAATATGAAATCAAGAAATTTAAAAAAAAATGCTTTAAATTAATGGAATTGTAAGGATTGAGTTGGGGAAAAAGCTCTTTCCAATTTTATTAGATTGCAAAAAATACAATTTTAAAGTCATTCAACGTTCTCAATGTGCTTCTTTAAATACTGAATAATAGGAATTATGTATTTTTCTCCAACTAATACTTTGTACTTTTTTCCACTATTTTTAACGAGGGTCTTCACACTGTCCTTTGTATCCCCCATTATCTGTCCATTTGTTGGGATATCTTTTGTACGGCTTTGAGTATCAATAAGTTCCTTCTTATGTCCTGTTTTTGAAGTCTTCTTAAAATCAAAGAGTGATGCAAATTCAGAAAAGTCGTTTTTGTCATCGTTGCCAATGCTTATTGGAATCTGTGTTGATGATGGAATGCCTAATAAGCTTGCTATTTCTAATTCTGAAAATTGAGAATCTTGATGTTCATCAATAGGAATGGCAATGTTCACTCCATTGACTTTGATTCTAAAATTTTGTGTTCCATTTTGACGCTGATCCACAATTATATCGTAATTATCGTCATCGAGTTCCTCGTAAAGTGACAAAATGCTACTTATAGGACTTGAAAGAGTACACGAGATGACCGAAATGAGGAAGAATACTTTGAGCTTAAACATTTTTTAGATGATATTTTCTTGAGACCTGAAAGTACACTGTGTGTGATTTAAAGTTTATTTTTCTCGAGTCCGTCATTGACAACAGAATAACGGTTATTTCTTATAACCAAGCCATGGGAGAATATCTTGTGAAAGCAAAACAAGACAAGAAAAAAAGTAAACTCGATCACACATTTTTTTTCTTTCTTTTTTATTATTTTCTCAATCCAGTGTTTAGCCTTTCCTTATTAGTAAGTAATAAAGATAATAATATCATATAAGTCAGTATTGAGTTCCATTAATTGATTTAAAAATATTATAATTTAGTGGAATGTCAAAAATGAGTCCTATAAATTCGTTTGTAAAAATAAGAAGAAACAACATAATTATGATAAAGCTAGTCTTAAGTCTTTGACTTTAGGAAAATTTGAGTTTCAGCTCACAATAAATCAAATAAGAGAACTTTGGTGATAAGTTTTTGGTATAACGAGATTGCTTTTGTTCGTTTTGACTATTCTTTTTCCGTTCGTTTAGTAACTCCAAAGCAGATTCTATTAAAATGTTCACATAACTCATGGACGACATTTTTGCCATACTGCCAATGAGTTAGAGTTGAAAAAATCAGCATAGAATATAATAATAATCTCTCAAGTCTGGGAATTACAAGTGATAGGCAAAATGATGCTGCCAAATAAGGTGTAATCCAATTGATTGTCTCACAACTTGTATTACTCATTTGAGCAACAATTAGACGACAACTTATATTGCTGAGAACTGTTCCAGTTAATAAATAGACGGCACGTGTATCATTATTAATAATATCAGTGGGTGAGAAATTTAGCCACATTAATGTAATGAAAAGAAATATTGATAATGGAATCAGCGGTTTAACGCATTCGTAAAAATTACGCATGTGTCCTGTTTTATCAGCGTACGATCTGTAAAGGTTATAGAACACCATCGGAATATTTGATAATGCGCTGATATGTAAAACCAATTCTAGAAAATTGAAAATTTGGTGTGAATATTTCTATGTAATATGTGGTAGGACCAAATCAATGTAGCCATAAATACCTAAAAAGTGTCCGCAAGTTAATCCGCCTGATGTGAAATGATATTTCCATATATTTGGTCCTAATATATATGTTGCTAAGTACATAAGCGTGCTCCCCCACATTCCAAGATCGTAACCCCACGGCAAATAAAGAACCCCAGTGCTGCAAAATTATTAAAATTAAATGTTAGGCGTTTGAGGAATCAAATAATGGTCATACTTGTATTTTTCCCAGTGAGAAATATGGAAGTTGATGGTAACATTAAGGATCACAAAATAAAATCTCATTGGTTCAGCAGAAAAGTTTGCACCTCGTCCAAATACGGAATATAAACAGACAGGAATGAGTGATGCAGTATAGGAATCTAAAGCATGATCAAAAAATTCTCCCAACGGACCGCTTAAGTTTATTCTTCGTGCTTGCTTGCCATCGATTCCGTCTATATTGATTTTAAAAAGAAAAGGTAAAAAAGTATGATTATAAGAAAAAATTATTGTCAATCTTATATATGCTTTATTACCTAATGTGTATGCTAGAAATATATTAATAGCAGCCATCAACCAAACCCATTGAGGAATCCTCGGCTCGTCATGTGTTTGAGCAAAAAAGTCCCAGTCATAGTACGATAGAACAACAAAATTTAATGTTGTCAGCAGAAATCCAACGAATGTCATCAAGTTTGGAGCTACCCACCTTGGAAAGTACTAAATTCATTGTAAATTTTTAATTGTTTAAGATTGATAATAAAGTTCAAGGAACTACAAAAACTGATAATAAAACTATTTACCTCAACCAAAAAATTCCAAAAGGGATGCATGATGTATATACTCAATGGACTTGTATCCCTCGCAGAGTACTTGTGTAATAAATTAAAATTGTAAGCATTATTAAATCAATTGTGAAAAACTTCAGAAAAGGAATATATCCTTTATACCTTATAATTATCAAATCCTTTAAGGATTTCGTCAGTCAAATATGGCATTTTGTCAACGTTTTACTTGCTTTAACTATAATCTCCTAGTTAAGTATCGTCTATTCTATTTTATGTATGAAATCAATTTAAACCACACACTTTTCATCGCTAAACAGTTTCGAAAATATTCCTTTATTTTCGAACTTATTTGAATTTTCAATCAACAGTTGCAGCTTTTTAAAAATTTAAAAACTGTTGAGCTTTTGAAATTATGATACCCCCCCCCCCCCCCCTGAACGTTCAAAATTTATTTTATCATTAAAAAGGAGAAAAATTTAAAAATGTTTTTGGTGTGAATTTGTAAAAAAAAATTTCGTGAACTTTTTTTTAAAAGACAGACGACACTTAGAACGTTACATACTTCTTGACACCCCCCCCCCCCCCCCCCCCGCCCCCCAATGTTACATTTTGTTACAATTGTTTAAAAGGCAATTTTTTAACTTTTTATTATAGATAATTAAAAAAGATTATTTTATAATTTTGCGCTTTTGTTTTGGACATCCAATGCTTATATGTCTCTCATATCCTCCGTCATCCGGCAAATAGATGTTTTCTCTACAAAGTGGACACTTTGCTATTCCTGATGTTAATACTCTACAGTGTGGCTCCTTTTTATGTTTTTCTAATTCTCTTACTAAAATTGCATCATGACAGACATCACATTTTACAAAATCCTTTGTTCTTTCACATTCACCTATATCAATAAATATAAAAGAGCCATATATTATGTCTTGGAAGAATGTTAAAAGTGATTTTATAACGTACTCAATAAATGATTATTGAAATCTGATATTTTCACAATATCTTTACAATTTTCACATTTTGTTAGATATGGACATATTTTCCAATAGTGAAAATCAAGCTCATGATTCGAGAATGCAATAGTATCGCAAAAGGTACATTTAAAACTACATATACATAAAAAAATAATAAAGATAAGATAGTTACATATTAAAAAAAAATCATATATGTTAGGTATGTATCTATCAAGTAGCAATACATGAGCTATTTCACTTACGTTTCCTGACGCTTTGCAAAGTCTTTAATTGATTGACCACTCTTACTTTTATAAATTTGAGGCTGCTGATTATTCCTTGGTCTGAATGGAATTGGACTAGCACGATCGTTTATTCTTAAGATTTTAATTGACTCAGCGACATTTGAGGACTTTGGCCTAGATGTTTCACCAGACGTTTCACTAGATGAGCACTCATTAATTGAAAATTCGATCGTATTCACTTTTTGCTCTGCCAACATTTCACGCTTCCTCTACAGAAAATTATAAAGTTGTTTGATTAACTCATTTGATCAGTCTTTAATCACTATACCTGTAAGTCAATCTTATCAAATTCTGCAAATAATTGTCTGTACAACAAATTTCGTCTCGTTATTTCATCATCTGGCGGTAATTGTTTGCGAATGAGGCGAGGATTGACTTTATAGACGGCTAAGAGAATTCGTTCTGCGACTTTTCTAACTGGTTCATGTGAATGCTGAATACCTTGTATACCACATTCACTTAATAATCTTGGACTCAATCCACTTTGTTTCTCATTATTTATTCCTTGACTAAGAACTAATTGTTCGAGCATTTGCATCCTTGAAAGAGCTAATCTTGGATGTGTTCCATTTGTTACCGGTCTAGATAATGAAGGTGCTACTAAATGCTGTTCTTTTACTTCGTTGCATGTTGCTATGACAAGAATTGTATGTTGTGCCAAGTTATGAACACGTGGACTTGCATCTCCCGATTTTGATAACAACTCCGGTAATAATTTATCAACACATCTCGCCACTTCTGAGTTTGACACTTTTTCAGGAATAAATTCACAAAACAAACACCTTATTGTCTCAGCGGCTGCACTAAACACTGAAAATACAGCGTCTCTAATGGCACGATGTAATAATATTGTTGCACCCCTTGTTGTTTTGTTATATCCAAATTCAGGTTTTTCTGGATTCTTTAGAATCTCTCGCAGCATTAATAAAGCTTCTTCGCGATCTTGAAATTGTCTCGAATAAAATAGTTCAACAATGTCAATTCCAAAAACGAGTATGGGTATTGAGGCTTGTCTTTTCTCTCTATCATTTAGTTTTGATCGACCACGCATTTCAGGTTCTGGATGATGACATTCCCTTAAAAATTCATTCGTATGAGAACTGAAAGTTTTATATTATGGATTATAAACAAATCAAATAATTAAATTTCTTGTCTTACTGCCTTAATGTGGGAATTTCTCGTTCGTCATGGTCATAATTGGTATTTCTAGGTGCACTTTTGTTCCTCCGTCTTAATGAACCGGTATTAGGGGAACTTCTTGGTGACGACTTACTTATTTGATCACCTGGAAATGAGACATTTTCATTATAGAAGTAAATTTTAAATCTATTACACATATTACAATTTGATTTACATCTAAATTGAGGGGATTGTGGGATCTCGTGAAGTTTATCTTGCTGTAAATTTGACTTTCCTGCTGTATCTGTAAAAATTTATTTAAATCGCATACTTGATATTGATTGTGTTTTTTTAAATATTATATATACCTCCGTTTGATGCCTCGTTGGCCTTTAAGTTCTCTAAATATTTTGCCACTTCAACAAGTGTCGGTGCTTGTGGTAATTGTGGCTTTGCTGCATATGTTTCAGAACAAATGTCATTCTCGACTAACAGGCCGTCATATTCAAAAAGCTTATCGATTTCCAATTTCTCGAATACAACCTTCTTGTATAATTCCATTTGTTCCTTTCTCAACCGTGCTGTATTAAAATCTTCCTTCAATACCGATAATCTCTTTGAAAGTGCATAACGCCCGAGTCTTTCGCCAACTGTTCTCAAGCAGTTCATACATAATTTTAATTTTCTGGCATACTCAAATCTTTCATCTTCAACTGCTCGATGTTTAAGCTGCTCCAATTTTTTCACAATATCAACAATACTCTCCTCAACATACATACAATAACTCAAATCATCAGTAATTGATGATAATCCAATTTCGGTACTCTCATCAGTAGAGCTTTTAATCCTAAGATGATTTAAATCATTCGGTTGACATTCTTCACCCAAAACATTAACAGCTAATAATGCTAACTGATTGTGCGGATTCAGTTTGTTACTATATGGACCACCCATACGTAACTTTAAATGTGTTGCTAATTTCTCAGGAATGGAGATACTTTGAAGTTCACGTGATTGAAAATTTTCTGATGCTTGTGATAATGAAATAAATCCAATATATTCAAATGTCTGACTAGATGGTGTTGCACTTTTAGACGAATAATTTATAAATAAATCGATTCTTTCGGCTATCAACAAACAAGAGAAAGGATCATGGCAGATAGAAAAGGAAAAACAACATTAGAGGACATGAAAATCGATAAATTTTTCCTTTCTTTCATTCAAAATTTTCACTTACGAATTAAATATTGATGTGCTAATACTTGGATCTTGTAAATTTTGGCAGGATAATGAAATTTAAGGACGATTTCTTTTGGACTTTTGTCTAAACTTGGATCTGGCTTAGAACGCCACCCTGAAATTTTCATTTTATATTTGTTTAGTGAAAAGTTTCCATTGAATATATCCCAAAAAAAAAGATCCTTACCAAAAATATGAGGACCATGTGAGTTTAATTCTGAGGCCGGATAAGTTGGCAAATCTTCATCTATTGGATAAGTTTTTGAGAATTTACTGTATATAGATAAAAATGCAGACATACCTGAAGCAAAAACACAAGAAAATGGAATCTTTTTTGCCATTTTTCTTACGTTTTTAAATTCTATCAGAATTGCTTAATTTTCATTATTTTTTCAATTTGAAAAGATCAAAAAACTCTAGTTAATTAATAATATAACCACATTATATAAGAAATATTAAAAAATTTGACATTAAAATGAATTAAAAATTCTTCCTAAAATATTTCCTCCTTTTCACACTGCAGAACCTTATCTGAATGAAAATTTTTTTCACTTTCACAAATGTTGCGCATGCTTTAAGAATGCTTTTTTGTAGTAATTTTTTTAAAATTTGAGAGAATATTCACGTGCATGAGCACGTTGCTTGAATCAAAACAGAGAGGAAAATGGAAAACTGTGAGAGAATAATTGTTTATAATTTTAATTGAACTCGCAGTTTTATATGACATTGAATAAATTTTTTTAAAAAATTGCTGTCACGTTGTAAGAATTTTTATTTCAATTTTAACGGAAATTTAAACATAATTACAATTAATCATTTTTAAAAGCTCCTTCATGTAGATAAGATGATCGACCATTTCAATCATATCATCCTTAGTGAGCTGGTTTTTGAGAAAGCTCCTTTTATTATAGACAACAACTTAAATATTACATGCATTCTTATTTACTTGTTGCTTTTCGAAAATATATTTCTAAGTTAATTGAGCTTTTCCAGCAATTTCTCTGAGCTTTTTCGAAAATTGTTTTATTATTTTTTCGAAGACTAGAAGTGAATATTTGATTTATATTTATTAAATAGTTTACAGAGTGAAATTAAGTAAAAGAACTTAACAAGTAAGTAAATAAGTAATTAGAATATACGGTAAACATGGAATTTTACCATATTTTTGATAATTTTAGTCGTGTTAAAATGCAATTAAATTTTAAGTTCATAAATTATGCACATGATTGATTTTGCTGTTATTTATAAACATATTTGATTACCTCATTATGCACAAAAAATTCGAACAGCTAATTATAATTTTGTGCACGTATAGAAGACATCTTATATTACTTACTAAGTACAAAGGTTAATTTTTTGCGTATACAAAGTTCATTATAATTGATATGAAAAAAAACAAAATATTGATTTTATTTAATTATGATTTCAGCACCTTTTTTTAATGTGTTTGCAAATTTATATCCAACAATTATAAATGGTCAATGACAATATTAATATTAAACAAAAATTGAAAAAAATTGTAGCAAAACAGGCTAATCAATTCAAATATCAGCGATTTGACAAGAAGAAGATCCGAGATATGGCAGAGATCAGGAGAAGACCTTTCTTCAAGACAATACTCAATATAGTTCACAGATTTGTAGTTTTAATTTTGCGATTCATATTTAAGAATATCATTTATGGAGAAAAAGGACAAAGTGTTCCCCCCATTAAAAACCTCTTACTATTGGAACCGGCAACAACTTTAGCGATGAAAATAAGAACGAAAAAAATCACAAGTGTTGAAGTTATGCAAGCATTTATTGAACGTATTGAGGTATGCAATTATTGTTAATTAATTTGACACAGCTATGCACAGTCTGAATGCTATAAACTTTTTTTAAAGGAAATAAACCCAATTATAAACTGCGTTGTTGACGAACGTTTTGCTGAAGCACTGAAGGAAGCTGAAGAAGTTGACAAATTGATTGCTAGTGATGTAATGACAGAACAAGAAATACTAGAAAAAAAGCCCTTTTTAGGTTTACCAATTTCTACAAAAGACTGTATATCTGTCAAAGATTTGCTTAATACTGGTGGAGTATATCATCGACGAAATGTAAGAGCAAAAGAAGATTCAACAGTTATCGCAAGAATGCGTGAAGCAGGTGCAATTCCATTTTGCCTTACAAACATATCGGAACTGTGTATGTGGTATGAAAGTAATAACACTGTTCATGGACGTACGAATAATCCCTACGATACGTATCGTATTGTTGGAGGCTCATCAGGTAAATCATAATGTCCTTAAAACTCAATGAAATCTTATATCTAATATTAATAGGCGGTGAGGGTGCAATTCAAGCTGCTGGCGCTTCGCCATTTGGAATAGGAAGTGATATAGGTGGAAGTATAAGAATGCCTGCATTTTTCAATGGCATTTTTGGTCATAAACCTTCACGAGAAGTTGTTTGTAATAAACGTCAATTCCCTGCACCATTTACTGAAGAACAACGCAACATGTTAAGTACAGGTCCAATGTGTCGATTTGCTTGTGACTTGAAACCTATGTTAAAAGCATTAGCTAATAAAGAACACATAAAACTATTGAAACTTGACGAGCCTGTTGATGTTAAGAAAATTAAAGTGTTTTATCAAGAAAATGATCTCGGTGGTTATTTGGTATCTCAAGTTGACAAGGATATTCAGGAAGCTTTAAAGAAAGTTGCAAATTATTTTAAGAATTCATTGAAAAACGAAGTAACTAGAGTTGAAATCGCACGAACAAAAAATACAGCTGCAATGTGGTTTGCTAATATGATCTCAAAGGATTCACCATCATTTTCAGAACAAGTCGCCGAAGATCCTGATGGTAAAATTAATGGATTTGTTGAACTTGCAAAATGGATGTTTGGAAAATCGAATCATACATTTATTGGTATAATGACGAGTCTAACGGAATCAACTTCAGTTCAACCAGGAAGCATCAAGCATAAATATCTTCTCAGTGAACGTGACAAAATAATTGAAGAGTTTCGCGAAATGCTTAAAGATGATGGAGTTTTTCTATATCCAACACATCCATGTGTAGCTCCTTATCACAATGAGCCCATGTTGCGTACCTTAAATTTCAGTTATACTGCACTTATCAATTTATTAGGCATGCCAAGCTGTAACATTCCCTTAGGATTGGGTCGTGAAGGAGTTCCCGTTGGAATTCAAGTTGTCTCTAATTACAATAATGATCGATTGTGTTTAGCTGTTGCTTGCGAATTAGAAAAAGCATTTGGTGGATGGGTAAACCCACCTGAATGTAAATGAATTTGATTTGTTTTTCTTTGGTAATTAAGGCTGTTCTATTTTTGTACAATTGTCTTGTGATTGTTATTTTTTACAAATGTTTGCAAACATTTTATACCTGCTTTATGGGATTAACTATACTATTAATCATACTTAATTTAATTAAATCTGTATTAAATGAATGATTGTTATATTGACTTTATTGACACAATAAAAGTGTGTAGTGTAAACATCAATTTTTGCATTAAATTTTAGAAATAAATGAATTTTCCATACTTTTCCTTACTCTTTTTAATGCAACATAACTTATAATTTCAGACAATGTTTTTGTGAAAACTTGTTTTCTGAATGTTTTCCTTTCCAATGTTTAAAACTCAACTGCTTCAATTAAATCGATTATTTTATATTACGATGTTTATCATTTTCACATGCTACTATTCAGTGAGTGGTTGAGCAGCAAGCACGCATGTTATAATTAACTTTAGGTATGTATAAAAATCAGGTGTATTGATAGAAAGTTTCAAGAATGAATCAAAATCAGATATTTTTTCTGTTGAAATATTATGACGAAAAATATGAAATATGTAGTTCCTTCATTTTAAAATATTCACTTATCTAATATATAAAAGCCCAACTCACTGATTCACTGACTCTGGAACGGAAGCAATGTGAAGACATTTGTGAAGCCGTGTGAAGACAAAAATTTAAGGGGGGCAAAGTGGGTGTCAGGTGGGGATTGGGGGCAAGGGGGGTGTCAGTTATATTTTATGAAGCCAATGATGTGAGGGTTGCTGAAAAGGTTGGTGTCAGTTGGGGGGGGGTTGACAAAGTGGGTGTCAGGTGAGGGGTGGGTGTCAGGTGGGGATTGAGGGCAAGGGGGTGTCAGGTATATTTTGTGAAGCCAATGATTTGAGGGGTGCTGACAAGGTGGGTGGGGGGGGGGGTAAGGTGAGGGGGTTTGTGGGAAAAGTTTGGTGTCAGGAATATTTTGTGAAGCCATATAAAATTTTGTGAAGCCATGTGAAGTTTTGTGAAGCCATGCGAAGCTTTGTGAAAAGACATTGTGGGTTTCGGGGGAATTAAAAATTTAGTGGGATTAAGGGGGTCCGAGTTTGAGGAGGTTTGTGAAGCCATGTGAAGTTTTGTGAATCTATTTATAAAGTTTTTGCGGGATTAAGAAAGTCCGAGTTTGAGGGAGTTTGTGGAGCCATTTATAAAGTTTTAGTGGAATTAAGGGGGTTCGAATTCGAGGGGGTATGTGAAGCCCTGTGAAGTTTTGTGAAGCCATTTATAAAATTATTGAGGGATTAAGGGGGTCCGAGTTTGAGGAGTTTTGTGAAGCCATGTGAAGTTTTGTGAAGCTATTTATAAAGTTTTTGCGGGTTTAAGGAAGTTCGAGTTTGAGGGAGTTTGTGAAGTCATTTATAAAGTTTTAGAGGGATTAAAGGGATTCGAGTTCGAGGGGGTTTGTGAAGCCCTGTGAAGTTTTGTGAAGCCATTTATAAAATTTTTGAGGGATTAAGAAAGTCCGAGTTTGAGGGAGTTTGTGGAGCCATTTATAAAGTTTTAGTGGAATTAAGGGGGTTCGAATTCGAGGGGGTATGTGAAGCCCTGTGAAGTTTTGTGAAGCCATTTATAAAATTATTGAGGGATTAAGGGGGTCCGAGTTTGAGGAGTTTTGTGAAGCCATGTGAAGTTTTGTGAAGCTATTTATAAAGTTTTTGCGGGTTTAAGGAAGTTCGAGTTTGAGGGAGTCTGTGAAGTCATTTATAAAGTTTTAGAGGGATTAAGGGGATTCGAGTTCGAGGGGGTTTGTGAAGCCCTGTGAAGTTTTGTGAAGCCATTTATAAAATTTTTGAGGGATTAAGGGGGTCCGAGTTTGAGGAGTTTTGTGAAGCCATGTGAAGTTTTGTGAAGCTATTTATAAAGTTTTTGCGGGTTTAAGGAAGTTCGAGTTTGAGGGAGTTTGTGAAGCCATTTATAAAATTATTGAGGGATTAAGGGGGTCCGAGTTTGAGGAGTTTTGTGAAGCCATGTGAAGTTTTGTGAAGCTATTTATAAAGTTTTTGCGGGTTTAAGGAAGTTCGAGTTTGAGGGAGTTTGTGAAGTCATTTATAAAGTTTTAGAGGGATTAAGGGGATTCGAGTTCGAGGGGGTTTGTGAAGCCCTGTGAAGTTTTGTGAAGCCATTTATAAAATTTTTGAGGGATTAAGGGGGTCCGAGTTTGAGGGGGTTTGTGAGGCCATGTGAAGTTTTGTGGTAGGATTGACCTTAAAAACATTATGGTTATTTGCGTCTTACAGTTATTTACATAATAGTAATCAAATTTTAACCACGGGCGCCTCCGGATAGCCTAGTACTTTTATATAGCGCTACCGGCATAACTTTAGGTAAAATCAAAGTTGGATGAGTCAGAAATAATCACAGATTTAAGTCTTTATCACTATGAGAAAATAACAAATTAATAAAAAAAATATTCAATCATTCTTCCAACTTAATCTTATCGCACGCGATAACAAATTTATATTTTCGAAAATCGTCAGTCGCGTGTATAGTAAAGTCCATACATTGTCTAGATATTTTTAGTTTCTAAATTGACTGTCGCGAGAACATTCAGTGAATTGAAATTTTCATTTAAATTATATTTAAGCAGGAACAATGGCATCAAGTGTAATTTTGACAATATTATCTACTATTCATCAAATCGTTGTATTTATTGGAAGATATGTATTCAAGAACTTTGTGTATGGCGAAAAAGGTGAAAAAGTTCCGCCTATAAATAATCCTCTTTTATTGGAATCTGCAACATCTTTGGCAAGAAAAATCCGAACACGAGAAGTGTCCAGTGTTGAGGTCATGACAGCTTTTATCGAACGTGTTAAGGAAATAAACCCCATTATAAACTGCGTTGTTGACGAAAGATTTTCAGATGCATTGAAGGAATCTGAAGAAGTTGACAAGTTCATTGCCAGCGGTGCAATGTCAGAAGAGGAGATGGAACAAAAAAAGCCATTCTTAGGCTTGCCGATTTCCACAAAAGATTCGATTCGAGTAAAAGGAATGATAAATACCGCTGGATGCTTTCATAGAAAAGATATAATTGCTGATAATGACGCACCAGTTGTTCAAAATATGAAGAAAGCTGGAGCAATATTCTATTGCCTTACAAACGTTCCAGAATTGTGCATGTGGTTCGAAAGTAATAACGAAATTTTTGGCAGAACTAGGAATCCTTATGATACATTCCGTATTTGCGGTGGCTCATCAGGTAATTAATAATGTTTTTAACAAATTTATTTAATACCCTGTTTAATACCAATAAATAATTAATGGCAATATTAAGGTGGAGAAGGTGCAATTCAAGCTGCTGGAGCTTCTCCATTTGGAATTGGAAGTGATATTGGTGGAAGTATTCGAATGCCTTCATTTTTTAACGGTATTTTTGGACATAAAACATCAAGGCATATTGTTTCAAATGAGGGACAGCATCCTTCAGTTCATACAGCAGAGGAAGAGCATATGCTAGGTATAGGACCGATGTGTCGTTTTGCAAGTGATCTTAAACCGATGTTGAAACTATTGGCTAAAGAGGAAAAGGTAGCTTTGTTGAGATTAGACGAACCAGTTGATGTTAAAAAAATTAAGGTTTATTATCAAGAGAATGATCTTGGTGGAGATTTTGTCACACCAGTTGATAAGGATATTCAAATTGCTCTTATGAAGGTCGTTGATTACTTCAAGAATAGTCTAAATTTGGAAGTAACCAAGACACACATTTCTCGTACCAAGAACAATATACCAATGTGGCTTGCAAATATGAGTTGCAGAGGAAGTATTCCGTTAGCTCAGCAAATCTCACCTAATCCAAGCCAAAAAGTCAATCTTTATTTAGAGCTAGTTAAAAAGCTGTTTGGAAAGTCCCATCATACATTAGCAGTAATATTGACGGCTTTAAAAGCAGAATTTGGAGTTAAAGCAGACACACCTGAACATAAGTATCTTCAAGAAGAACGTGATAAAACTATTGAAGATTTCCAGGATATTTTAAAAGATGATGGTATTTTCTTATATCCATCACATGCTTCTGTTGCTACATATCATAGTGAAACATTATTAAGACCACTCAACTTTACCTATACATCACTTATCAATTTATTAGGCATGCCAAGCTGTAACATTCCCTTAGGATTGGGTCGTGAAGGAGTTCCCGTTGGAATTCAAGTTGTCTCAAATTACAATAATGATCGATTGTGTTTAGCTGTTGCTTGCGAATTAGAAAAGGCATTTGGTGGATGGGTAAATCCTAATCCATAAAGTAATATAAAAGTAATTTGTGCCTTATTATTGTTTTATTAATTAAAGATTCGAATTGAAATAAATGATGGATTAGTCTGTATTTTCAAGGTGTTTAATTATTCCAAGCAGTGCTGATCTTTTTGATAACACAGTTTTGTAGCTAATTTTTTGTATTTCCTTCAATGTCTTCGATTTCATAATTGTTTTACAAACAGAGTCAGCATGACACAGCACGTAGATTCCACAGTCATAGCAATTATTCTGCTGCAGACAATCAACTTGCTCAATTTTTACATTATTTGACAGTTTAAGACATGATTTAATAATGTTTACGAGTTTTGAGCATACCCAATAATTACTGCTTCCTGATGAATCAAAGTGATAAAAAGTCTTATCAGGCTTGCTATAAACCAAAAGTGACCAATGACTACCTCCTACTTGGTCCTTTGAATTATTATTTATTGGGAAAATTATAAAGTTCTTTTCTTCAACATCTAGTGAATCTAATATGACTGCATTAATTTCATCTGGATTTTCCATCAACTTTATAGCCTGTGTTACTTCACTGCCTTGTAATAGAAAGCATATAAAATTAATTTTGTTTTCATTTTTATATTCATTTAAACAGCTGTTATTCTTACCCAAAAATAGAATTTCTTTGCTTTCATAAATTTCATGCTGAAGATAGTCAAAATAAAATGAGATGATCCTATCATTTATCCATTCCGTTTCCAAATAAAGTATTTCTACATCAGACTTGTATAAGCAGCTGTCATGGTACGAAATAATTAATTTATCCATTTCAATGCTCGTCTAGTAGAACGGAGACCTACCAAATTCAGAATAGAACAGATATACATTCGAACTTAGGGGATCAACAACTGAATATGTCGAAAATAGGGGAAATAAGTCAGATTGTTTTGGTTAATACAAAAACAAAAAAAATTTCAAACAGTAACGCGTGCTTGCTAAAATTATTGAAAATTGTGAATTATAGTGGAAAACAAAAGTAGTGTTTATGATATTAAGTAAAATTGCAAAGCATTCATTAATTGGCATTAGAAATTTTAGAAATTGTGTTCGTTCTTTATCTGTTTCAAGCAAAATGTTTAATAATAAGAGCTTGGAGAGCAACATGAAGTACATTTTAGTGACTGGTGGAGTGATATCTGGGGTTGGAAAAGGAGTTATAGCCAGTTCTTTTGGAACATTATTAAATTGTAGTGGAATATCGGTAACATCCTTAAAAATAGACCCATATATTAACATTGATGCAGGAACTTTCTCGCCATATGAGCACGGTAAGTGAAATTTGAGGATTAGAAAGGTTTTTAAGTAACACGTGTGGGCAGTATGATTTCCAAGAATGCATATTTCGCAGACGTCTGTAACCCAAGCGAAAGCTTTGAGCAAATGCGCAAAAGAAATCATTTAGTTTATTTATAAAATAATATAGTTTCAAGAACTAGTCATATACGTTATATCTGTATATATCCTAACATTTTTTCTGATGAAAATTGTTTACTTTAGGAGAAGTATATGTTTTGGACGATGGAGGAGAAGTTGATTTAGATTTGGGCAATTATGAAAGATTCTTGGATGTGACATTACATAGAGACAATAACATAACTACCGGAAAAATCTATAAACAAGTTATTGAAAAAGAGCGTGAAGGTCAATACCTAGGAAAAACAGTTCAAGGTTCGTTGCGAAAAAAGATACATTTTTGTTGTTTCCTTTTTGTAAATCACAATCTGTGCATTACTAATTATTTTTTTTTTTAAACGTAGTCGTTCCTCATATCACAGATGCAATTCAAGAATGGGTAGAAAGAGTTGCTCAACAGTCAGTCAAAGCTAACGTGAAACCTGAAGTATGCATAATAGAACTAGGCGGAACTATTGGGGATATTGAAGGAATGCCCTTTGTTGAAGCTTTTAGACAGTTTCAATTCAGAGTCAAGGTAATTTTTTTTTTCAAAAAAAACTACATATTTAGATACCTACATGTATGAATAAACTTCTATTTATAGCGCGAAAATTTCTGTGTTGCTCATGTATCGCTTGTTCCGATGCCTCGATCAACAGGTGAACCCAAAACAAAGCCAACACAAGCATCTGTTAGAGAATTAAGAGGCCTCGGATTGTCACCAGATTTAATTGTTGTATGTATTTTTGCATATATGCATATGCAATATATTTTAATTGAATTTTAAATTTAACTCTTAATTAAATGAAATTAATTGCTTAGGTTCGGTCTGAACGAGCTATAGGTCAAGAAGTGAAGGAGAAGATAAGCAATTTTTGTCATGTTGGCCCAGATCAAGTCATCTGTATTCATGATCTATCATCTATATATCACGTGCCGATTTTAATGGAATCAAGCGGAGTTATGAAATTTTTAACTGAACGTCTTCATCTTAATATTGCTCCAGGTCGTCCTGACAAACCACTCAGCCGATGGAGGTAGATTAACATCCTTTTTTTCTTAATTATTCTTCACAGACAAAATATGCTTTTTTATAACTGTGTAGAGATCTTGCTCGAAGGGTTGACAATTTGACGAGAGAAGTGACGATTGCACTTGTTGGAAAATATACACGTTTAGAAGATAGCTATGCATCAGTATCGAAATCACTACAACATGCTTCAATTCAAGCAGGCTATAAGTTAAACTTAATTTTCATTGAGGCATGTAACTTGGAAAGAACAATGAAGCATGATAATCCTGTGTTGTATCATGAAGCTTGGCAACTTCTCTGCAAAAGTGATGGAGTTTTAGTTCCAGGCGGGTTTGGACAGAGAGGAATAGAAGGCAAAATTCGAGCATGCCAATGGGCTCGTGAAAAGAAGAAGCCATTCTTAGGTATATGTTTAGGATTGCAAGCAGCCGTTATCGAATATGCTAGAAATGTTTTGAAACTTGAAGATGCTAATTCAACGGAAGTTAATCCGGAAACAAAGTATCCATTAGTAGTTGACATGCCTGAACATCATCCAGGTCAAATGGGAGGAACTATGCGATTAGGCAGGAGAACGACATTATTTAAGGGCGACAGTACAATTAGAAAATTGTATGGAAATGCTGAATCAGTTGACGAAAGACATCGTCATCGTTATGAAGTTAATCCAAAGTTTATTGACGAATTAGAAAAAAATGGACTTAAGTTTGTTGGACATGACTCGGAACAACAGAGAATGGAAATTATGGAATTAGACAATCATCCATATTACGTTGCAACACAATATCATCCAGAATATTTATCTCGTCCATTGAAACCATCACCACCATTCTTGGGATTAATTTTGGCATCGATTGGGAAACTTCAAATGTACTTAAATCAAGGATGTCGATTGTCACCAAAACAATTGAGTGATGCAAGCTCAGATGATGAAGAAACGATGATTGCACTCGCAAATACTATGAAAAAATCAACCCTTTTGATGCCCCCAAAACTAAATGGACATACTAACGGAAGCAGTTCAACTGGTTCAATTGGATCTTATGAAAGCTCAAGTGCAGAGGAGTTAGAAAAGTAAAGACAGACGAAAAGCATTTAAAATTGAGTATCTCAAATAACATTTTTTAAATTATTTTTGACTTTCTTTATTCCATCCTATCTCCCTTCCCTAACTGTATTTCAAGAAAAATTATGTCAAAATCATAGCCTATGTATAGTTTAAGTCTGTAAAGTTTAATAATTTAGAAAATCAAAATAAAGTTGTTCTCTCTTTTTAAAAAAAAAAATTATATAGTCTAAGCTTGTATTATCACTACTTGTCATAACATAATAACAATAAATGCAATTATCTCTTCAATGATCCATGATGAAAACAAAAATAGTGAACAGAAAAAAATAGCTTTTGTCACGTACACATCGAATCTAGGCTGGCATCACGTTAGACACATAACGATAGAGAGAATATGCTCACATGTTTTTGGCAATTTTTGATAATTTTATTAAAATATTTTTGTACTCAAAAAGTTAATGCTTGGAACGGTCTTTTTTCATATATAGTTACGTGTAATAGTCTGTGCATTTGTGGAACTTAACTGTTTCTAAGGACGAGACTCTATAGGACTTCTGTCAACAATCTCTTAATTTGCTACATTATTCAACTTCTTTTCTGATTATTCATGATGTTAAAGAACGAAGATCCAGCGATAAAAGACTAAATTAAGGAATGTGGATCTTCCGTCAATTTTAACGACCAATGGACTTGTAAGGAAAAGTCATGAAAAGTAGTGTAAACTAGAATGCTCGCGTTTGTAAAGGAATCGCTTAATATAATAAAGAGAGCAGCCAGCGATAACCTTTGACCAGACAATCATTGCTGTGTGCAAGAGATGAAGCAAATAATAATAAATGCTTCCTCTCATTTCCATTCGAGCTGTTGACTATCACACAACGTATTCCAAAAAACATTCGCATTAGACTTTCAGCGAACAAAACATTTTGTTTTCGTGTCCAAGTGTGTGACTTGATATTTTTTTGAAAAAAAAAAAATAATAAACTCTGATCTTTCGATCAAAGAACTATAGACAATTCTAGTGATTCAGTGCTGTTAATCCTGAAAATTATTATTAATATATTTTTATTTTGAAGTGATTGTAGACTTTTAAGAACTAAAGAACATTTTCTAAGAACCGTTGATCCATAAGTATACATGATAAATTCAAACAGAGAAGCCATAAGTGAAGTGTTGTTTAAGCATCCAAACTCAGGATATATCGTCTTTGACGAAAGTGAAATTATTCTTGCACCATCTCAATTTATTTGTGACAGTAAGTGTTTGAAATTAAACAAAGACTTTCTTATTTTTTGTCGTACATGACCAATCGAACATTCTATTCGTTTTCCATACTGATTGCTTCACGAGGTTAAAGTTTTATTGACTACTCAACAATTTTAATCTCATTCTTATTATTATTTTCATTTAATTCCGTTTGAATTGTTCACATTAATTAATTTATTAATTATTCTTGCTTTTCGCTAAGATTGCAAAATGTCGAGATTAGCAATGTCTTGCTATGCTGCTACAAAGCATCAATATCCAGATAGTGATAAGAAGGTGGCTCGAGTTCAGAGCAAGGAAAAGAAGCAGGGTAAAGAGCGCTCATCAAATAAGTACGGTGAAATGGAAGCGACAATTTCTCTTGATAAATACAATGGAAAGCTGATGAACAGCATTTGGGGCTTGTATAACAGGTATTCAGCACAATATTATTTTATAAAACTAATGATAATTTTGGATATTTTTGTAGGAACTCTCCTCATAACTTCAAATCACTCCAAAATGCTGAAGAAGTCGTTGGCATCGAAAAGGAACAAGGGATGAAGGCCGACTCTAAAAAAGTCGGTTCTTCATCCTTTGTTCAATTCTCCGTTCCACAATTTAGTGGAATGGTTGCTCTCGAGACTAAATTTGAAGTCACGAAGCAAAAGACATCCTTGGAGAAGCTTGAAAATCTTTTCGCTTCACCAATCTTCTAATCATGCTCTATGTACTTATAGTCATCACTTCACTTATATGGAACAGAAACAATAAAAAAAAAATCAACTCACATGATATGCAAGACTTAATAGTTCTTCTTATTTCTGTTTCATTGAATACTTTATTAATATTCTATAATCAATTTTGCAAGGATATAGTAATTAAAAATATTTTTTTAAACGACTTCATGTGGTTCAAGGAAGCATCTATGACTAACCATTCTGTAAATTTAAGATAGGAAAAAAATTGTATGCAATTATTATTATGTAGACTATAATCAATAAAATTAAATATCGTGATATTTATGCAAAATTTATTACCTAGTATTTTCACTCCATTCATCGTTTGCATTCTGTGACTTGGAATTCATTTCCAAATACTTTTGAAAATCATAAATGCTAAAAGTTTCCTCTTGCAGGATGAATGATCCGATTTCACGTGTTCGTGGGGGACAATAATATCTGTAAATGTAAACATTAAGTTATTCTTTGTTGCTAGTGAAAATAAATTCTCAATAGTCATTCGACCTCTGCTTTTAAATCTTAGGAATGACATTCGAATACTACCTTTTAGTAATGAAACAAAGTTAATGACTTACGATTCGAAAAGATGATCAATTTGAACAAAATGCTGTCCAAAAGCGTTTCTTAGAAACTTTCCGTTATCACTAATTGACGCTTTCCAATTTAAACAGATCGTCATGTGTCTATTGTTTGCTTGAACTATTGTATTTAAATCATCATTAGTTATATTTTGTTGAGTAAATGGAAAATATTTTGTTTTATGCTTAAGCATAAAGTTGTCGGTCCGTTGCATTTGAAAGATTTCATTCTTAAGTTCACTTAAAGTTCGTATGCAATAAAATGATAAATTTTCTTTGAACACAGCCGCAATGTCCACTTTCTTTAGATTGGTCTGCTCCTTTTTGTCTAGCATGCAACGAAGGCTAAGTGATTCATTTGGTAACAATTCAGATTTGTCTTTTGTTTCCTTAACTATTGAATTGTTGACAACTAGAAGCATATAAAAAAAAGTTGTTATTAAAATCAAGCTCTGACAATACGTAGATGCATGGAAAATCCAGACCAGTAAGTGGATCAAACTTACAATAAACTTTATCAGCATTTAAAGAAAATGTCTCGCAATAAATGAATAAATCTCCTAATAAAACGTTAATACTATACAGATGATGAGTTTGGTTTAGATTCTTGGCTGCTACATCAATTCCGACATCTCCAGACACCTCATCTGCTATGTTACAATTACTCTCAACATTGAGACAATCATTAACATTTAGGAATATCTCGTGTCGAACCAAACGGTATCTTAAAATGGAATTATATTAATATATTAACAAGATCGAAATTAAATAGCAAGTCATGTCATACTTAAGTTTCGGGTAGTTGTCGGGTACATTATAATAAATAAGTATTTTGATTGACTTTTTTCCCTTTTTGAAAGGAGCTTGCATATAAAATCCAATTCTTTTAATTTCGTTAGGATGTAATAAGTTATCACCGTCTTTACTATCTATGAGTTTCATCACAAATTGTCGTCTAGCTTCCTTATCCTTATTGAATGTTTCATTCGTTATATCACGGAAATCTTTTGCAAACGACAATGGAACTTCACACTTTTCACTTGTTTTAATAATGATCTCTTTTGGACTATTTGATGCTATATAAATTTCAGATATTGGACTATTTCCTGAATTATAAATTTCCATTGATGCTTCGAAAATTTCACCCGTCAATGCTTCTTTTGGGAATTCTGTAAATCGAACCTTCATTGCAGTGCATGACGGTAATATTTGAATCTCAAGCTTTCGATCATAATCCTGTTTTGCTGGATTCGCTTCAATCTTAACTGGAAGCTTATTAAAGTTTATCTTTCCCCAAATTTGAATTTTGTCAGTGACCGATGAAATTCTACCAACAATACCTACTATTCTCAAGTATCCAACAAACTCGGTTGTTATTGTCATGTGAATCTGTTTCTTTTCATATTCTCCAAACTCTATGGATTCAATCATTGTGCATTTTACGACACTCTCATTCGGTATATACTCTGGAAACAAATATTGAGACTTAAGGGCTGAAGTGTACTTTAGGAGGGGGGGGGGGGGGGGGGGGGGGCAATATATGAAAAATTTTTTATTATTGTTTTAAACTAAAAATGATGTAAATGAGTAGAAAATTGAGTGATTTTGAGTAAAATTTGGCAAAAAAAATTTTTGAAATTTTTCACCTTTTTAAGATTTGGGAGCCGGAAGTTGAATCAAATAGTGAAGAATCCGAAAGTAATTTATAAACTTTAAACATAATTTTTAATTTTTAAAAAAACAAAAATACTTATCTAGCGTAAGACTATAATGATCATTTAGACAAAAGGTCCGAAAATACTGATTTTACGTAAGACTATAATGATCCCTTTGACAAAAGGTCCGAAAAAACTGATTTTACGTAAGACTATAATGATCCCTTAGACAATAGGTCCGAAAACACTGATTTTACTTAAGACTATAATGATTCCTTAAACAAAAGGTCCAAAAACACTGATTTTAAGTAAGACTATAATGATCCTTTAGACAAAAGGTCCGAAAATACTGATCTACCGTAAGACTGTAATGATCCCTTAGACAATCTGTCCGAGAATACTGAAAGTATTTCTGCATTCAAAATATAAAAAAATGCAAAAAAAACTACTAAAACTTAAAAAATTGAAAAATTTGCAAAAATTTCAAAAAAATTTTTTTGTCAAATTTCACTCAAAATCTTTTAAATTAACTTTTTTTACTATAATTTTACTATTTTCTACACATTTACAGCATTTTAAACTTAAAAAAATAATAAATTTTTTTTTTCATATATTGCCCCCCCCCCCCCCTTTAAAGTACACTTTTACCGAATTAAGTTCATCATAGTATTATATTCGTGCTTACCTCCATTCTTAAAGAATCCACGATTAGAAAACAATTCGCCACTATCTTTTTTGAATTCCCAAAGTAAAGTTACGTTTTCAAACAAGACGGAAGGTTTAATTGGATTTTCAAGCTCATAAGACATGTGTATCGGTTCCCCAAAAATGCACAAAGGATGCTCAATTGACGGAGTTTCGCCACAATATAATGATCGAGACGGTTTAAACATCATTATTTGCTTTTTTGCAGCAGATTGGACCAACATTTCTTCAAGCTTGGTCCACATCCATGATTCTTCTAAACTTCCATTGATGTCGATATTACTTGCAGCAACTTCTCGTTCAGTTCTGTCTGGAGAAATTGACGTAACAAGAATACGAACGGACGTTTGATTCAAACATGGTAGTGATATTGCTAACAAGTCATCATTATTTGACTGAGAAATTAAAGCTTTCATTGTTGTAATGTATTCACGTAGAAAACCAGATTGCTGTTGAGAATTTTGGAGACTAGTTGGACGTAAAAGATGCGATAAACATTCTATCGCTTCTTCTAATCTCTTTAATGCTATCGCTTGCTTACTTATTGTATATTGAATGTGATCTTCAGCTAAATTCCAGCCCCTATTTGATATTACTTGCTCTGCTTGCTTATACATTCGAAATGCATGCTTTCTTTGACCAGCTTTCGTATAACGATGTCCAGATAAAACCGAATGGAATGAATATTTGCGATAATAAGGTGGCTGAGCGTAGAGATAACAATATGCAGCTTGTTCTAATAACAATGCTGATCTCAAATCTGCATCTTCACTTGTCATACGTGTTAACTGTTTAGCAGAATCAACATAAAGCTGTGCTGTTTTTAAGCATTCGATGCTTAAAACTGTCGCACGTGTAGCAAACTGCGGAAGACGGCAAACAGTCAGATATGTTGTTATTGCCTCCTCCATATAATCATATGTCTTTCGATTAGCAGTGCCTTGCATGAATGCAGCAAGAGCAGCCATTTCTAAAGATCCAGCATAAAATTGCCAAGCAGAATCAGCATAAAAATCTCGCTTTGCCTGATGATATGCCTGAAAAGCCAAATTATAATTTCCAAACATGAAATATAAATCTCCCAATTTTCGTGTTTGCAATTCAGTCGAGTCTGATGTATAAATTACAGCAGTTTGAGGTGCAACTCCAGGCTTATTTGTATTAAACCACCTTTTGGTCGCGCCCAGCAAGCTTTTACTAACACTCTTCTTATTGGCAATAGAATCATTGAGTTGCCCAACAATTCTTTCGACATACGGAATCAAAGATCTAATTGTAAAATCTTGAACAAAGTGCTTTAAATTATCTAAATCGCTACTACCAAGAAATCCACCATGAAGTACATTAATTTCTGTTGGCTCATTTAGCCACACATTGGGATTAATATTTTGGATTTGATCGCTCAAACTGTTTGTACTTGATGACATTTTTAAAGTCGTTTGTGGAATTAACATGTCTGGAATCGATTCTTGTAATGGGCTCAGGGGATGGATCATTTCAGGTGGCGAACTTGGAATGGGTTTTGGCTCAGTTATTTGTATTGTATTAGGCATTTGTGTAATGTCTTGTGGTGTTTTCGGTAGACTTTCAATATTTGCTTCAGTTTCCTAAAATACATCACATTACTCAGAGTCAAAATCACCTACTCATTTTTATGATACTCACATTCTTTTGATAATTTGTCATAAACTTGATCCAATAATCAGTTTGTGTGTTATTTGATTCCTTCAAAGAGTTTATTTGGATGAGAAAGCAACGATTGTCTCCAAAAGTTCCCTTTAAATTTTCAAAAGCTTGTTGTGCTTTTGAGATATCGCCTGTTGATCCATCATGTAACATGACGTAACAGTTTAAAGCATCATCAGATGTTGCAGAAATCCATTTTGGTAATTTTGGAGGAGTAATATTTTGCATCATTTTAATTTTCTTGGTCAAGTGATTAGCTTGCTCAACTGGATTAGAATCACTGCTTGAAACAACTATAAGACATGCGAGTATGTGACGTGTAAACTCATGATCAGATGGAAATTGGACAGAAAAGAAGACTTCTCGCCATTTATCGTACCAACAACTCTTTTCTGGTATCTGTATAGTTTCGGATTGGTTTGCAAGTTTAATCTCACGCATTTTCTCAACTTCCGTATTATTTGAAACCGATTCATTAAGCATTTTTCGTGCAAGTAACGTCTGAGGTGGTCGATAATCAACATCACAAATATTTAATCGAAGTCCTCGAACAGATACAGAAACTCCACTGCTGTCACGAAAATGTGCTAAAAACATCCAAAGGATTTATTTAATGCCGCAAAAGAGCTAATCTTTTGTTGAAATACTTACCTTCGGTTGATATCTTTGAAAAAGGTTGCATTAATTGTACAAAAGTCAAATTGTTTTTTAAGCATAATTCTTCTGCTGCCTGTGAGCATGTTGCACCAATCAATGGAGACGAAAAAATACTTTGTATTAATTCTTTAGGTGATGAACTAGCATCAACATTAGTTAAATTAATCATAACTATGATTTTAAGATAAAAATTGTTCTATTTTCTAAAAATTAAAAAATTGATGATAAATGAGGCTCAATCACTAATTTATGTCCAACAGTCTACATAATCACTACTCACAAATTTGGACCACTACTTTCATCACTTTCTTCTTTGTTTTGAAAGTGTATTGTGATCTATTTTTATTTAAAAACTACAAAGATAAGAAAACGAGAGGCATAAATAATTAAATTCATTTTAACAATTTATGCCTCCGGAACTTGTTTACAGACCCAAACAGCTGATTTTCGAAATTTTTCTGCGAAAATTCGTTAATCAAAGTTGTGCTTTGTTTTCTCCTTAGTTTAATTAAATCTACACTATTTTATTATTGTTCAGCTCCATTATTAAATCAGGAACAAAAGGACTCGTTTTAGGAGCGTAATTTGTTAATTAAATTCAAATAAGTTTTCGTCAATAAAGCACCAACACATATAAACGTTTGTTTACAATTTATAATGTAAAATTTTCTCAAAAGTTGTTAATTTATTTATTTTTTGTTTATTAACTTAAGTGTTTGTCTTAATTTTAAATTATGGTGGTTCTTTCGGAATCAGTGTATGATGAAATTGTAAATTTCATATTAAATTATAAGGGATTAGCTATAGAATGTGAGGCCGATTTAGAAAGTCAGTTTCGGAATGTTCCAGTTAATGCATTAAGATCCATTCTGTCAAAGCAAGGGCAGAACCTCACCAAAACTTTTTACTCACGGAACCATCTGAAATCAAAGGCCATATTAAGAGAGTAAGCAGCATAATAACTTTGATTTTGTTTTTTATGGATAAGACTAAGAGTAAATATTCTATTTAGGTATCATGGAAGAGTTAAGGATGAAAAGACAATAATGGAAATGGCTATGGAATATAAGTCCCCTCCAATGTCGATTTGTCGAATGATTTTGAACGAGATGTACTCAAAAACAGAAGTAAAAGAAATGTTGAAGGACCCAAATTGTATACCTGATCTGTTGTTGAGCTCCAATGTTTTGTGAGTAATTAAAAGTCTTGTCTTAACTAGTGTATCGGGTAGAAACCCAATGCGGATTATATTCACACCGTACTATCATAAGTCTTATGGATAGACCAAGATTTGCCCATCATAAGTATGAAGGTATGAAGCTTGATAAGTCAACTAAGCTTCGCTCAGCATAAGTTTGAAGTTATAAAGCTATCGCGTAAGCTGAGCTACGCTCAGCATAAGTTTGAAGATATGAAGCTAGAGAGGCAGCTGAGCTTCGCTCAGCATAAGTTTGAAGTTATAAAGCTATCGCGTAAGCTGAGCTACGCTCAGCATAAGTTTGAAGATATGAAGCTAGAGAGGCAGCTGAGCTTCGCTCAGCATAAGTTTGAAGTTATAAAGCTATCGCGTAAGCTGAGCTACGCTCAGCATAAGTTTGAAGATATGAAGCTAGAGAGGCAGCTGAGCTTCGCTCAGCATAAGTTTGAAGTTATAAAGCTATCGCGTAAGCTGAGCTACGCTCAGCATAAGTTTGAAGATATGAAGCTTGATAAGTCAACTAAGCTTCGCTCAGCATAAGTTTGAAGTTATAAAGCTATCGCGTAAGCTGAGCTACGCTCAGCATAAGTTTGAAGATATGAAGCTAGAGAGGCAGCTGAGCTTCGCTCAGCATAAGTTTGAAGTTATAAAGCTATCGCGTAAGCTGAGCTACGCTCAGCATAAGTTTGAAGATATGAAGCTAGAGAGGCAGCTGAGCTTCGCTCAGCATAAGTTTGAAGTTATAAAGCTATCGCGTAAGCTGAGCTACGCTCAGCATAAGTTTGAAGATATAAAGCTAGAGTGTCAGCTGAGCTACGCTCAGCATAAGTTTGAAGATATGAAGCTATGGAGGCAGCTGAGCTTCGCTCAGCATAAGTTTGAAGTTATAAAGCTATCGCGTAAGCTGAGCTACGCTCAGCATAAGTTTGAAGATATGAAGCTAGAGAGGCAGTGGAGCTTCGCTCAGCATAAGTTGAAGTTTAAAGCTATCGCGTAAGCTGAGCTACGCTCAGCATAAGTTTGAAGATATAAAGCTATCGAGTCAGCTGAGCTACGCTCAACATAAGTTTGAAGGTATAAAGCTTGACGAATATGCCAAATATTCTTTAAAAGTTTTTTAAAAAAAATTTTCATCCAAAGTTGAATTTTATAAAAATCACAGTCAACTTTTGTTTTAAAAATTCGTAAAAAAGGAAAGTTTTTTGCCATTTCTGAAGCAACGGCTGTTCCTACCTTGCCCAAAAACAATACAGCTCTTCTATAGAGCAGCACGGATCAAATGTAAAAAACTAGAAGTCTCTACGATGTCTCGTTATTGAGATTTCTTGCTGATTAACTTGCTTGCTTGCTTGTTTGCTTACAGAAAGCGTATTTTGCGATTTTCTCAGCAATGCCACAACCAATTTGAAATCTGTTTTTTGAAAATGATGTAAAATTTCAGGCACAAACTTTTCTTCTTGCCCTTTTATAACCAATTTTGCTTTGTTTTCTCACAAAATGCGAAAAACTGATTTTTCAATCTGAACAAAACCAATAGATTCACACGTGAAAACGGTGTGAATATAAAAAAAATTCAGATTCTAATTGTAATTGTTTTTCAGTACGTGTATTTTTAATGATAGTCAAGACGGAATTATTGTGGATATGGTAAGATATACTGTAGGTGAAGAATACGAAGTCAAATTGAAGAAACTTGCTAGAGATGCTGGACTGATTTTCTATGATGAAGGTGATCTTCGACGTGATGGATTTGACAAGACTCCGGACCTTTTATTAGCCGTTCAGTCAATGTATAAAAATACTATAATAAATTGGATCGAAAGTAAAGCCTCATTTGGCGATTGTGAATCTCATACAAGATATTTAAATGATCAACTTCAGTCCTATTATAATAGATTCGGAGCTGGCATTGTAGTTTATTGGGCTGGTTTTCATGAAAACATTATTAACAAATCTAAATGTAATTTAATAATTCTTGACGATTTTCCATCAAAAGATGATTTTGAAAAGTTGACATTTCAATAGTAAAAAAGGTTTTCAAATAATTTATAATCCATTTTTTTTTTAATTTCTACTGTAAAACGAATTCACTTGAGGTTTCCATTGTCGTATTTTCTGTGCTAATACTCTTCTGTAAATTGTCATCTACGATAGCATGCGCTGTCATCAAGTGGTTCTGAAAAAAAAGAAATAAATCAATTTAATGTGTTTTAAAATTGATATGATTAAAAATAACTACCCTGATGTTTGATGGCTTTAAATCCTTTGAATCGCACAAATGGCACTGGATTTCTGTATCGCTGAGAACAGTAGATTCTGAAGGCTCTTCAATATTATGAGACTGTTCATGTTTATCTTTTGATTTAGCCGATCGAAAGGTTTTATTACAATATTCGCACTAAAATTAATAAATAAATTGCATCAAGTCTACATATAATTAATCATTTAAAGTTTGTTTACCTTTAAGCAACGACTTTTATTTTGATGACTCTCCTGATGTTTCCTGAACGAGTAACTTTCGGGAAAGATCTTTCCACATTCGCAAGTCAAAACATTTTCCAGTGTATGAAGTCTTTTGAATGAAATCAAAAAACAAAAGTCCCTCATTTGGATATTATCATATATTAATGTGATTAAGTCATACCTCATGTGATATTTAAGTTTCTGCTTACGAGCAAAATGCTTCCCGCAAATTTCACAATTGGAACTTTCTTCTTTTGTATGTACTTTTTCATGAGAAGTACAAGCACCTTTATCTGAGAAAGATTTTCCACAACCCTCCCAAGTACATACATATGGCTTTTCCTGTAAATAGAGATATCAATATAAATACCCAACTGGTTTTTATTCATCAAATTATATTCTAAATCTAACACCTTAAAATGAAATAAGATTCCCACATAATTTTGAAGCAGAATAATTCATTTAGACAAGAATTGACCTACTTTTTGGCACTGAATTGCAGCTAGCTCTAAAACACAGCTGTATGCAGAGTCATACAAAATTAATTTGATTTCAAAAATGCTTTAATTTACAGCTGTAAAGCTGATTATTTGAGTTTAAATTTAAAAACATGTTTTGTTGAGAAAAAATGTCAACTATTTGTACCAATTTGTACAAGTAGTGTTAATTCAAAAAATTAATAAAACTACCTGCAAATGAATTCTTTCGTGGCGCACAAGATTACTTCTCTGGACAAAGAGTTTTTCACAAAAGCTGCATTTAAGTCTAGTGTCTGAATGAATGAGAAGATGTTCCTTGAAACTGTCGCGTCTTAAAAATGTCTTGCTGCAAAATTCACAAGTGTTGATTACATTCTTATGAATTATATTGTGACTGCTTAGACTGCTTTTTGTTGAGAACTTTAGAGGACATGACTTGCATGCAAACATTTTCTCGTCTGGATGAGCAAATATGTGATGCATTTTACGATCCTCCTTATTATCAAAAACTTTATTGCACAGTGAAAATTGGCATTTGAAGGATGACTTCTTTCTTAAATCTTTTTTTCGGTGAGAATTGACAAAATGCATTTTAGCTGTTCCCATTTTTTTAAATTCCTTTTTACAGAGATTGCAACAGAACTTCTGAACACGCTTTAAATCTTCAGCGTGATTTCTCACAAAATGTTGATCAACATCAGTAGTTAATCGGTATCGACATAACTTGCAATAGTTCATTTTTATGTCGGGATGGTTTTCGTTGAAATGAGCACGAACCTCTTTAAGATTTTTATATGCAAAACTGCATACATAACACTTATAAAATACCGAATCAGATGTCAAATTATTATCGGAATGCTCATAAATCATATGATTCTTAAAATTATCCTTCGTGACATGATATGATGCATCGAGAGGGCATATTAGTGCTAAATTAAAGTTCTTGTTGTCTTCATTGACCAATGTTTCCGAATTTTGAATTTTACACTTTTCGCAAGAGTCAAGATTGATAAGTTTAAATCCATGATAATCTTTTAAATGTTCATAATAGACACAAGTGTCTCCGAAAGAGTTGTTACAAAATTCACATTTCAAAACAGCTTTTAAAATTTCATCATCGTCGTCCAATATCGGTTTCTCTTCTATATGCTCAACGCCAACACACCAAACTTTACTTGTATCGAAATCTGTTTCAATCAATCTATCCAAAGACTTGATGATGCTAAAATTACTTAAACACTCTTCGTCAATCTTTGATTTCTTGTCATCTAAAATAACGTCAATTATTGGGTTTTTATCCAAGTTTCTTAAAATTTCTATTGAACTAATCTCGTGCTCATTTTGATAATGATTAATGAACGAAAATTCTTTAATTTCATCCGTTAAATCATGATCACAAAAATTACAAAGCACTTGCTTCAAGTCATCTGATGAATTTTCCACTCGATAAAGCTTTGAGGTTGTTGTATTCATTGCTTTCTCATATGTCATCAAATTGACACTATGCTTTTCTCTCAGATGATTCTTAATATTCCCAGAGCTATTTGAAATATTGCATAGGAAGCATTCGACAATGTCATGTAGATTTTTCATGTGATCATTAATTTCCTGTGGATTTAATATTGTAGTCTCTTTACAGCCATATTTGCAGCTCAATGAGGAATGTTTTGAATGTAAATGCTGGCTCAATTCATTCTTATTCTCGAAAACTTGTGCACAGTCCTTTAAATTACACACAATATATCCCTGACAAAATACACTATGAAGTTCTTTTGCAATTTCATCAAATTTAAATGGATTTTCACAAACAGTACACATATCTTTCAAAGTATTTCCGGTCTCTTCAATTTCAGCAGAATCATCAGCACTTAATACAGATCCGTTTATAGATATTTCTGGTATTTTATCTAAGAACTTTTTTAGCGAATGAATTGATATATTGTGGTAAAAGACGTAATGTCCAAAGAGCAAGTCAATTCGTTTCCGTTTATTGCACATTAGACAATTGAAGAATGAATCACGATTAATTTCTTCGTCACTATCCAAAATGAACAACTTGTTATTACTAGAAAAGTCTATATAGTTATTTACGCTATGCTTTTTTTCAACATGTTCTGGATATTTAGAAAATGGCTGGATTACAGATGAGCAGTATGAGCAGAGAAATGATTGATGTCCTTCCTTATAATGCTCACTGACATTCGACTCGTTAATACTATTAAACTCATGATCACAATTTGAACAACCAAAAGGAATATGTTGTTGTTCGTGCTGGATTTTATCTGAATCATATTTAAAAGCATAATTTGTACAAAAACTGCACAGCTTGTAGCCATGAGATGTACACCAATGAAGTACGATTTTTAGCTAAAAGAAGGATGTCTCTTGATTAATTTAAGTAAAGTTTCATAAATTTTCACAATTTTTTTTTTCTTACTTTATTACTAAATTTTTGATCGCAAATATCGCAAGTCAGTTTATTGCAATTCGGTAGCCATTTCCCAGTATCGAATATATCACTTGGATCAGTTTCTAATAAATCTTCAGCATCCATTATTTTTTATCAACACAATTGAGTCAATCAATAGATAAAATAACTTTTTTATGAGAATCTTATTCACCCTTTTAATTCAACAATTCACTAGTCGAACTTCGTGTCATTCCATTTCACTTCATGTTATTTCATTTCATTTTTAAATTTTTAATGCATTAATTAACGCTTAAGTAAGTAACTGCTATTTCCATCAAAGAACTTCTTATTTTTTTATAAATTTTCTAATGGCTATTGCTGAGAATATTAAAGTTTACTCAATAGACTTAAATGTATGCAGCACACGTTGGTTTCTCAACATATTTAATTTTATGGAGAGGTAATTCTCTTAAGCTTCAACGAGCTAAACGTTGCTTAAGTTTTTATTTAAGTAGTTTCATTTCTCGCTTTGCCGTAACAACAGCACTAAAATTTATTTTCTTTATAATTTTTCTTTCACTCGGTGTTGTGCGAAAAAATAAGAGAAATGCAGCATGTAATATAATTTTTATTAGCTGTTCTTAAGGTAATCGAGCAAGTTTCTGAAATCGAAAGTACTAAGATGCATCCTTGTGACGAGAACCAAAAAATAATGTGCAATATTCTCAGTTTAAATTAAGGTGAAATAATTTTTTTTTGTTGTTATCAATTTTTAAAACTCAATCGTAATTTATACGATACCTTACTCATATAATTTGGAATATTTACATGACTACCAAAAAGAATTGCAGCACAAAATAAAGTAATCTCAGAATTTATATGAAACTGGCAAGTCAGTACGGTTAACATAATTAATTTTGGATTTTTAAAGATCTGTCGTGTGTAACAAAGAAATTCACTAGATATTGAAGAAATCATATAAAACTAGATCAATCAAATGAAATATAAAATAACACATTTGCAATGTGAAAGAAAAAATTATTTGAAAATGAAAACGAAAGTCATTACTTTTCATCTTTTCTTTCCAATTGCTTTTCTTGCGTCGCAATCATAAAACTTTATGCTGCAAAGTAAACTTTTTTCACCATAAAAAAAAAAATTAATTAATTATCAGATTTTCAAAATCATTTAAATATTTCAAAAACTTTGAAGAAAACATTAAGAAACGTGATCATTAGCTTAATAATTATTAAGACAGCAAAAAAAGAGACTCACAATTTGCTATAATTTTTTCATAATTACTGTATTTAGTGATCAGGCTTTAAGAAGAAGAAAAAAGAAATAAGCACAATGACAGCCAAAATGTGCAATACTATAAATCAAAATATTGAACCGTTGGATAGCAAGTTTATCGAACATGTTAAGAAATTTGAGACATTACTTAACAGCAGTAATAATAATAACAAATACCAAAATGATGCTCCCCATTTAAAGAAGTAAGTATTACCTTGAAAAAATTATTTAATATCTATAGACATCTTACATATTATTAAATTTGCATAATTCGTAAAGAATTGGCTCAATAGCAATTACTACATCAACGCATAGCGTGGACGAAAAGATGCAATCGAATGCAGTATGGGATAGAGGAAAGGAGAAACAAGATATGAAACGATTGGAAAGTAGTTTAGAAACTTATTTAGATGCACTGCCACCAAGATCAGATGCAAATCATATGATGTCACAAAGTTCCAACATATTAAACGCTTATTTACTCAATTTTGAAAATATTTCTAATGATGATCTTGAATCCATCGATGGTAAATCAATTAATGAAAATAACTATAATGCAGCTATTGCGTTAGGCAATAAAAGTAACAAACCAAATGCTCAAGTTAATGAAGATGCCATTTCCACATCATCGCTCTCAAATTTTCACAACATTCAGTACATTGAGTATATCCATCAAAAGTTGGAGCAATATTTAAAAACGTGTAAAGAGCATCATCAAGACGATGGGCCATCAACACAATTAGTGTCGAAAATAGACGAATTAAAGAAGGAATTAGCAAAATATGTCGAAATGATCAATCAAAGGAAAGAAAGTGAATTGAAAAGATTTTCAGAGAATATGTCGAAAAAAACAAATATTGTTCACATGAAAAATGCTTTCTTAAAGAAGGAAATGCATACGACCGGTAGTAATGTTGGAAATTACGATAATATAAGCTTTAGCCAAACAGACGCGGTTAGTTATTACTCCAATGATTCAATATCTGATTACGAAAGATGCAAAAGTATGAATTTTGATGGATTTTTTATGAAAAATTGCTACGATAAGTACTCATTCAACAGCAACTTTGATACCAATTCGGTGGAATATTACTCAATGTTAATTGCTGAAGAAAATAATGATAATCTTGTTAACGATGCACCGATTCCACCTCCACGCTACAATGAACGCGAGAAAATTTCTTTAATTTATCGAAATCCTGACGATCAAATTATTGAGCAATGGCAAAAATACCAATTAAATACTATAACTATTAAGCCAAAAAAGAATAGAATGGTAAAGATTAAAATGAACAAGGAGAAAAGAAGAAATAACTATGACATTTGGTCATTTACGCTAGACTACCATAAAACGAGAATGCTGCAAATGAAACTCGAGAAAGAGCGGAAAATTCGTTTAATTTGTAGAATGTTTTTCTACTTCTTTGGTGTTGCATGCTTTATACTCGTGGTGATAATAGTGCAATCGATCTTTAATGTAAGAAAAAAGTAAAATTTGTAAAAATAATTATAGTCAGTGCAACAAAATTTGAGATCTTAGATTTTGATGGAAAACAGTGAAAACTGTCTTATGCTTGCCGAAGCAGTTAATTATTACTAATTTACTTTGCATGCGTAAAAAATACAGTCTTACGATTAAGTCACCTTCTAGCACTGTCAAGTCTTGTGCATTATTATTATTTTTTTATATTATTTTATTTATTATTATTATTATTATTATTAAATACAAAATCTCATATTTTTCATCATTATTTCTCTAAAATCTTCACCTTTTAGTAATACTTACTTTCATTACTTCAATACAAAAATGTATAAAAAAGTTAAAATAATTTAAAAACATAAATATTAATATACAATATTCTATTATCGTCTTAAAAAGTCGGTATGCTCATTTTTTTACTGGAAGGATCTTCGATTTGGATAGAGTTTTCTTAGACATGAAATAAAATTTGAAATCGAGGATCCTCTGTTATTGTTATTTCTATTTCTATTATTCTTTAACGAATGTACAGTAAATATTTTTCTTTAAAAAAGATAGAAAAATAAAAAAAAAAATCATAAGAAAGAAATGTAAATTCAGTTCTACATGGCAGTTTGTGTATGTATGTATGTATGGTCTAGATTGACTGTCTGTTGAAACATGGAATAGGGTTATAATTTAAAAATAAGTAAGGAAGAGAGAAATAAATAAATGCAGTAGTCAATATTCGATGACTTTACTTTTAAACACAGAAGTCAGAAATGTAAACATTACTCAAATCATATGTACACAACATCACGCAACTCTTTCAGATTCTCTCTATACTATTTTTTGATTGTAAAATAATTTAATTTTTAGCGCTTTACTACAAGAGGAAGTTTAATTATTATGCTTTAGACGCAGCTATAATCTCTAAGTAGATAAAAATGCTTCTCACTCAGCTACAACTTGTTTGTGAGCAAAACGAGAAGTTTTTAGTGCGTTTTGCACTAGGCTTGAAGCTATCATCATTCATCTAAGAATGTTTTCTTCCAAATTCAGTTAGATTTATTATCTCTAGTGATAAAAATAGTACGAGAAACAAACAAACCTGTGTGCTCAATTTTTAAAAAATTTCAATTGTTTTTTTTTTTTTGTTCATAATCGTCTCCTTAATATATAAATAATTTCTACTAAATCCTAATTTAAAGTAAAAATGACTGAAGCTTTAGGCAGTTTGCATGAATGTTTTGTTCTGCTTATTCCTACATCCATTTTTCATATTTTTACCATAATGCATAAGAATATTTTTTCAACCAGATTTGTTCATTGATTCTCATTGTATATATATCTTTTAAAACAGATATATCCTATGTTCAATTTTAAGATATTCACATGTAGCATAAATCTAATATTTGAAGCTTGTCAGTTTGCTCAATCAGCTGTTATATTGTTATTAGGATTATTGGAACTATCACTATTACTATTATGAGTTGGCGAACTTGTAGAGCTTTTGTTGCGCCGAAAAAAATTAAGGGTTTTCTTTGTCTTTACCTTTGTCTCCTGCTCATCATACTTCTCTTTATCTTTATCCTTATCTTTCGCCGTGTCATCTTTCACTTTGCTTGATGTTAAAAATTTCGGAAAGAAATGATGTTGAGATTCCTTATTCTTTTGATTTTGGACTTTAACAATTTTTTCACTAGATTCATTTTCATTAATATTAGAGTTATTATTTTTTGACTTTTTATCACTCAGTGATAGTTTCTCAATAGCTACATTTTCACTCTCTAAACTTGTCGTGTTTGGCGATTCTACAATGTTATTGGCTAGTGCGGTTGATTCAATGCTCTGTTCCGACAACGCATCTGCTGCTTTCTCTTGAGTATTCATTTCATTTGAATTTTCATCATTGTTCATAATTGATTCTATGTTTTCTTCCATACATTTCTGTATAGGCGATATAGGTGTTGCACTATCTGGTCCGAATTCTGTATAAACAACAATATCGGACACTCCTGATTTTTCCTTCTCTCTAAAATTCTGAACAGCACTCCATATATCTTTTAATTCACCCGTCAAATCTCGATCTTTTAAAATTTCAGGTTTTCTATTTGAATGTATAAAAGTGTTAATTTGACATCAGTTATTATGTTTGTTTTGAATAAGCCAAAAAAAATATCTTACTTTGATAATGCTAGGCCAGGATTCATCGCTTCAACGAATTCACACATTAATTCAACTAAATTCGATTGTTCAGGCGTTTCTGGACAGTTTCTTCCCGTTTTCTTTAATACTTCTGGCGATGCCATAACGGCAAAAATTAATTGAGTTGGAGGTAATTGAGGTGATGGTAATTGCTGTTGTGCCTGGAGTTGCAGAGAACTTTTTAACGAGTTAAATGATCGGATCTGCATGCCTCCATACAATGGAACCTAGAATGTATAAATAAGAAATTACAAAGTTATAAATTTCCTGTCAAGTTTGCATTTGTACAATAAGAAAGGAACGGGATGATTTATTGAACCAATTGTTGCACAGAATGAAAGGTGAAGAGACTTGATCTTTCACTGATGCTTATTTATCAATAACAAATTAAATTGCTAAAATTAATCCAATTCTTTGGATATCAACAGCCCATTGATTTGATTAATACCCGCTTATTTCAATTCATTGTTGTGGAAGTGATCAAATACTAGCTGATTTTTTTTTGTTAAATCTTAATATCAGCGTCACAAAAAGTAATACTTCACAAAAGTGTGTATATTAAAGTGAAACTTACCGGGTCAAACTCTGATAATTGATTTGCGATCCGTGAATATGATAAGACATTAATAAAAACATCTTTAGATCCATCACCCAAAGTTTCTCTAATACAAAATTTTGGTTGTGGCGGAGATTTAAAGGATTTTGCTGCTGATCGATGCCTTTTGTTCATAATACTGACTAAAGTCTGATCATCAATACTCAATATTTCATTGTTTGACATAATTTTTTTAAAATAGTAGAAAAACTATACACAAAAAAAAATTATAATAGCGGAAAATGAAAAATTACGATTTTTTTAATGAAAGTCTCATTAAATTCAGATGTTTTGAGTTTATGTCGTACTTTTGATCTTTCTCAAGCTATTCTATATACGGTAATTAATTTTCGTTTGTGGAAAATCGGTGAAAATTTAAAAACGAGAAAATTTCTTTGAAAAAATAATTTTTGTTATCATTTTCCCTAACAATGCGCAACTCTTTTCTTTCTGTCCTGTAGTCTCAAACATTATTGCACAATTTGAATCTCAAAGAACAGTTGTTGACAAATATCAACTAGTGTATCGGGTAGAAACCCAATGCGGATTATATTCACACCTAACCATCAAAAGTCTTACGGATAGACCAAGATTTGCCCAGCATATGTTTGAAGTTATAAAGCTAGCGAGTCAACTGAGCTTCGCTCAGCATAAGTTTGAAGGTCTAAAGTTTAAAGAACATTCTTTAAAAGTTTTTTACAAAAATTTTTCATCCAAAGTTGAATTTTATAAAAATCACAGTCAACTTTTGTTTTGTAAAATTCGTAAGAAAAGAAAGTTTTTTGCTTTTTCTGAAGCAACGGCTGTTCCTTATTTGCCCAAAAACAATACAGCTCTTCTATAGAGCAGCACGGATCAAATGTAAAAAACCAGAAGTACTTACGATGTCTCTTTATTGAGATTTTTTGCTGATTAACTTGCATGCTTGTTTGCAACCAATTTGAAATCTGTTTTTTGAAAATGATGTAAAATTTCAGGCACAAACTTTTCTTCTGAGACCTTTTATAACCAATTTTGCTTCGTTTTCTCACAAAATGCGAAAAACTGGTTTTTCAATCTGAACAAAACCAATAGATTCACACGTGAAAACGGTGTGAATATAATAAGATTTACAAATTTTAATTAAAGTGTGGTTTAATGATTGAGAAAATCGCAAAATACGCTTTCTGTAAGCAAGCAAACAAGCAAGTTAATCAGCAAGAAATCACAATAACGAGACATCGTAAGTACTTCTAGTTTTTTACATTTGATCCGTGCTGCTCTATAGAAGAGCTGTATTGTTTTTGGGCAAATAAGGAACAGCCGTTGCTTCAGAAAAAGCAAAAAACTTTCCTTTCTTACGAATTTTACAAAACAAAAGTTGACTGTGATTTTTATAAAATTCAACTTTGGATGAAAAATTTTTTTAAAAAACTTAAAGAATGTTCGTTGATCTTTAAACCTTTAAACTTATGCTGAGCGAAGCTCAGCTGACTCGCTAGCTTTATAGCTTCAAACTTATGCTGAGCGAAACTCAGTTGACTTATTAAGCTTCATACCTTCATACTTATGCTGGGTAAATCTTGGTCTTTCCATAAGACTTTTGATGGTACGGTGTGAATATAATCCGCATTGGGTTTCTACCCGATACACTAGATTTGATTTATGAAAATGCGCTGAAATTGCACAATTTATTGTTACCGTGACTATATTACTAGTCTCAACATTTGTCAAGAATGTCACATCATTATGTTTTGAACGTGACAGAGTTGTTCCACAAAAGCTCGTCCTTATTCATTGTTTTTAAGCATGTTAATTAATGAAAGTTCTTATTAATCATTGCTCACGACTATTTCATTGCTTTAATTATGTCCAGAATAAGTTTTGGAATTTCTTCCGTACTTGAATTATGGTTGATTTAAATCCTTTAAATTTGACTATATGATTTCCATCCATGTTTACATTTTGTTATTGAAAAAAAAAAGATTGCGATAAAAGAAAAACTTGATAGAAATGTATAATTAAGTTATAAAGGCATAACAATAGCAGATAACAGATTACTAATGGAAGAGAATTCCTCGAAGAATGTTGTTGAAAACAACAGAATCAGCGAAAAGAAAATAATCCGTGCAGATAGTTCGAGCAGTGAGGATTATGAATTAGTGGATAGTAATATTACTGAGAACATCGAAAAAGTCAGAGATACGCCAGTCTTAGAAAACTTTTTGGTTAGTGAAGCTCTCATTAACGACGCAATGATTAATTCTCCATCCTCTAATAATGTTTTGGTGGGAAAATCGATATTCTACGATTGTCTAGATGAAAAATCCAAGTCGGAAAAATTATCAGATACAGACGAGGGTAATTTATAGAGCACTAATGTAGCCTTATCACTTTTTTCTCACTTTCTTTGTTCATTTACAGACGCTCCAACTTATGAAATCGATCCAGAATATAGAAACGATGGAAATTTTACAATCTTCTCAAATGTAGTTTATTTAGGCTCAGTGAATCTACAAACACCCAAATCCGAACCTGAGATTTTACAGTAAGTTATAGCTCTACCATTATTAAAATAAAAAAGCTAAAAAAAAAACGTATTATAAAATTATTAAAAAATTATCATTCCAGTCATATTAATGAACTTAATACGATTACAACATCAGGAGTTAAAGTGAAAATATCTATCCCAAATTGTGCTGATGGTCAGGTCATATTGTATCACGAGGAAAGTGATACAGTTTATTCGACGTTTGATATTCAGTCGATATTATTTTACGCCCGTGGTGTGAAAAATACAAGTGACAGTGCCTGCTTTGCATTTAGCTGGTCTCATGGTGATTGTCAGGAAACTGCAGTTTATCAGTGTCATATATTTCGTTGTAATATTCCTGAAGCAGTGAATCCTGTTAGTCAGTGCTTTGCAAAAGCGTTTAGAAAGCCCCCTTGTAGTAGCATGGTGTGTAGCATGGCTTCTGATAATTTTGTTATGAATTCTATAACATCTGATATTAGCGGAAATCCATTAGCATCAGCAATGTATGAGTTTTTGGTTGCCTTAGAAATACGCGAAAAGGTATCAAAAAATTCATATACTAATGTACAGAGAGAAAAGTCATACTTTAAGATTCACCAAAATTGTGATAAGGAAATATCCATAACTGTTAAGCAAATATCCTCTGATAATCTTCCACCATTATTTATTGAACGGTGCTTTGGTGTGTTATTATCTATTGGCAAAATAAAGAAGCAAGCAGATATGTTGCTACTTGAACTTCAAACGCCTGGAAATTATCTCAAAGGATCACCAGATTTTCAAATAGTCGCAAAATGGAATTTGAACGACAAACCATTTGAAGTTTTGAATGAGTCACAAAAAACGCATTTGATAACTATTGCAGTAGATTTGGTGATTAAGGGCATTCAAGAGCCTGTACGATTTGTCATCGAAACCCATATGAAAATTGATAATTCTGAAATACATTCATCTCGATTTAGTAATAGCTTTCTTTTTACACAAAACAAGCGACCTTTATTGAAAAAGTTTTATATACAACTTAAGGAAAATAAAGACAACACATGGATTTTGGATTCCATCGATCCCTCTGACGAAATATTGGAACCTACACAGTCATCTTCATTCAATCAAAAAATTAAGGTATTTCCGTTTGAACTTATGACAATAATAATTATAACTTGCTTGATATGAGTGTGTGATGTTTATTTCGATTGTAGAACATTTCCAAAATTGTGCGATCAACAAGCATAGTCTCATTCGACGATGATTTAAGTGCCGATGAAATCACTCCTACAGATGACGAAGAGGATGAGCCATTACAAAGTGGAACGGGAGAAGTGAGCAAAGAATGTTCACAAGATCGACTTGATTTATGGTAAATTATATAAATTAATTTTTTTGCAACTAGGTATGCTTATTAAGTAACATTTAATAGGGTTCCAGTCTTATCGGAATGGAATTCAACAAGTAAACGTCCTAAGAATCTCCAAACACTCGTTCGAAGTGGCGGAATTCCAGAAGCTTTAAGATGTCAACTATGGCAAAAGCTATCCAAATCTGAAGAACGTTCTGATTTAAGTGATCAGTATCGACTATTAATAACAAAGGAATCCAAATGTGAAGATATTATTTTGAGGGATGTTCATCGCACGTTCCCAGCTCATGAGTTATTCCGTGAAAAAAGTGGCTCTGGCCAAGAATCACTATATAAGGTTGCACGAGCTTATTCTGTCTATGATACAGGTAGGATTTCATAAGAAACTCATTGACGTAATATATAAATTTTATTTTTCTTTTAACAGAAATTGGATATTGTCAAGGACTGTCATTTATTGCTGCAACTTTATTACTGCACATGCCAGAGGAAGAATCATTTACTTGTCTTGTTTCCATCATGTATGATTATGGATTGCGTGAACTCTATAAACAAAATTTCGAAAATCTTTCACTTCGACTTTTTCAACTAACATGCTTAATGCGGGTAATATAAACTCCTAGTCATATTGATAAACAGGTAACATTAGTTATACACTTAAAATAATATTTTTTTAGGATCAACTGCCAGATTTATATGAACATTTTACGAATCAAAAATTGGAGCTTCATATGTTTGCTAGCCAATGGTTTTTAACATTATTCACTGCTCGCTTCCCATTAGCATTTGTCTTCAATGTAATTGATTTCTTCTTGCTTGACGGAATTAATGTTCTATTTCAAATTGCTATAGCATTGTTGCAGTACTCCAAAAAGGTTCTATTGTCCAAGGATTTTGAATCAATTTTGAAGTACATAAGAGTTCAGCTTCCAAAGAAATTCCGCAAAGAGCATCAAGTATCTAAACTCATAAGATTGGCAAGTGATTGTAAAACAAAGAAATTGAAAAAGTACGAGGAAGAGTATTTGGTTCAAAAGGAAGAAACTGAAAGGTTTGAAAGAATGCTCTCTCAATATCAAATGAAATACCACGAGGATAAAAAAATTATGCGAAAGGAGATTGATCAGCTTCAACAAAAAGTCAGAAAGCATGAAAGCGACGAAAAGAAATATGAAAGTATTATTAACGACTATAAGCATATAATTCAACGTCAAGAGCAACAAATGGAGGAACTAAAAAATCCATCGGTATGCAATAATTTTTGACTTTATGATGTACCTTAAATAATCAAGTTCTGTTTTTTTTTATGTCAAAATTTAATGCAGGCACAAGACAATATGAAATCTGATGATAATAAGGATAAGGATATTAAAAGCAGTAAGGATAGCGAGAATAATGTTTATTCACTGAAGCAAAGGATTAAGGAATTGGAATTAGCTTTAGCACGAGCAAAAGTAGCACAAGTCGAGGCTGAATGTCAGAATCAAAATTTGAAGCATCAGATGATAAACATTTCAAATGCTTCAAAAGTTCCTCTACCGCCCAACAATTCTTGGAAGTCTAAACTCGAGAATGTTGTTAGTTCTATGAATATCCCCAATATGACAATGAACATGCCATCTTTCCAATCTCATATAACTGATCTTACTCACTTTAATCCTACTGAAGATACCAAATAATTATCTCTTTAAGCATGTAACATTCTTCATGTATTACATTGATATTCCATGCTTAAATTATCAATTTATATATGACATGTACTACAACTTTCTAAGCACATATTTCTGAATTCCATATGATAAAAAATATACATAATATTTAGACAAGGAACCTGAACAGCCTTTATTCTTTATCTTGAATAGCAGTTACAGTATAATAAAGTAATTGTGTCAATCCTACTAGTTTGACAAAGTTAATTTGAACATTTTTTTCATATTCTGGATCACTGTCTAGTACCTGCAAAATGTAAAGCAAGCATAAAGTTTGAGGTACGATATAGTTTCAACGGTTTTTTGAGATTTATATATGGGATGGAAACTTAGTTTTCATATTTTTTTTAAAAACTCATGAGTTTTCTTGTAAAAAAGTTTAATTCAAAATATTCAGTGAAAAGCGAGTCCAAAAATTAATTAAAGTATGCTGCACAAATAACTTGAATAGTGCTGCTTGTTTTAAAATAAAAGAATAGTTAAAATTATAGCAGATACAGTGAAAAAATACAAAAAAATAAACAATTTAAAGTGCGTAACTATTTATAATAAATATCAGACAAAGAGAGAAAGAGAGAGCGCAGTTAAATTAATTAAATAGGAGCATGGCTGATGTATTTCAATTTGAAGATGACAACCATACTGATGGGAATTTCGACAACGATGATAATGATGAAATTATCTTAGATGATGTAAGTCACTTTACTTCCTTTCCATTTTTTTGCTTTTTTCTTTGACTTTATTTGACTCTCCTTACTAACTTGACTATACTGTCAAGTTAATTGATAAAATTTCTACATATATTTATACATACTACACTTGCAAAAAGTGTATATGAAATTTAAATGAATTCCTCGGTCGTCATCATTGTCATCTTTCTTACAAGACATGGATTTTTCCTCTTTGGCTAGTCAATTTTTCGTGTGTGACTAACTCTAAAACATGAAAATGAATCATTCTTGTAAAATTTTCACTTTCTTTTTCTCCATTTCCTCAAAGTGTTAATTACACCCAGAGTTGCGATCTGTCACAGGTCAACAAAAACAGCCCACCTGTCACAGGCCGTTACCTGTTCACAGGTCAAATTTTTTCGCCTATCACAGGTCTGACCTGTCAAAGGTTCTACCTGTCACAGGCCGTTACCTGTTCACAGGTCAATTTTTTTTTGACTGTCACAGGTCTGACCTGTCAAAGGTTCTGCCTGTCACAGGTCGTTACCTGTTCACAGGTCAATTTTTTTCGCCTGTCACAGGTCTGACCTGTCAAAGGTTCTACCTGTCACAGGTCGTTACCTGTTCACAGGTCAATTTTTTCCACCTGTCACAGCTCTGACCTGTCGCAGGCCTCACCTGTGACAGGTCGTCACCTGTTGACAGGTAGAAAAAATCTACCTGTCACAGGTTGACCTGTCACCTGTCACCTGTCACCTTTGACTATCGAAATTTTTTTCTTCTAGTGAAGTATAAAGATTTCATACAAAATTCATCAATTTTTTTGCTTCCTCAAGTCACGAGTTCAAATCTCACCGCAAGCAACTTTCTTTTTTTGCATTTTTATGATTTGTTTTTAAACTTTTTTGATAACATATAAAGTTTTATGACAAAGTTTTCCATTTTCATATTTTATTTCTTCACTTTCTATATTTTAACATGTATTTTAAATTTTTTCCATATATTTTCATACAAATTCAACTTTTTTTGTCATATTTTAGTTTACCAAGTTGAAATCTGACACAAAGGCACTTTTCCTAGATCTGGATGTTCTTAAATCGTAATCTTGGATAATAAAATGGCATAAAATATTAAAACTAGTATAGACTTTGTCATTCGAGACCGCAAAAAGTCGAAATATATAATAAATTATAATCCAAGATTACGATTTAAGAACATCCAGATCTAGGAAAAGTGCCTTTGTGTCAGATTTCAACTTGGTAAACTAAAATATGACAAAAAAAGTTGAATTTGTATGAAAATATATGGAAAAAATTTAAAATACATGTTAAAATATAGAAAGTGAAGAAATAAAATATGAAAATGGAAAACTTTGTCATAAAACTTTATATTTTATCAAAAAAGTTTAAAAACAAATCATAAAAATGCAAAAAAAGAAAGTTGCTTGCGGTGAGATTTGAACTCGTGACTTGAGGAAGCAAAAAAATTGATGAATTTTGTATGAAATCTTTATACTTCACTAGAAGAAAAAAATTTCGATAGTCAAAGGTGACAGGTGACAGGTGACAGATCAACCTGTGACAGGTAGATTTTTTCTACCTGTCAACAGGTGACGACCTGTCACAGGTGAGGCCTGCGACAGGTCAGAGCTGTGACAGGTGGAAAAAATTGACCTGTGAACAGGTAACGACCTGTGACAGGTAGAACCTTTGACAGGTCAGAGCTGTGACAGGTGGAAAAAATTGACCTGTGAACAGGTAACGACCTGTGACAGGCAGAACCTTTGACAGGTCAGACCTGTGACAGGCGAAAAAAATTGACCTGTGAACAGGTAACGGCCTGTGACAGGCAGAACCTTTGACAGGTCAGACCTGTGATAGGCAAAAAAATTTAACCTGTGAACAGGTAACGGCCTGTGACAGGTGATCTTTTGACAGAAACTGTCACCTTTACCTGTGACAGGTACCTGTCGTCGCAACTCTGATTACACCTATCCTATCTCAATATGCTCCACATACGCCACACAATTGTAAATTTTCAATTTTAATCATTCGATTTCAATAAGTGTTTGCCTGACTATTTTTTTCCGTAATCAAAGATGTAGGATTAGACGGTGCAACTTTATTTTTTTCTTCATTTAGATAATTATTTATGGTATTTTACATTCAGAGCGTTACTGCTTTGATTCTCAACAAAATATGTGTTAATCTCATCATCTTCTTCTTCACTTTCTTAAAAATAAACATTGTCAATTAATATGTCAAATCTATGCATCGTCTACAGCACATCAATCTACAATATAAATCTTAATTTATTTCATCTCTCTTACGCTTCCACAGATGGATCTTGAGACAGAATTAAATGCCAATAAAAACATGGAGTAAATATCATCAATTTAGAATATTAAGCATACATTTTAGTTTTTCAAAAATTGACACTCATTTCTCTGTTATTTTCCTTATTATGCTTTTTTTTTTTGACCTGATGAACAACAAATTTATAGCCTAGAAGAAACTGATACTATTGAGCTTAATGAAGATATTGTAAATCCAGGTAGAAAATTAGGTCCACAGGATTTTGAGCTGAAGAAAGTTTTAGGAAAAGGAGGATATGGCAAAGTATTTCAAGTCAAAAAAGTGACTGGAAATGACGGAGGATCTTACTTTGCCATGAAGGTCCTTAAAAAGGCATCGATTGTTAGAAATCAAAAAGACACTGCTCATACTCGAGCTGAAAGGAATATTCTTGAAGCAGTGAAAGTAAGATTCAGCACTAATTTAACTTCCTCAATTGTACTAAAGTAATGAATTGTTCATTTTAGCATCCTTTTATCGTAGAGCTAGTTTATGCATTTCAAACTGGTGGAAAATTATATTTAATCTTAGAATATCTTAGTGGAGGTAACGTATAGCGTGCAATATTGACAATTTCATGTACTCTATAATTTATCGAGTAATGTTTTGTGCGAATTTAGGTGAACTGTTTATGCATTTAGAACGTGAAGGAATTTTTCTCGAAGATACGACATGGTAAGAGCACAGCACACACTAATAAAGTCGCAATAAATTATCCACTCTAATATTCAAATTTTTATTTTGCAGCTTTTATTTAAATGAAATTGTGCTTGCTTTGGAACATTTGCATTCTCTTGGAATTATATATCGCGGTAATGAACTTGAAAGTTCCCTAACACAAAAACATCTTTTTGACGTCATTCTTTTCTTTTCTTTAGATCTTAAGCCTGAAAATGTTTTGCTTGATGCACAAGGTCATGTAAAATTGACTGATTTCGGACTTTGTAAAGAGCATATTCACGAAGGAATTACGGCCTGGACTTTTTGTGGAACAATAGAATACATGTATGGATGATGATTTTTCTCGATGTAAAGCACTTCCGTTCTAATCAAGTTTACTTCCATTTATTTAGGGCGCCTGAAATTTTAACACGTTCAGGTCATGGGAAGGCAGTCGGTAAAAAATTAATCATTTGAAATTTTGTTAAATTAGTTCTAATTTCAATTCTTATTGCAGACTGGTGGAGTCTTGGTGCTTTGATGTATGACATGTTGACTGGAAATCCACCATTTAGTGCTGAGAACAGAAAGAAGACTATCGAAACTATTTTAAAAGGAAAACTCAATCTTCCAGGTAATATTATTTAATTTTTTCTGTTCATTGTCGTATAGAGAATCTAATGGATATTGTTTGTTCTTTTAGCTTATTTAACACCAGATGCACGCGATTTAATTAGGCGCCTAATGAAAAGACAAGTATCGCAACGCTTAGGTAAATTAAATCAAGTCAATTTGTAAAGAAATTAAATTTAAAATAATTAAAATGGTTATGCATTTTTAGGAAGCGGAGCTGGTGATGGTTTAGAAGTACGTTCTCATCCATTCTTTAAAAATGTGAATTGGAAAGATGTGTTTGAAAGACGATTAGAGCCACCAATTAAACCTGTTTTGGTTAGTATAAATTAGTCAACGATGCAACTATTATCTTCTTTTCTTATTCTTATCATAATAATTAAGTCGCGTTAATAAAAAAATTGTCTAATGTTGTTTTTTATGACAATTTCAGCGAAGTGAAGATGATGTATCCCAATTCGATACAAAATTCACAAAACAGATACCTGTTGATAGTCCTGAGGAATCGACATTAAGGTGAGTAATTGAATAAGTTAACTTGTTGTGATCATATTTAGTAATTCAAATGGTATTTATTGCAGCGAGAGTGCTAATATGATGTTTCAGGGATTCACATATGTAGCACCATCAGTTTTAGAGGAAATTAATCACCCGAGAGTGATAACAGCGCGTAGTCCACGTAGAACGCCAAGACATAGAGAAGATCACATGAGCCTTAGAGTTTTTCCAGGAGCATCAACGTCCTCAATCGCTGGAATATCAAATCATCCTCAACATTTTTATCCAAATTCGTCACATAATAATAACTCAATTCATCCACGAGTTAATCCTCAATTTGTAGCCAGTCACCTTCAGGGCTTTAGCAACACACCAACATCTGATGATGCGATGATGATGGATGTAAATATATCATAGTGGAATTTCACTGTAGATTTATGGGTGTTTTTGACAAAATAAGTTATATATATTTTCTCTTTATACAAAAAATGGCCATACAATTCATTCATAAAATGATATGAATTTTCTTTCGTCGTTGACTCTTGCTTCTTCTTTTTTTGTCTAATTTTCTACAGTGTAAAATCTATTCGATTTTGAATTAATATGCTTTAATTTTACAACAGATAAAAGGGAAGAAATGATAAGATGATGTCTCGGCATCCGGATTTTTTGTTTTAATTTACCTACACACACACCCACAAACAAACAAACAAACAATCAATCAATCAAAATATAAAAGATCGAGTAAATTTTCGATAAGTAAGGAATAAGGAGTAAGGATAACAATATGATGAATGAAGGATATACAGCTGATCGCTCGTAGATAGAAGAAAAATAATTAAGCCATACATAACACCATCATATTTCACGAATTTATTGAAGAACGTAGCAGAAGAGAAATCCCAATTTACCCATATTAGATAAATATTGCTTTATTATAAGTTTAATTAAACAAAGGAGGAGAAGAAGAATATTAAAATTGAAGGCATGTATCAGAGTAATACAATTTAATATATATTTTTTAAATAGCCAAAGCACAAAGAATGGTCGGAGAGATTAAATGAATACAGTTGAAAGTATACTCGATCTTACCTAGATAATTTCATTGTGCGTAAGCATTGATATCTCAATGAATTAGTCTTATATGACTTCCATCATTGACTATTTGATTACGAGTCGTTTACTTGTAATGTCCAATACAACGTTTTATGAATTTGTCAATAACTTTTAAATGTTGTTGCTTAAAGTTAAAAGTTCATGATTGGATTGTCAATGCTTGCGCATCTTGTTCATTCATTATAAGTTTATTAATTTTAATTTTCGTGGGATATAAAGTGAAAATATTATGGAAAACGTTATTTTGGTTTAAGTAAAATATGAATGCAATTAATTAAACTTTGTTTTTGGCTTAAAAATTCATGAAAAACTTAATATTTTTTTATATACAAGAAAAGGATGAGAAATTTTCAATTATTAAATAATGATTAGATCTTGGCTTCGATGCATAATCCAGAGAAGTAAAAAAGAAAAAAGCGAAAGGAAATGCTGAAAAATAAGTGAAGTTTCATTCACGAAGAGACGAATCATGTAATAAAGAAAAGAAAATAATAATAAATTGAACTATTTTGATAACAGAAACTATATAAATATTAATAATGATAATATCTACCAATATATATATATGCATATATACTAGCTAAAAGATGAAAATACTCTCTTCTTGAATGAAACGATATGAATTGCAAGCTTCATCAGTGTTTAACAGTAAAAAAAAAAGAATTACATTAATGCTATACTTTTTTATGTTGAAATTGTGGATTTTTATTGTAATAAATTTAAAATTAATAATCAAAGATTTTTAAAGAAATTAAAAATTATCGGCTTACGTTCTCAACTTACTTATACATGATTCTATTTGAATTTGGAAATTAATTTAGGTTAAATAAAGGCGATGGAAATCATTGGCTCCGAATGCAGCATTACATTTTGGACATTTTCTTTGTCGCGAATCGTAACGATTCCTTAAGCATTCATAACAGAAAACATGGAAACATTTTGTCAGGACTGCATCCTTTTGCTTAACTTTACACGAGTCGCACGTCAGTGCCTCCTTATATTCTCTATTTTCTTGCAAAATAACTTCATCGATTGTAGCACCTGACATCTCCATCTCCATGTTTTTCATCCTATCTATTTTACGCTTATAGACATTAAGTTCTTCCTGAAGATTCTTACTTTTATTCGATTCCTGCATGAATCGTGTCGCCTTTTGATCCATCATTTGTTGAGTCTCGACCAACATTGTGACATATTTCTCTAAATGCATCTTCAATTCCTGAGCAGACTGTGCTGATTCCGTAGCTTTTCTTTTATACGTTTCCATTGCTTTTTGCTTTAAATCAACTTCCTTTTCCAAATTTGATATTGTATTGATAAGAATCTTCTCCTTCTCTTCTAACTTCCGCTTTAAAGTTATTAACGTTTCCATTTGATGTTCTTGATACTGAATCTTAAAACATTTTTGAAATTAAGAAAACGATTAATTAAGTTTTAATTACAAAAATTACCTGTTTTTCTAGCTCATTGATTTGTGCACTAAGTAATGCCTGCTTCTGACTTGCATTTATACGATCAGTAATCAGTTTAAAATTGGCATCATCTTTACTACTAAGCTGTTGTAAGAGACGATCGTTTTGCTCTTGCATCTCATCATACGCTTGCCCCGTCAGTTCGATTTCATTCAAAAGTGCTTCTTCCTCCTAAAATTATAACTACATAAGTCAACTGATTGTATTAGAATAGAGCAGTCTTAACTACATTGGACCCGACGAAAGGACGGTAGCTCCATTGTCCATCGACTGCTTTCTGAGTCGCTAATTGTTTTTGAAGCTCAATATTTTTCTCCTCGAGTTGCTTTAATTTTCGCAGGATATCCTCATCAGCCCTTCTATCCTTTCGATCTTCTCGTTTACTTTCTTGCAATTTCTTTAATTGCATTTTGATCTCATCCACTTCCTGTCTTGCTTTTTTCTCAGCAGCCATTAACTGAACCTTATCGCGTTGTTCCTTTCCAACACCTTTATATGTATCCATGACAACTTTTGTATCTTTAAGATCATTCAATGCCTTCTTTAGTTGAGCTTTAAGATCACGATTTTCTCGTTCAAGTTTGGAAATACATGTTGATGGCGCTTCTTCTTTTTTTACAACTTCTACAGAAGTTTTCTCATTTGGTGTCAAAGAACTCTTGTCGTCAATCTCTGAATCATTTTCTTCCGGTTCCGTTTTTACCTTTTCAGTGGTTGACTCTTCCTTTATATTCTTAACATCAGATGGCTCATCTTCTGTTACACTCGATAAACTTTCATTCTTAACATCCTTTTCAGGCTTAATGCTAGACGAAGCATTCAATTTTGCTGACATTTCTTCAAGTTCTTTTCGGAGTTTTGTATTATCAGTATTAATGTCTTTATACTTTCTCTTGTATCGCTGAATCTCTTTTTTGAATTGTCCATTACGATTCTGAAGAGAAGTAATTAATTGACGCATTTCTCTATTGATTGGAGCCGTTTGCTCATTTGCCGCTAAGTTTTGTTCGTATTTGTTACGCAAATTCTCAAATTCTTTACGAGTTTGATCTAATACATATTGTTTCTGTAAAAGTTCATTTCGCAGTTTCTTCTGCTCGTCAAGTTCATTACTTTCTAAATATTCTATATAACGTTGATATTCGGTCTTACTCTTAGCTAGTTGGGCTCTTGCTTCCTCTAATAAAGTATTAATCTGCATCGATTCATTATAAAGAACTGAAAATTGAGATTGTAAGATTTTATACTCGGTTGTTTCAACTATAACAGACTCTGGTAAGTGACGCATATCCATTTTCAGCTTATCAATTTCATTCACATATGAAGCCTTTTCGTCATTCAATTTCTCAATTTCTTGCATACGATTTGCAGCCAATTCCTTAAACTCATCAAGCTCTTTCTTTAGCTCCTCTAGATGTAATGATGCTACTGTTGTCATTGAAGCTCCACTACTTGGTCTCTCTATAAAGAAAAATTCATTAATTCTAGTCACAGTCTAATAATAAAAATATAGTTGTTTCTTACCAGTTTTCGAGTCATTTCCAAGGACAGTAACATTTTTAATTTTTTCAATCGCTTCTGCCAAGTGATTCTCTAGCTTATCATTACGACACCGAACTTTTTCCAGCTCATACTCAAGCCCATCAATCTTGTGTTTTAGTTCTGCTTCCGCAGTTTCGTAAGCAGCTAATGATTCAAGCAATTTGGCTTCTTTCAACATTACAGTTTGATTCTTTGAATGCAGCTCCATGTTTTTCTCATGCAAATTTCTATTTTCTTTAATGACCTCCTCGATTTGCTCACGAAGCGATGCTTCAATGTTTACAATCTCATCGCCCTTTATATACTGTAGAATCTTATCATTACGTTGCATTAAACGATCAAATACTTGGATAATTTTGCCAACAGCCCTTTTGGAAATTTGTACTCTATTTGCAAGATTCTCGTCCAGTTCCTCTTTATCCCATGTTGATAATTGTGCAAGAAAAGAAGTTGTAACTTCACTCTCATTTTTACTTTCCTGTTCATCTGCCGTTTCGGCATCGAATCTCTGTAAAAGTATTCTAATGTCCTCATTAAATTGATTCCAATATCTATTAACGGCATTAAGAACAGCATCGTCTTGCGTTTGTCGACTTTCTAGCTGATCAATTCTTGCCCTGAGCTCATTCTCCGTTCGCTTTCTCTGTTCTATACGCTAGATTTTTTTTTAAAAGAAAATAAAGAAAAGAAGGTAAGAGAAAAAGTGATAGAAAAGCATAAAATGAAAATATAGCTGGATATACTTGTGAAGCAAATAATAATAAAAATAAAAATGCTAACATACATTAGCCAATTTTTTATTCTGAAATTTCAAGACATTTATGTCTAGTTCCGTTGAGTTCGATACAGGACCAATCGTATGGGGCAAATAAGTTGTTGAAACCTGCTTAAATGGAATAAATAAGTGAGAAAATGCAATTAAATAATGATGAAAAATCATCGATTTTTTTCTATCGCTGTACCTTTTTCGTTTGTGCACCACTCGACGAAGTTCCATCTTCAGCCGGTCTTTTTGACATTTTAAAGAACCTTACTGATACTTTCTTTACACCTTAAAACGCCTACGTTTCGTTTAATTATATTAATTAATTTTTCAAACAATTTTCATCAATTTCAGTTTTATAATAATCGGTCAATTCAACTAGCTCGTGTTTTGAAAGAATCATCTAAACTTTACTAAGTTAATGCCCCACTATCCGCTTTTATTTCCACTTCTTTAAATTGACTTTTAAACGCTTTAATTAATCTTATTCTATGCGATAACTTATGTTCCAGCATGATTTTAGCAAACCTTAACCTGATTCTTGATTATGATTTACAAATTCTCCCTAACCGTTAAACTTTTTCACTTCCCACGTGCTATATTTGCCGATATTCTGACAGTTAAACTAATTTGACTTGTATTACCTTTATGCATGAAACTTATGTTAACTATGTTCAGCATCGTGATTCTTCAAACCAGCTCGGATTGACAATTTCAAAAAGATCCAGTAATGTCTGAAAAGAGGTTAAAAACATGCAAAAAATCAATAAATTATGATAAAATCAATGTATGCTAGCCAATCGTGGTCCAAAAACTGATTGCTAGGTTCGAAAAAGGACACTGAATAAGACAAGTCGAATAAAAGCATGTAAAAAGTCACAACAAAAAGATCTTATAATAATAAAAAAAATTTGAAGTACGGCGGAATTAAACGATTTTAAAAATATTTTTTAAGGAAGTACTAAGAAGTAATAAACAATAAAAGTGTTCAAAATCAAGTATTAATAGGCCTGTAGATCATCAGGATGTTTAATGGTAATATAAATATTTGGTTCTTTGTCATTTGAGTGATGACTAAAATAGTGTCAATAGACAGTATTTGTTTTAATTGAAATAATTTGATAATATTCGGCTCAGAGATCAATAGATGACATTGAAGGTCATGCTCATCTTATAACTTAGTGACTAAGTATTTGTCATCAGTTTTTCTTGCATTAGCTAGCCGAAAAGAGCTTACATATGTATTAATCATTGCATGTAATTTTTAATGTTATCATGTTTAAAACTTATGTGCCTAATTGAGCACGTAATTTGATGATAATGTTTAAGAATTATTCAATATACAGTCATTAATATTATTTAAACCTTTGTAGCAATCAAAAATTTATTGTCAGGAGATATTCCAGCAAATAAAGTAATTGAGAAGAGTTTAGACTCGATTGCAAATTATAATGTCTTACAAAGAGACGATAGTTTATTACTTTATGCACCACCGATTCAGCCTGATGCATCATCAAAAAATAGTAAACGATGTTACGAAGTTGTTCTCTACAGACCAGCGGCAGAGAACGTAAACTCATCATATAGGTAAGTTTAGCTGATTTGATAGAGAAATTAAAGCATTAAATGACGTAAAATATTTCAATTAGTATCATGACTCATTCCTTCGCAATTTTTAGCTTGTATCGAGCGGAAACACAGGACGACGCGTTAGCAAAGTTTGAGGCATTTACACATCGCGTACCTAATTTCGTAACAATGGCTAATCAATATTACAACATCCCAGGACTACAAAAAGTCTGTGACTTGCTAATTGAGAATCCTTCATGGTCATTAGCACATCTTGTAGCTTACTTTAATTTAGGAGATTACTTAAGTAATCCTTCGATTGCTGAATTGATAGATTATCCAGATCATGTAAAGTACATGACTCCATTTCAACTGGCCATAAAAACTAAGAATATTGAAATGGTTAAATCTCTTTTGACACATGTTAAGCTTGATCACTTAGATTACAATAGTGATGGAATTTTTCATTACGCTGCAAATACGTCAAAAGAGATGATTTCAATATTAGCTAACAAAAGCGTCGTAAATTTGAATCACATTAATTTAGAAGGAATCACGCCATTACATAAAGCTTGTCTCAGCAATAATCCTGATTGTGTCAATGCACTTTTATGCGCTGGAGCGGATGTCAATATTTCAGCGCGTCATGTTAATGGAGGATCACAACAAAGATTTCAAACAACTGTAAGCCCAACAGCTTCTGTTGCAGAATTCTTTCAAAATAATGCTAATAAGCTAAACACTCAGGATATGATTAATGGTGGAACGCCTCTTCATTGGGCCAATTCTAGGGAAGTTTTAGAGGCTCTTATTCAAAGAGGATGCTATATTAATTCATTAGATTTCAACGGACGAACACCGTTACATGTTATGGTCTCAAAAAATCAACTCGAATGTGTAGTTTCCTTATTGGCACACGAAGCAGATATTGACTTGAAAGATAAAGACGGAAAAACGCCTTTACTTATTGCCGTTGAGAAAAAACTAATTCCAATCGTGCAATGTCTAGTAGTTTTTGGATGTGACATAAATATGAAAAATAAAAATGATCAATCGCCAAGACATTTGGTTGGAAAAGAAGCTGCAGGCTCAAATGACAATATGATTCTATATATACTGTAAGCTATGCTTTTTCCTCGACTATCTCATGTTTTTAACCCCGTAAATATAATTATAGTCATTCAGTTGGAGCTAAACGATGTCCTGAAACTTATTCAAAATGTCCACCAGGCTGCAACTTTAAAGGCGAATACAATGGTAATTTTTCTAACCTAACAGCACAAATCATGTATAACTAATGTTATATTCTTTTTAAATCATCCAGGAATTCCGCCAGCACAGCCAGAAACTACTGAGCAAAGAGAAGCTATACAACAAATTCTTGCAACAACATCTCAGATGTCAAGAGGAAGAAATAGTATTCCAAACTTTTTGAATCAACAACTTTCTCGATTACCAAAAGATCAGCCAACATTAATCGACATAACTGCAGAACAGAAAGGAGCTAGTGTTATGGACGCTTTACTTGGAATGTTTACTTCAAAAATTCAAGCTGCTGCAAAGAAAGAAGTTCATACATGCGATCGAGCAACTTCTACATCTGAAGATGTCAGTGATGATACTATGCAATGTGACGAAGAATCTAGTACAAGTGAAGAGGATGAAAGTCAAATTGGTCGTGGAAGATTATTGTGCCTTGACGGTGGTGGCATCAGAGGCTTAGTTTTAGTTCAAATGCTGCTAGAAATTGAGCAGTTATCACAAACTCCAATAAACTACTTATTTGATTGGATTGCAGGCACATCTACAGGTGGAATTTTAGCTCTGGCAATTGGTAAGTAAAAGCTTTGGTCCGAATATAGAACAACTTCTTCCTGAAAATTTAAATATAAATATAAACTTTACTTATATTTAATTCATTTTTGATCAAACTTATAGGCGCTGGCAAGACAATGAAGCAATGTATGTGTTTATACTTGAGAATGAAGGATCTGGCTTTTGTCGGTTCAAGACCATATCCGAGTGACTTGCGTAAGTAATTCTATATGCATTAAAAAACCAAAGTTGAATGGTTGATTTTCATTATTTCTATAAATATCAGTTGAGAATGTCTTGAAGGATAATTTGGGAGAGTATACAGTAATGTCAGAAATTAAGCATCCGAAGCTTATGGTCAGTGCAGTAATTGCAGACCGGTAAGTATTAATTGTTACACTGTGCTTTATAAAGTCTTGTTCCCTGTTTACGGTTTTTTAAAAGCCCTAATTTCAATCATTATAACATTAATCTCACTTGGATATCTTATTTATTTCTAAACTATTACTTTAATCGAAACCAGAAAACCGGTAGATCTGCACTTGTTTCGGAACTATAAGCCAGCAGCTGACATTCTGGGAATAACAACGCCGTCAAGTATGTTAAAATTAACAATACATGTCATAATTTAATCATAATTATTCTTTGTAAATCATATTTTCCCATTAGCCAACAGAAGAGTTCCACCGCCCGAACCAGGTAAATAAAATAAATTCAGTATATTCTTTGTGTCATAAGTTCTATTCCCATTCTCTCTTTTTTTTTGTCGTTGATAGAAAATCAGCTGATTTGGCGAGCAGCACGAGCAACTGGTAATATAAAACTTTATATGTTATATGACTAAAGTTCTCACAATAATAAATAATTTTAAATGTAGGTGCTGCTCCTTCGTATTTCCGAGCTTTTGAACGTTTTCTTGATGGAGGTTTAATCGGTAAGATAAAATTAATTTACTTCCCTTTTATATCACATTAATCATAAAACTGACATTGTATGATAATTTATGAACAGCAAACAATCCAACCCTTGATGCGATGACAGAAATTCATGAATATAACATGGCGTTACATTCTGTGAATCGCAAGAATGAGTCTGTTCCAGTCTCAATTGTTGTAAGTTAAGTTAATTAAATTCGAGATTATTTTCAGTTCAATAAATTTCATTTCTTTATAATTTAAAAGATATCATTAGGGACTGGAATGCCTCCTGTAACAGAACTCAAAGAAATTGATGTATTTAGACCCGAAAGTATTTGGGATACTGCCAAACTAGCTTATGGAATTTCAGCAATTGGAAATTTACTTGTTGATCAAGCCACTTTAGGTGAATATGGAGGAAATTCAGCAGTACTGTTGATGCTCAATTAATTATCTGCTTTGTTTTGTTTTTACATAGCTGACGGAAGAGTAATTGACAGAGCAAGGGCTTGGTGTAGTATGGTAATTTGTTCATTTCTTGACATTTTTCATTATTTTGTATTTGTACCAAATGTTATTAATTTAAGATCCAAATTAAGTTTGTTGGATAAACTTTAATCAATGTATCCAGCATTATATCACTAATAAATTTTTCTGATTTTCAGATTGGTGTGCCATATTACCGATTTAATCCACAAATGTCTGTAGATATTGCTATGGACGAAAAAATTGACGCACCAGTAAGTCTTTAACATAACAATAATTCGATTTTTATTTTAACTACTGTCTACAAAATCTTTCACAGCTCATCAATATGATGTGGGAGACGAAAGCGTATATGTATCAGAATCGAAACAAAGTAATTGAGGTGATAAATTTGCTGAAGTAAAGCACAAACAGAATCTTATAAAGAGACAATACGATTAGCAAGACACCGTTTTTTAAAAACAAATTAATTCGGACTTTATAGAACAGATCAATCACGACAAAAATATTTGTTTTGATTATTCCTTGATGTTTACCAGTTTATTGATAGAGAAGATGAATCATTCATTTAATGAAAAGGATGAGAAGTTAAATTTAAAGTTATTGATCCAGCATTCTAAGAATTATCAAATTTTGAAGGTAATTTTAGCTTATGTCATGTCTAAGAATGCTTGGACGAGAATTTTAAATCTATCTTACTATCCAACATTTAACTATAATTACGCTTCATAAATGTACTTGCAATGTATTGCAATATTCCATAAAACTCATTAAAAGCACAAAAAAAGAAACTTTATAATAATTTTAAATATATCAACTTCTTATACACGTTTAAGGATGATGAATATTTATTAAAAATGATTGAATTTATTGCTATATTTATATTTGATACACTTATTTATGAATTATTAATAAAGTGATGAGAAGTTTTAAACTGAAAAAATTTAATATGTAGAAGCTTCAACTAAATTCTAAGTAGATTTTTCAGACAACTAATAGAATTGTTTCAGTCTATCTGTGAATCAAAATGCGGTCAACTAATGTAGGTATTTAATTTTATGCTTTACTAATCGTTACGTAAACAAATTAAACATTATTAAGTAATTTAGTGAGGTATTGTGTTCAAAATCACTGTCAAGTTCCCATTTTTCAGAGCTGTATTATCACATCATGCTGATCGTGAAAATTGGCAGAGTTCAAGTACAGCCCAGCTTTATGCATTTAATTATTTTATTGTGAAGGGCTATTTATGCATAAGCGAGCTTTTAAAAGAATTTATTTAATTTTGTGTGTAAAAAGAGACAAACTATATTTCCCATCACATCGTGAGATTACTTCTAACGATAAACGTTTTGGAATCTAATTTGCAAATAATAATATTTAGGTAGGTATAAAAGCCGTTGCTGTTTAAACTATTGTTAATCAGTTTCAGTTTGTGATTCAAATAGATAACATTACAGCAAGACTAGAATTTTGTAAAAAAAATTCTCAAAATGAAGTTTGTAAGTGCTCTGACTTTAATGCTTACAACTTATCTAATCTTACTTATTTTAACTCTCAAAAATTTAGACATTGATTTTTGTTCTTTTGTGCTGCATCGCTTTGTCATTTGCTGTTCCAGCACCACGAGATATCAAGAAAGAACAGGAGCTTGAAAATATTGAAGATTTAAAGGATGGTGAAGAAGAGAAGGATTTAAAAGGTGCTGAGTCAGCTTATCATGGCTGGTATGGCGGATATCCATACTATCCTTACAGGTTTATTAATGAAATATTTTTATATAAATTTACATTTTTTTGAGTGAATTAAATTAATTTTCTCTAGCAGCTATTACTCAAGTATTTATCACACGCCATCGTACTATGGTTATGCATACCGTCCATACTCTTATTGGTGGTAAATGATCATGAGGAACTAATGTGTAAATAATTCCGGCTTTATGTGATGTTAAAGTAAATTATTAAGTTATTGAATAAAAATGCAAAAGATTTTAAAAATGTTACATCTGTGAAAATAGCCTTAACGAAAATAAATTTCAGCAGCTGTTGTGGTCTAAAGAAAGAAATCAAAGTGTTAATAAGTGGTTATCTTATCCTCAAGTGCGGCATGATGCATGCTTGTATAAATTCAATACACGTGCATGGTCGCGTGTCATCAATTTTTGGCTAATAAGAAGTAATAAATGACAAAATATTTGAAGTAATCGATCCTAATTAAATAATCATCTCAATTTCTATATTATGTCCTTAAGCAAATGTTTATTCCCATATATTTAATCAGGTGGTGGTCGTTCGCATGACTCTTAATATTCTCATACATTAATTTGAGTATAAACTAATATAATGAATATTTAAAATAACGTTAAACCGTGAAAAATCATGCATGAAACAGTTTTTGTACACAAAACATAAAATCATAAAGTCATAGAGTACGAAAGACCCCTTCGAACATTATATTGAGGCAAATACACAAAATAAAAATATCCAAACACACCTGTTAAAGTAAGTAATAGCGAGCGAGTCAGGAAGTCTAGTTGAAGTGATTCGAAATCAATTAGAACAGGATTTACAGGAGGGTTGCAGGATGAATGTAGATTTTTTCATGCTAAAATTTATTAATCAAATACAGGAAATTCTTGGTTCTAAGAACAGGATAATCCATTGTAGAATGGTATTTTAAAAGCGGCGTGAAGAATCGACGAAAGCATGTTGTTAGTAAGGGTGGTTAACATTATTCGGTTCCAATTGAATCTTCTAAAATCAGCGTGTCGTTTGCTCAATGACCCCTAAGTTATAATCTAAATAAACAAAAATGCATAATTCTATTCCTTCCATCCATCCTTTGATATTCAATGCTCGCAATTATCAATTTTTATTCCATTTACAATGTATTTCACTCTCCTGTTAAGTATCAACTTTATTTAAGTACCAGATATGTTTTTTTTTTTCCTTCCAAACGACTCTTTGTCTCTCACTCATCAAACCCACCCAACATAAATAGATTTTTTTATCAATCACTACATATAATTCATATTCATGACATAGTTTTTTGCTTAAGGGTACGAAAAATTTTCATAAGACATTGGGACGTACTAGGCATTACTATCATATGTAATATGAATCCCGTTTAAATCCTTAATGCGATCCTTGCAAAAAAAAAAATGTTTTCGTCTGAATAAAAATCTATCAAGTTGATGCAGATGCATTTGTTAAGGTCGAACAGTCTATCCCTTTTTATTCCTCATCATCTCGTTAGCAATTGGTCTAGTAATACCGTTATATAACCCCTCAGGCAGGCAAAATAAAATAAAAATTATTTATGGGGTGCGTTTAAACAACAGAATATATAAAAAGCTAAAACATACATTCGAGGGTTGTAGGGACTTGATTTTTCGTTTGATAACTGTTAGTAGTTTTATAGCACTACCGAAATGTAAATATCAGTTTTAGTTGGTCGTTGATACGTGAGCAGAAAGGACGTTTTTTTTTTTGTAAACTCATCAGCATTCTATGTACGCGGGGAATTATGAATAATAATCCACAGTGAAGAACAAAACTTTAAAGTCTATTTTAAAATAATTTGTCAAGGATTAAATGTGAAAGAATAATAAAAATAAAGGATTAAGTTTGATTATAGTGCTTATAACAAAATGTTAGGACAGTGCAACAGTAGTTTTAATTTTGAAGACACGTCGTCATATGACTTTGATGATAATTCGTCATTGGATAGTGGAATCGAAAGAAGCTATGAAATCAGTGATTTTTCATTAACGCCAAGGAAGCTAGATTTTGACAATTTGTCATGTGGACAGACAAAGTTAAGGAAAAGAAATTATAGAAACTCAAAAGTGACAATTGAGGAATATCAGGAACTGGAAAAAGAGTTTCAGCCATCGACAGAAGCTACCACATCAACTCCAACAAAGAGAAAATATGCACAAGGAAAAAGCCGAATATCAAGATCACAAAATCCTGTTCAAATTATGAAGATTAAGAAGTTCCGCAGGATTAAAGCAAATGATCGAGAAAGAAATCGCATGCACAGTTTAAATGAAGCTTTAGGTAAGTAATTTAAGATTTTTTTTATAAGTTTGAAGTATGTTCTAGAAAACTAGGAACAACTGTTAATTTAGTTTAGAGTACTGAAGCTGAACCTCTTGATATCTAAAGTGTCATGAATTAATTTCTTTCTCATAGAACGTTTACGACTAACTCTTCCAACTTTACCACAAGACACAAAGCTCACAAAAATTGAAACTCTGCGATTTGCACACAATTATATTTTTGCACTAACTCAAGTCGTTGAGCATGGATACAGTTTAAAGACCTTTGACATCGAGAAGCTACAAAGTTTGACATTAAGTGGCGAGAAAGTTACAAAAGAACTTTTCGAGGCACTTTTCATCAATCCATCACCATATTACAACCAAAATAATAGTGGATATTATGCTTCATACACAAGTGGATTTAATTCAACAAATTTTGAAAATTGTGATTCTACAGGATTTTATCAACAGTCCAAAGTCATGGATAATAATATCAACGTAAAAAATTATGAATTATTTAAAGGAGCCTTCGAAACAGCAGTTAATTCAGGTAGAGCATTCAACACAGAACTCACAAGTGACTATCCATGTTACGACAATAGATACTATCAGGGGCAAAATTTCTATTAACAGCCCCTCAATGAGTTGTAAAGATTAACAATAATAACAGAGATAACAAAAGTGAATAGTTTGGCATGGTCGCTATGTTATGCAACAGTCACGATGATGCGCAATATGTTAATTTGAATCATATTTTAAAGCAACAAGTTGCTCATAAAATCTTTAAATCAGCAAATTGTATGCAAACTTTTCATTTTTGTATCGATCTTTCTTTGATGCTTAAAATATTTTCATGACAACAATTGGACGACTTTAAGTTCCAATTGACATTTTGTTGTGGAAATATTTCGACCATCCCAAATATTTTAATTATTGTAAAACTTTCTTAAATGAACAAGAGTTGATCTCTAAATTTAGCATCAATTCCTTAGTCATTTCTTACTATCAATGGTGTATCATATACTGTTTGAAAAGAACAACTTAGGACGTAGGTATGCAAAATTTGGTGGTCGACAAAATTCAATTTAAGATTAATTAATAAGTATAGTCCATATCCTAGTCTGATTGATTTGATGAGATTATACAAATCCTTTGGTTTTTATGAAATTGAAATTTAATAAAGCGTTCTATTTATACAGCAAGCATGTAAACGATTTTCATTCTTCTGAATTCTTTCATCAAAAGGGATTTGCAACAATAGAAATGCATATAAAATTCATAATGTTTTAATAGCATCGAGGCACCAGCAGTAGAAAATTCTATATCGTAGAAATTCAGTAGATTTTAAATCACTTTCCCTTTCATGATCACACAGCATAAACATACATACAATGCACAATAACTAGTAATACAATTTGATTTTTCTCTCTTTTGTTGTAAATGGAAGTTTAGGGTGGTTCAACAACAATAGCATTTCGTATTTTTGTTCCTGTGACACCTGTCTAACAAGATATGTGTGCTTGCTCAAATATACACACAAATTTTCTGCACAAAATCTATTACTGCCTATACATAAAATTTATGTTAGTTTTATGTGGAAACAATTCGCAGTACAGCAACGGTTTATTAGCTTTATACTTTTTTTTGTGTGGATAAATTTTTGCGCACTAACGAGGGATAATAATTTTGTGACAAAAAATTCGTCTCGATAAATTGCATCTTTTTTCTCGCATTATCATGCTTTCAATTGGTTTGAACTTGGAACTAATCGATCGCATCGATTTGACATTATTAATATGATTTTATGTGAAATTTCACGCGAATTAAATCCTTTTTTTTCCTAACCCATTTTTTAAATGCAGAATCATAGCTTTAGTTTTTTTATGAAACATTTTTATTGTTATTCTTAAATATCCTTTTTCACATTTTACATACAAGATTTTTTTAAAAAAATTATCATAGACGTTTCTTGTTAAAAACCGAAGATTAAAAATATAATTTGTTCAGCGCATTTTTGCCCAACAAAATTACTGCTTTTAAAATTATAGAATTTTCAAGCAATTTTCGTCACTCTAGTTATTCGTTTCCTCATGATATCCAATAATTTGGGGGTAATTAACCAATCCACAGTTGTAAAAGAAAATCAAGAATTAAAAATCTTAGGATTTCAGTAAGTTCCTGAGTCTAGCAAAAATGCGCTTTCCTGTCCAAATTGTGGGACATTTAAATAATTTTTTAAAAAAGGTTTTCTACAATTGGTAAGTATGCTTGTTTGAGAATAATTAAGTAATGATAACTAAACATCAGATGTTTCTCATGATTTAATTGTTCAAAAAAAATGACAGCAAAACATAAAATTCGATTTTATCAAAAATAATAGATATTATTTAAAGATTCTTAAAGATAAACAAATTTGTTCTAAATAACGTGATAAAAATGGAGATGACATAAAATAATAATCATAATCAAGACATGAAGTATATCTTGTATAATATCAGATAGAAGTAATCAAATAATAAAGTTTAAGACGAAAGTTATGTATATATATGATTTTTTTTTTTGTGACGACAACAATAAACAGATTAATTTGTGTTGGGAGAATCTGTACCGGAGCTATTATCCTTCTCTCGTTCTTTTACAGTTTCCTTTGTAGAACGTTTAGTCGATTTAGATAACGTAGCAATTTGAACTTGCTGATGTTGAATTTTTTTATTCATTATGTCGGACTTTGTGTCAAAAACTTTTTTTTGATCTGTCATTCTAGTTCTCATTTCTGTTTCGATTGCAAAATGCTTTCCTTTCCACTCAGTGATCTAATGAATAAAACGAAGTCAAGATAACAAACTTGTAACAAACCATTGTATGGAGTATAAATAATCGTATTTTGAACACTTTTATAAATTTTTTGACGATGTTAATATAGTAATAACACTTTAAAATATACTTGTACGAAAGGGGATAGATAGAGAGAAAGACAAGACAAGACAAGACAAGAAAAAGTGTTAAATTCGTTTATAAACTCACCTCTTTATCCTTCTGTAATAACTGATTATCCTTTTGCTGCAATTTCTTCTGAAGTGTTGCTATTTGCTCCTTTAATTGTGTCAATGCGACAACATGATCTGATTGATGATGAATTGGAGCAATTACACTATTTGAAGTCTTTTGAATTTTCTCTGGCATGTCCTTAGATAAGTCTCGTGTGGCATTAGCGTTGTTATTTCGATTCGATGAACTTTGGTTGCTCAATTTCATTGATCCTGACTTAATTCCATCATCTGCTGACCTCTTTTTGGCTCGCTCTTTATGCTTTTCTATATCAGACTTTTTAGCTTTAGCCAATGCTCTCTTGTATGACAATTTGCACAGCCAACAATGTAGTTTACCATCAATTCTCAAATCACTACGATTGAATGCACACGTTTGCTGACAAATTTCACACTTTACAGGAGGTCCATATTTATTCATACTAGACAAACATCTATATTTTAATTAAATTAAATACGCCATTAGATTTTTATTTATAGATTCACAAGTTTCTTGTTGATTCTTACCGTTGACACTTGTCCGATTTAAATGCAGCAGTTATGCTACACAAGCTGCAATTTTTTGGTTTTCCATACAATTTCATATTCTCACTACATTTTGGACATACACTGGATGATTTACTGTAATTTGTTGCAATGAAAATAAGTAAAAAATAACAATTAATTTCCACATTCCTATTACATTCATTTGTTTATAAACATACCCAGACTGTTGAAATTCTGATCTGCAATAGTTACATTTAGCCTTAGTTGTCCTACATTCCTAAGAAATTGAATGACGATGAAGAAAATCATAAACTAGTTTGAATAATGAAAGCTTGTGAATTTTTATAAAAATCACTTACCCCACACAGCATATCTCCTTCATTTGAGGTAGCAAATATTTCCTCGAATGCGAATTTTCTAAAACAACGTGAACAAGCGAATAAAGGATTCATTTTAATATAATTAAACACTTTTTTTTATTTATAATTGCAAGAAAAGAAATTTTCTACAATACAATAGAAAACTAGTATGATAGTCCCAAACGACTATGATGGAAAATCATAAAACGCATTTCTTTTAACTGAACAGTTTTAGTGAAGATATGTATTTAATAAAAATTTCTCTTTTTATTTTATGAAGGTTTTTTAAGGCTCAACTCAGCTATGCACTAATTGGTTTTGAAAATGAATTATAAGTTTCGACATTTTTTGTGTTTGAAAACCATACAAAAGTTTAAATTCTTTTGTAAAACCTTACAATTTCTGTCTTCTTAAACTTTTGTATGGTTTTAAAAAAGCACAGTCAACAGTCCAAAGTGACCCATTCAGCACGTTGCATTTGTAGAATGCTTTAGATTGTGGCACAGTTTAATCCCTCTACATCGAACATGTGAAAAAATCACCTAATAAAGTTCAAAAATTAAAGGCAAGAATGTTAAAAAAGTTCGTTACACCTTATGAAATTACATGATAATTTCTGTGAGTATGACATTCCCAATAAATTCATGCCATGTTTAATTCATAAAATCAAATAGTTCCCAAGAACATCAAATTATTTTGGTGCTTAGTAGAGTACATTAGTGTTTGGAATTAGATTATGAAATATATTTAAAAATTAGGTCACAATACCGTGCTGCATATGATGTTTTGGGCTGAACTATCATGTGCAAATTTTTCGTACGACGTAAACCTTTTGAGACATTATTTATAGACGTATTAAAGTCGGGTCATTTGTAGGTGAAAAATTTAGACATCAGAAAAATCTTCATACCAAGATTTTTTAGAATGTCCAGCATCAAAACAGCTGAAAGCGAAGTGCTGTAAGTTATCTTTTCCCAATATTAATTAATTTATTCCATTTTGTCATTACATAGCAAGATTAATTTTGATGAATTGTTTCAATGATAGGAAACCTTACGGACGACAAAACAGCCTTGAAGATATCAATTTGGATCAATTCCTGAAAATCTCAAACTATGAGGAGACGATCAAGCAACTGGATATTTATTATGGGATAGTTAAGAGACAACTTTTACAAAATCAATCAGAAATAACAGGCTTATTTCCAGTCTTAAGTACAGATAAAGAAGTAAATATTTTATAAAATTTTATTGACTTAATTGAACTTTATTAATCAAATGAATATGTTTTTTGTTCATCTTAAAGGTCGGCAGTGTTCGTGATACAGTATATTGTGCTGCAGCAATTTGGAGTTTATATCAAGCATATAGACGAATTGATGATGACCGAGGAAAGTCATATGAGTTGGGTCAAAGTGCTGTTAAGGCCATGCGAGGTATTCTCGAATGCTGGATCAAGCAATCTCATAAAGTAGAGCTCTTCAAACAACGTCAATGTTCAGCACATGCTCTTCATGTTAAATTTCATTTGCATACAGGCGAAGAAGTTTATAACGATGACAAATACAATCACTTGCAGATTGATGTTGTATCCATCTATATCATATTTCTTGTTCAAATGATTAATAGTGGCTTACAAATTATCTACACACAAGACGAAGTTGCTTTCGTGCAAAATTTAGTTTATTATGTTGAAAGAGCTTATCGCACGCCAGGTAATTCTATTCTGCATTTTAGATTTTAATCATGCTATTAATAATATTAACTTGTCTAGATTATGGAATGTGGGAGAGAGGATCAAAGTATAATGATGGAACACCAGAAATCCATGCATCAAGCATTGGAATTGCCAAAAGTGCTCTGGAAGCCATCAATGGATGTAATTTATTTGGTGAAAAAGGAGCATCTTGGAGCGTAGTTTACGTAGATATCGATGCTCACAATCGTAATCGATCAATTTTTGAAACAATGCTTCCACGTGAATCTAGTAGTAAGGGAGTCGATTGTTCTTTGCTACCAACTCTTTCTTTTCCTGCTTTTGCCTCCCACGAAGAGCGCTTAGGTATAAAATTGATGTCAACTTTACCTTGAGTCAAGTCTTAATGGTTAATAAATACTTTTTTAGTTGATCTGACAAAGAACAATGTTATATCAAGATTGAGAGGCAAGAAGGGATTTAAAAGATTCAATCGTGATGGCTATTTATGCAGATTAGAGGATAAGACAAGACGTTATTATCATAAGGCAGAAATTAAAGATTTCGAGGGAAATGAGTGCGAGTGGCCAATGTTTTACACGTTTTTGATCATCGATGGTGTTTTCAGAAACAATTCTGAGCAAATCGAAGAATATCAAATGGAATTGAGGAAGTGCATGTATTCAGACTTAAATGGAGGCAAATTGATACTTTGAAACGTGATTGATTGAATAATAATTATAAGTTGAAAATTAATCTTTTAGATCCTGTCGTAACAATGTTTTATATCCCCGATGGCGAAGGAATGTACACCCGTTCCAGTTCAACAGCAATATTTTTAATGGGACAGTCATTATTTATAATTGCGCAATTATTAACCGCTGGATTGCTGCATGTTAACGAACTTGATCCAATTCGTCGCTATCTCCCATCCTATAATCGACCCCGAAAGGGTGGCTCTCGCTATTCAGCTTTTCAGGTATTTATATTGCATATGAACCTTTAATACTAACTATGATATGAAAAATCTCTTGATATTTTTCGATCCATTTAATCTGGCATTTAACACGATCTTAAAAATACGACTTTCTTTTTAAAACAAAAAAAAAATTATAAAAACTGATTTTTATGATTTACAATTCTAATTGATAAAATATTCTCCATAAATTTATTTCATTCTTTCGTGATAATCAGGCGAAGCCCGGCCATGTAAGTAGTAAAAATTAAAGAAGACACACAAACACACACTCTTTCTTTTTTTTTTAAGTTCAAAAATATTATCAAACAAAAAAATTAAAATTAATTAGAGTAGATAACATAACGCTATTTGAATGAAATTCGGTGAAAAAGAAAGGTATATGAGAAACTAACAGTAATCACTAAGAGATTATGACAAAACAAAATTTTGAATGTATTTATTTTTGGTGAATTCGCGGTTTATACTTTTTTTTTAATTATTTTTGAATGAATAACAAAAATGTAAACTTGTTATACCTTTATATATCATATCTACAATTTTAATGTTAACAATGGTTCTTTCTTCTTTAATTTTTAAATATTTAAAATTCTATGTATAAAGCATACGTATGGAGGAGTAAGTAGATTTAATCCTTTGTAAACGTGAAGTCGCCAGTCATTTTGCATTTGAAATTCTGAAGAAATTGGAAGGGATTGCTCTAATAATTCTAGAGTCCAATTTTAACAATAATTTGAAATGTTTAAAAACAATCAATATTAAAAATACCTATTAGACTAAAAAGTTTTGATATCATGTGTATGTTTAGATTGCATGAAACTGGACGTATACTACTTATCTCTAGTTTCATTATTTTTATATACTTATTTTAAAGTACACATAAATTCTATTCTCATTGAATATTCATTCTATATTAATTCATCAAAAAATACTTTCTCATTATTAAAAAAAATCACTTGCTGTTTCATCATTATGCTTTATTTCACTTGAACGAACAAAAAAAAAATTATCCCTTATATCCCTTTTGTTGTATTTTTATCATCTTTTGGTCTTTAGATTTTTCACAACTTTTTTTGCTGTATTTTTTTGCGATTGTTATTACTTATCACTAAATGCTTACACAAATTCTTATTGAAAAACATTTTCTTTTCTCTGTTTATTTCTTACTTACATAGGGCACTGCAACTGACCTCGTCGTTCAAATTGTTTTGATATCAGAATCGATGAGATTACAAGCAATGTTAATGACGTATGGAATAATGACACAAACGCCTCATGAAGTTGAGCCTGTGCAAATTTGGTCATCTACGGAATTGATAAAAATTTATCAGCAACTTGGTGTTAATAATAAGCTTGGAATGTCAGGAAGACCTCCTCGTCCTGTCGGTAGTTTAGGAACGAGTAAAATATATCGAGTTTGTGGCTCAACTATTATGTGCTATCCATTAATCTTTGAGGTCTCAGATTTCTATCTTTATCGTGATATGGCACTGCTGATTGATGATATTAAAACTGAACTTCAATTTGTTGGAAAATATTGGAGATTGTCAGGTCGTCCAACAGTTTGCTTGCTAATTCGTGAAGAGCACATGCGTGATCCTCAATTTAAGGAAATGCTTGATTTATTAGCCATGCTTAAGAAAGGTTTTTGCGACGGAATGAAAGTTCGTATTGGGCGTCTTCAAAATTTAGTTTCTAGCTCTTGCATTGAGCATTTAGATTTTGTTGCCGACTTGCCAGATACCTCAGACAATTCTTTCCATCAAATTCATCATGAATATATTGGCTATCAGAGCCTTACAGATGTTCCTAAAGCTGCTGCTTATAGCGAAAGTAAAACCATGCTTACAGATTTTCATGCACGCCCAATGAGCGAAATTATTGCTGCATTACATGGAACAGACTCCATTTTCTGTCAATGTCAATTATATGGCATTATCTTACAGCGTGAAGGACCTCACTATGAAGTAATTATAAACTAAGTTTATTTTATTCTGTGTAGCTTATTAAAGTAATAATTTCTTTAGATTGCTGGCACGACAGTTCAAGATGCAATAACTGAATTGTATTACAAGTCTGGAAGCTTACGCTATTGGCGAGGAGTGCGTTATTGTTCTTCATTGCTTCGCAAACTTGTTGATTCAATCAGCCCTTTCATTACAACAATTTTGGTAAATGGAAAACAAATTTCGGTCGGTATGATTGGACAGAAGGAAGTAATTTTCGATAGACCAATGACACCATCTGAAATTCAAAATGCCATGTTTTCATGCTTCAGTTGGATGGATACGATCTATGCAGTATTGCAACAAGAAGTCGTCTTATATTGCGGTCGATTAATTGCTACAAATCCTGAAATTTTCAAGGGAATTCTAAAGATTAGAGTTGGTTGGGTTGTTGAAGCAATGAAGCTTTATTTGGAAAGTAAAGGCGCCGATCTTGGAATGGACCAAGAAATTGAAAATTTATCACCTTTCCAAATTAGACAGCTCTTAATGACTGTATTAACTATTTCACAATATACATCGGAAGATACAAAAATTGATATATTACGACGCAGACAACTGGAAGGATGCTTGTGTAGAGTGCCTAATAAATTTTATAATCTCGTTTGGGACGTTTTGGATAGATGCCAAGATGGTATTTCGGTAAATGGACATCATTTGCCAGCAGTTCCAACTTTATCGAATATGTCACGAGGAGAATTGCAATTTGCTTTATTAGTTGAGGAGATGCTGCATCATATTCCAAATTCTGAACGTCGTCAAATATCCGTTGAGCTTTTGTGTATAGTTGCAACTATTCTCAGTCGTAATCCTGAGTTGAAGTTCCAACAAGTTCTCGATTTAGACATATTATTGGAGGATGCATTTTCGATGTATTGCAAGGTAAAATAAGGCTTTTATTAAGAGACTTTTAATTTGTTCCATTTCTGTGACTAATGTACTTTGTTATGTTTAGGATCACGACATTACTCCATCATCAGATGTTACGCCTCTGTTCTCATTAAATTACTCCCAATCTGTTGGATATTTGGCAAGAGCAAGTGTCAATAGTGTATTGCAAAAAGCTGCATTAACAACAGGCACAAATGATGAGTTTAACGATCATATTGAAGATACTTGTAAAGTTTCTTAAGCTTTTTTAAGCAATTTATATGGCTTTATGCGTTATTAATTATTTTCATTCTTATAAGTTAATCATTTCATTCTTTAATGATACCTAGTAATATATTTTATTTCCAAAAAAAAAACATGTTATTATGCAATAAATTAATGAAAATGTTGAGAAGAAAAATTGAATAAAAATAGAGAAGAGCTGTTATCGAATGTATTGGAGAAAGAGAAAATGAAGAAAAGTTCTGTTATTCTTGAAAGTAAAATAAAAGCATGTCAGTGCTGAAAGAGTGGTGCATTACTCAACGATTCGCAAAGGTGTGCAGACGTTGAAATCAAATTTTTGTGAAGAAAATACCGGAAAAAGATGGAGTCAACAAAGAAGTTATTAGGTGAATAGTTTGTTATTAATTACTTTATATTTGATGGGTTATAGACGATTTTAAGACATTAAAGAAGCAACCACACGAGACTTTAGTGTGTAACATAAAATAACAGTGATTTACATCTGTATCCAAAAAGTGTGTCAGTATCCTCGGGAACATACTTCCAAAAAAGAAAGACATCACTTAATGGAAATATAATTAGGAAATGATATTAAAGTTTATAGATCATTAAATGACGATGTACTTTATTAACCGTTATTACCTTTTCTCTTTTATTTCATCTCATTCATTCTTAAGAATGAAAATGTGTTATAATGACCTTTAAAGTTTATAAATATATGCGAAAAAAATGTACAGTTAGAGTCATCCATAACATACATTTCATGCTAATTCTTACCTACATATAAAATCTTTTTAATAATCGATATCGGTGTTTAAAGGCTTTCTCTTACTGCTCTGGATCACATGTGACGCTGCAGATTCATTTCCTGATTCTTTCTCAAAAAATGAAATATCAAGTTCAAGGAATTTTGTCGGCGTTTCATCGCAAATTATAGCCAATGCACTTTTACAGGTAAGAATTGAGTCGTAAAATTAAGATCGCCAAAAAACAAGTCTTTTTTGTGTGTTGATAAATCAGGGTCAAGCAGAATCGATATCAAATTATGTGTGCTCGCCTCTTGGATATAGCACAATTTTAGCAATTCTTGCTGAGGGAGCAAAAGGAAGAACACGAGATGAAATCTTACAAGTTTTAGAGCAGCCAACAAAAAATATTCAAGATAGTAAGAACTCTATAATTTTATTAAGCACATTAAAATTCTCATTTGATTCTTTTATTACTTCATAAGTGAGAAACACGTACCGTTCAATTTTATCTGACTTTGCTGGAAATGATTCAGTCGTTGCTCCTCAATTTAAAACTTGGTTTTATATCTATAAACCAAACATCGCCATAGAAGAATTCAAGCAGACGCTAATCAAGGACTATTTGGTAGAAGTTAAGGATATTGAGAAATTTGATTATGATTTTGGAACCACAAACAGTCAACAAGATTATTTTATTCCATCATCAAACAGTCAAGACTCATTGAATTTTGATGATTTAAACCAAAACAAGCCGCTTGATGAAGTTGATGAATTTAATTCTATGAAGTCGGACAATTTGGAAACTACAGTTAGGGATGCAATAGCTGATTATGACCAAATCGATAAAGATGAAAAATCTAAAGTTTCTAAATTCGACAAGGAAATTGATGATAAGCAATATGTTGAAAAATCTGAAATACCTACAGAATCCAATAATGAGGAAGAGACAACATTAAATTCTGTGTTGAATGAAAATGAAAAAGGACCGGAAAAGTTTGTGCTGCCTATCAGAAAATTTATTGATGATTCTATGGAAATTATGGAAGCACAAGAAAATAAGAATTTTGTAAATGGGGTAAAAGTCAAATCATTAATTTTACTATTTTAATATTTATTGAGTTTGGATTTTTATGCAGTTTGGACGAGCACAGCCACTTCATTTATTGGGAGATGTTACATCAGCTCTAAGTGGAAATGCAATTATGGGAAGAAAAACGGAATTAAAAGAATTAGGTATGAAGATATAAGCACTAAAAATCATTTTTGTATATAAAACTTATTTTGTTTTTTAATCTGTCCAGAATCAAAAATGCTTCTGTTTAACGGTCTTTACTTCAGAGGAGATTGGGCTCAAAAGTTCGACATGTTGAATGAACTAAAGTCATTTGACTCAGTTAAGGGAAAACAGGATACTAAGTTTATTACAACGAATGGACTTTTTAAATATGTCGACATCCCATCTAAAAATTTAATTGCTGTGGAAATACCATACAAGGTACAATATCAGGTTTTTAAGTATCATAATGTGAAACGAATTAACAAGTTCTTTATTTAGAATGATCGCTATGCTTTTCTTATTGTAATGCCAAGTACATTGAATGACATGAAGCAACATTGCAAGCAGTCAAACTACAACAATCTCAATGAAATTGTAGGGCAGATGGAACTTAATAATATTAATTTGTTAATGCCACGTTTTAGATATGAATGTACAAGCCGTGCTGAAAAAGCTCTTGGAAAGGTATGTGCTTATAAGCAATTAGTAATGTTAAGGTTCCACAATGAAATCTTTCTTAGCTTGGAGTGACCACATTATTCACATCAAAAGCTGATTTGAGTGGAATCACGGAAGATTCTAAAGGATTACAAATTGAAGAACTGGTTCAACATGTTGCTGTTAGAATTGATGAGGCATCAAGTAGTGAGTCTGCATTGAGTGGTAAGTAGATTAATATATCCACTAATTCTACCGTTTAAAATTGAACAAAATTGGATGATTACAGCTGGCAATGTTCAAGGACGAAACAATGTAAAAGCAACAGAAGTTTTGATCAATAAACCATTCTTGTTCTACGTTCGAGATACTTTAAATGACGTCATTTTGAGTGCAGGAAAAATAATGGAAATCCCAAAAGAAGAAGATCTTGACGTTATTTTTAACATTTGAATTAAATCATTAATTTTAAATAGACATATAAGTTGGTACAAGAAAATTTAATGTGATAAGAATTTATTTCCATTCAACATATATGTTATACTGTGTTATACATTTAACATATCTAGCCTCTTTGCCTTAACTTTTGGTTACACACATAAAATGATTATTTTTAAAATTCATAAATCGCTCATAGCGAGTTGAAAATTCTATATATGCACTGTGTTTTATTTTCTTGGATCATAAATCTTTGCCATAAAATATGGAACGGCATATCTTCTGTCAACGATGAAAACAGCAAATGGCTGATTGACAATAAAATCTGTATGTTTGGTTTCAGGTTGAACTGTCAAGGCAATTGCACTAAATGTAGTGGTTGATGCTCCAACACTTCCATTTTCGTCGACTTCCAAGAACGATTGTTGTAAAGCACTTCCGATTTTCATAGTTGGACCATTGTCATAAACTTTTAAAGTTGATTTTTGTGTGAAAAGATCATTAATTCCCATCTATACAATTATGACATCAATGAAATCAAGTTAATATTATAACATAAATTCCAACTTACCTTTTTCAATGGTTCTGTTAATTGTACAGTGGTTTTCAGTTTAAATTTAGGCAAAGTAATGTTAACAAAGTTCAAAGTTGGATAACCGATGACTACGTCAACAATATCTTTAATATCATATCCAGTCATTTTTTCAATCACGTTATCTAATGTTTCTCCGTCTTTAGGCATAACAACGATCATTGATTCTGTTGAATTGTAAGGAATAGCAGCCCATCTTGCCTTAATATTATCGAATGTGCCAGAATGGAATTTTTTGCGGATTCTCATTGTATCAACTTGAACTGTTTCATTCGGGCTTAAATTGAAATCACTCGTCTGAGTTGAGTTAAAAGTAAATAGCCACTGCCCTCTAAAATACACCGTACTTGCTAATAACAATTCTGTATTTTGATCGAAATCTGATTGAACATCCTTGAGGGCACCATGTGTTTGGTTGTTAACCCATTCATTATAAGTCTTTTTTGTCCCTCTGATGTCGTTAAAATCGACTGCAAAACCATCAATTGGACGTTTATTGCGTGGTTTTTTGTTTATTACAACATCAAATGAATTTTTCAAACTAGAAATTTTTTGGATTTTATTGCATATTTTGAAATTTAAATATGTTTAAGAAGAAAGAAATTATCATACCTGTTTTGTAATTTTGAATTGACAAAAAATGCATTTCCAATCTTTAGCTCTCTTTTTGTTCCATCTCCTTGCATTTTATTCAAAAGTTTTTCTAATTCTTTCGAATTGTTATACTCAGTGGCATCTACAATTTGTTTTTTAGTGTCACCTGAACACTCATTCGCTAAAAAGCTTAGCAAAATTTGAGGTGATAATGGTGCCACAACATAATTCTCGCGTGCACCTTGATTTTCAACATTTCTGAATAAATTTATAGCAAAATTCAAGATTTCTTCTTTTGGTCTATCAGGTCTTGGAGGAGGTGTGTATCGTGTTTCAGATCCAGAATAACGTCTATTACCATAAGGATCAATGACATATGTCTTTCCTCTTTCATCGTAGTAAAAATCTAAATGTTAAAACACGAATAATTTATTTTTTAAATACACGTAACCGTTTAGGAAATATAACAAGATTAAATACAATTTTATTAAATAATTAAGAGTCTGGAAACATGATATGTCAACTGTATTATATTTTTGACAAAAACGGACGATAACATTATTTTGAAGCAGAAAATCCTAATCATGGGATGGGGTGATTAGATGACCAACTAGTATATAAAGTGAGTGGACACATAATTAGAAATTTTTAAATTTTCCAAATTTCACACTTATTTTTTCATTAAACCTATTAAAGTTACATATTTTTGGAAAGCTTATCAAATTTCCAATATGACGATTAGAAAAGTTTTGGAAAATTTGCAAGTAATATAGTTACTTTATGTAAAAAACGCATTTTATGTATGCAAGTATTTAATGTTTTTCATTTTTCTCAGCAACGACTCTATGAAAAGCTTTCAAATTTTGCACACTCATTGCTTATATAAATGTTAACAACTCGTATAAGTTTCAGAATTTTCCATTGAGTTTTTCACGAATTTTCCTAGCCTGAATTTTTCACTATTAAAATTCATTTTTCAAACCAAACAGCTTTTCTATAGGGCAACACGGATCAAATGTTAAAGACTAGAAGTCTCTACGATGTCAGGTTATTAAGAGTTCTTGCCTGGGGCGTAGCCAGGGGGGGGGGGGTCCTTAGGCGCCCGGGCACCCCCTTGAGATTGAAATTTCATTCAAATTTTTTGTAAAAAACCTTTTTTTAACTTTAAATCGCAGTTAATTAACAAAAGCTAATTATTATGAAGCAAGGACAACAAAATTAGCTTTAAATAATCGAATAGAGAAAGTTTTATTTATTTTTGAAATTAAAATCTTTTTTGGAACTCGTGAATACGGTGTGAATATTGCAAATGTCTAGTTTGCTGTTTATAAAACTAATACATAATTTTGCATTGTCTGCATTCGATGCGTAAAGATTTTTTTTGAATGTCAAATATAATAAAAAACAAGGCGTGGAAACTATCCCAAATATCATATTTATCCCACATATCCCAAAAATATTCAAAAAATTGCTGAGCATGCATGCACGATAATAAAGATATCCGAACGTATCCTTAGTGTATTGGACGTGTAATTTCAGGATATGATGGGATATCTCAATTCTAATGCATACAGGCTCAGGGACTATTTTGAATAATTTTGGGATATTTGGGATAGTTTCCACGCCTTGATAAAAAATGACCTATAATATTAATGGATGCATTTGCTTACCTTGTCCAGCGACGCATACCGCCATCAACGCACAAAAAGTGCATAGAAGTTCTGCAAGATAAATAATTCTGAGAATATTTTTTTCCATTTGCTTTAATCAATTTTAAATAAGTCAGTAAAATAATTTAATTAACAGCATTCAAGCTTGTGAATTCTTGATTGTGATGTTTTCTTTGTAAAATCCACATTTAATATTTTATATTTTAAATTTCATTTGTGTTTTTTATTTTGATAAGAAACTTGCTGTTGAGATCATTTGAAATTTAATCTTGGAAAATCCCAGATTTCTTCTTATTTAATTCGAATAAAGTTTTATATTATTAAGTTTCATTTTTGCATTTTTTCATTGCATTCAAAATAAAACTATCACTTAAATTAATTCCTAAAGATATAAAAATTAATTTTAAAACTTAAAATCTCACCTAAAACTAAGTTCATAATATTTTTAACAAATTGTAATGTAGAATTATCACTTGAGTATTCAACAGATAGAACACAAATGATCAAGCAAACAAAAGCAATCGTATAGACAGCATTGAAAAGCATTAAAGCATTGACATTGTTAACAAACATCAGAGAATTAAAAAAAAAATGAGTAAATCCTAAAGTAATATTTCAAGTTTGAAATGTTTTGATGATTACTACTTTGCTTAGAAAACTTGAAATTCTCCTGATGTTCTTTGTTATATAAAAAAAATTTATTGGTAATGCATGAACTAGGTAAACACTGAGCATTGATCTTTGTTTAAAATCATTCAACAGTACAAGATTGTGCTCTTGAGCGATAAGACGTAAAATAAACATTTTCTCCAAATACTAATTAACATTTAGTATAAATCATAGGCCAGTAAACTTATTGTAAAAACTAATATAAGTATAGCTCATTGATTGTTTAAATTTAAAAAAAAAAATACTACAAAGTTTTGTCAAATCTAAAATTTTCTTAACATGAGTGGTAAAATTGGTATGTAAATTAGCTTATTTAATGGCTTAAAATTTTTTGAATACAAATTTTTTTTCGTTAAATATTGCAAAGACCAAAAAAAGCAAACAAAATAAAATTTTGCACCGGTAATATACATAATAAACAGATACACTGGAATTTCCCAGATTTTTAAGAACAACCTGTTTTGTCTAAAGATTAATAAAGCAGTCGTTAGTATGCAGACGCAAGTTCTTTATCACTAATGAAGATATACAATTTAATTTAATTTTAGCCTTCATTCTATTTTGTGCTGTGGTGATTATAGAATGTGGTAAGTTCGGTATTTATTTGTATTGAATCGGTATCAGTGTTTTTTTACTGTTACAAATTCTAATCCTTCTTTAAGAACCTCAGTATGGCAACAGTTATGGCTTTCAGTTTTTACCAATCCTTCAGTACTCAAATAATGACAATTTTGCATTCACTTCACCTAATAACAAATACAAAGAACGAGTATCTTTAACAAGACCAACAACTGCACAAAATACGGGTTCGCTACAAGATAGGTTTGCCCCAAATCAAGAGCATTTCGGATCACCTGATCGAAAAGAGACGAATAAACCTGAAACTCAATCATTAGATCAAAAGTTTGATTCAAATGGCCCAAGAAAACCAACAGGCTCGCCAATCCTTCAAAAAAAGCCATCTCAATCTTCATATTCACTTAACGAATATCCACAAGAATCATTAGCAACAAATCAAGATTCAACTGATTATCGTCGAGATCGATTTTCTTCTACAGTTCAACCTAATAAATATCAAACAGATTCAATTCAACCTGGACAAGCATCATATGGATCACATCCTTTCAACAGTCAACCAATTTCCCAAAAAAATCCTAACCTTTACATCCAAAGTGAAAAGGATAAGAAATTCGAAAACTATAATCCAATAACCGAATTTTCATGGAAACTTTTTAAGGTATTTAATTTTTGTTCTAATTTGACTGAGTTCGATAATATTCGATTAAATTATTAGAATGTAAACAATCCTCAACAACCGAATTTCGTTATATCTCCACTGTCCCCACAACATCTTTTGAGTTATTTGGCCAGCGGAGCAGAAGGTGTCACCAAGAAAGAAATTGTCGATGCCATCCAATATAATTCACCAAGTCAGCTCAATTCATTAATTTCAACAATGTTAAAAGAACCTGGAAATAAGGAATTGCAAGTATGTTAATTAGGTTTATGATTTTTTTTTTGAAATTTAAAATAACTCTTGTTATACTAGCTTGCATCAGCATTATTTGTATCAAACAGAATTGGGTAAGAAGAAAAAATTAACGTTCTTCACACCTGTTTTTTGTATTAATAAATTTTTAAAAAATATTTTACAGCGTGAATCCAGAATTCCAAAAAAAATTAGCTGAAAATACAAAAATTGTTTCAACCGATTTTTCCGACACTGAACAATTCAACCGTGTTTATAGTAAGTGGGTTGCAGAAAAAACAAAAGGTGCACTTTCAAATGTTCGTATAAAACCAGAACCTTCAACAAGGATGCTTTTATCATCAGCAGTGTACTTTAAGGGAGAATGGATCTTTAAGCTTAATTCAGGTGGTATTGATGACTTTTATGTTACTGAAAACAATCCAGTAAGAGTTCCAATGATGAAACTATTGAAGAAATTGCCGTATGGAAAATTACAAAATGGAAATCTTGGAGAATGGATTGCTCTACCATATAACTCAAATGATTCTATGGTCATTATTTTACCACGAAAAGGTTTACAACTTGATGACCTGATCCAACAATTAAATGTTCAAGAAGTTTTTGATTCAATGAATATTGATAACTACGGAAATGTTACATTGACACTTCCTAAATTCAAAGTTGAAAGTAGATCATCATTAGTTAATCCTCTTAAGCAAATGGGCATCAAACAATTGTTTACAACAAATTCTCAGCTTCCAAATATTTTTAGCTCTCCTGAACCGTTATCAATATCAAACGTCTTACAACAGGCATCATTGGAAATAAATGAAGAAGGTTCTATTGCTACGTCATTGACAGCATTTGCTGTTGTTGCACTTAGTTTCTCTCCACCAACTCCTGATGTTGAATTTAAAGTTGATCGTCCTTTCATTGCGATGATTATTGATCGTAAAAACAGTTTCCCATATTTTGTTGCAAAAATTTCAAACCCTGCTGTTTAAGAGAAATTTTGTTATCGATTTGTGTTATTTCGAAGAATCACATCTTGAGTGATTTTTAAGAAAAATAATAATAATTAACAGTCATACAATAAATTGTATATCTTTTATTTTATCTTTTTTTTTTATTAATTTCTACTAGTTTTGCATAATTTTTCAAGTTAAGTTGAATAATAAAGTACTAATATTGATATCTGATTCTCTTCTTCAAACTACTTACAAGTGTATATTTATTATGTTTTATGTTTAAAAAAATAATATTATTTTTTATAGCTCTTAAGTAAATCTCCTCAAATTCATGATTGTTTGAAATAAATTTCTAGTTAATAATATCCTCGCGATAAATTGTTGATCTTCATAAAGAATTATTCGCATAGTGATTTATCGGTAATTTCAAACTCTAAAGGATGATAAAAAAAATGTTATAAAATTAGTTTGTGCGGACATAAATGCTAGAAAATTTCAAAAATTACTTGTCTTCTTATCACAATTTTCAAATCTTAATGCGCATTCATTGCTAAACTTTCTTGCAATTCCTTTGTCATCGACGCCACACACAAAATCAGAATCAATTAGAGGTTGACTGGCGCAAGGAACACACTCATTTGCCATAACATCATTTGAATTGAGCAGTAGCAACAGTACGATGAGCAAGACTGAAATATTCAAAACTTTTAAATTAATAACCGAATTTACTTGAGATTTAAGTTTCAAATTATTATCATAGGTTATCTTGTAAGTTTGTTTTCAAACATGTGCACGTGTTTTTAAGACTTTATTAATATTTCGTGATAAAATTTGAAGTTGGAAAACATTATTTTTTTCGTGTCATTTTTATTTAAATTAATTTTAAACATATAAAATATTTTGTTTAATAAAAAAAAGTTTTGGGCTGCATATATGTTGACACTCATATGTGTAGCTTTAAACAGATTTTTTTCTTCAATTTAGTATAGTTTTTAAAAAAAAATCAAAAATCACTTTACGAAAATATCTGAACTTTCTGAAATGTATGGCAAATTTCTCAATTTCAGGTGGGTCCTTAGGTTGATTAATCATGTATTCTTATCATTTAATATCCGAATTAATAATACCTTAATTTTTTCAAAAAAAAAAATGGTTGTATTCGTAAGAATTATTCATGACAACTTTGAAAATTATGAAAAAATCTCTGAAAATCCAAATTAGTTTTTATAAAAATTTAAATTTTAAAAATATTTCATAATGTGAAACAAAAGATATTGTATTTGAATATAAAACCTGGTTTTTTGGTTTCTTTAAAATTCAGTCAAATTGAAGCTTTTAAAAAACAATAAATGTAAGTTTCTTTTACTTTTGCTTTAAGTTAAAAACTATTAATTTTCAAAATTTATCACTGTCACTTTAAAAATGAAAAATTCCACTAAGTGTAAAATTTTTGTAATATAATTTCACTTATTCGAAGTACTCTTTGTAAATTTTAGGAGACTATGTCCAGTTTTATGTCATTAATTTCTAAACACTTTTGGGAAAAGACGAATGTCAAAGTGGTTTGTTCCATATTAAGTTTTCGGATGAAAATTTTCATCAACTTTGCACTCGATTTATAATTTTAGAAATTAGAACAAAAACTTTTCCTCAATCTTTCAAATAGTTTTAAATAAAAAAAGAACTAATTATGCTTACTTGAAAAAACGTGCAAAATTAATTTCATTTTAGAATTCATTTCCTCTCTATTTCTTAGTATGTAATCACAACAAATTAAAGCTGAATGTAATTTATTTGTTCTTAAGAAATGAAGAAAGAAAAATATGTAGACAATATTCACAATTTTTTTAAGTACTCGGTTTGTATCTAGCTCAATCAACGTTCATCGAGAAACTGAGCTGAAAATTGTGAATTCATATGATTTATACATTTCATCGTCGCTTAGAAGTGTATTGCTTGTTAACTGAATATCTCACTGTGATCACATTTTATTCTTCTGCTCATGCTCTCATGACGTATTTTCGTATGTATATGCATAATTGCACATATAATAATTTTTTTTCTCCATTCTTGCTCGTTTCATCCTCTTCTCAATAGAAAGAAAAGAAGAAATTTATTGAAAAATAATAATTAATATAAATAAAGTCATCATTCTTCTTTTCATTTGTTTCTCTTTCTGATGATACATCATGATTGAACATGATCTTTTGTATTGAACATTGGCTATTTGTGGTCAAACCTCTACCTCTATGCCTTTAATTCGGTAGGTTATTTTTTCTGAAAACCTTAAAAATTTGTTTACTTATTTATTCATTTTGATCCACATGTTTTCCCATTTAAAGCTGTTAAGTTTGATGAGGAACTACTGAAGGAATATAAATAATTTATGATTAAAGATGTATGTACACAATTTTTCTCTATCCTATCAATATTGAATTAATTTGAAAGATAAAAGATGAGAGGACGAAAGAAAGAAAATTGTAAGTAAATTTGCATTTCAATGTACGCGCCGAAAATCTTCTTTTGAATGATGTGGATGATTTTTTAGCTCCGGTATAATATATTTAATATTATCGTCGCCAATAAGAGAATGGTTTATAAAAAGATAAAAAATAAGAATTCAATCTGTTGTCATCACTTGTCAATCAAATTATTAATTTGTGTGTCTCAAGCGCCATGCTTATGATGAAAAATATTCGTTTTCTTACTTCTTCTCGAGAAGAAGAAAGAGAAGAATATGAAAAGAAGGGAGAGGAGTAAAATAAAAATAGCCAAGAAAATAATGAATGAGAAGAAGAATACGTTGAAGGACGTTGATTGTGAAATTTCTTGATCGTAAATTATTAGCATTACATTTCCATTTTCAGATGTTTATATGTCGACATGATTCTATTTTTAGACTTTATTTACTTTATTAATAGATTTCATTCATTAATTAAGTTGGTTTTTCTGTTTATTTATCAAAATGCTTATGCGACACATTTTACAACTGACTGATAGATGTGTTAATTCATTCTAAGAATTTCTGTTGTATTAGGCAATAAATAATTCTTTACAAATCTCTTTCACTATGGATAATTAAACAGTCAAAATGATGCTTTGCAAAGAAACAAGTTCGGAAAATGCGCTAAAATGTTGATTTCCATGTACGAACCAAGCACATGTTTGAGTGGCGCACATTCTATAATCTCTTTGATCATTTGAGTCTAATAACGTCTAGTCAGTAATTGCTATCTTAGCAGCCACGACGAGAACGACGCTATATTGTCGTGGATATATTGGATTTGTTCATAAACTTTGTAATTTCCTAAATAAATTTATTTGAATAATTTTCAAATGTTCTATAATCATAAGAACGTAATATTCATACATTACCTGTATTAATAATTTTACCTAACTCTCCCATTTGGAAATTATTTGTTCAATAAACAATAATTTTTTGTTGTCTCAACACTTTCTGTACGAAGTTGATGATTTATGTCTAATGGTGGCGCCAATAACTATAGTATTGTTTTTCAGCTCAATTAATAACACATTTTGTTCTGAAAATTTGAATAGGTCGTTGATTCTTTGAAAAGAGACATGCCTCTTTTCAATATTTTTTTAAAATAAAAGAGTTTCTCAAGAGGTTTTTTCTTCTTTTTTTCATGTGCTGAATGGGATGAGGTGCAAAAAATATGAATATTTTATTTCATAAGAACCTTTCAAATTTTAACAAAAGTTTTTGAAATCATTCGATTGGAAAAAAAAGTCTTTACATTGATGTCTTATGTCTATGTGCTGACATTGTTGCAAATCACAGGATCAATCTTATCGTAGTATTAATTTGCAGGTATTAAGGTGTCAGAAAAACAAAATTCTTCACATATTTTGAAACATAATATTTTAATAAATTCAAGTGCTATTAAGTTTTTGTAAAGTTCCGTAAAGTTATTAGCATCGTTTTGGTATAATAAGGTGTTATTTAATAGAAGAGTGTTTTTTTAATCCTTTTATTCTTTTTGGCTTTTCCCCACTATATTGGTTCATTCCTACTCTTGTAACCAGTAACTGAAGACGACTTGAGTCTACTTCATTTTGCCGAACACCGATTAAATTTTATATAATTAATTTGTGTTACTTTAATTAATAAAATTTAATTTGTTCGTCAATAAATCCCATGCTGCCCATCCTTTATAAGTGTTATGTAATATATTATGTCTTTTCTAACTATACGCTTGGTACTGCTACAAAAAAAAACCTATTTAAACCTTTAATAATGCATTAAGACATTTTCTACGTTATTTCTCTAAATTATCATTTTACTGTGCTTGCCAGATATGATATTAAGGTTATATGCCGTTGTATGGTAGCTGAAAACGTATCATAAATTTAGCGACTTTAGCTTCAGACGACTTATTAATTTAATTTTTAAGAGGAACTTTAAAAATCGTTTGAATGTTTAAGTTTGAAGCAATAAAGCGACACCTGCTAAAACCCATTTTGCAGGTTTATCTTTTGTCTTAAGGTTGAATGTCCAAATATATGTAGGACCTCGTTGACGTGTTTTATAAACAGGACATTCGTACATATTTCTATTATCTTGCTTGTCTTGCGTAATGGCTCTGATGTTTATTACAGGCAATGATGGATAAAGCTCTTTTAATTTTGAATCAGCAATGACACCTTGTGCTATATCCCATCTAGCTCCTTCCATAAATATTCCATGAATGTATGCACCATCTCTTGGAACAGATGTAAAATCTTCTTTCTGTTTCTTCATAACATCGCAATAAAGACACATTTTGTCCAAAGGCAACTCAAATCTTCTTGCTGTCGACTGCATAATTGCAGTTAGTAACGATTGTGGATTAAAAAATCCAGCAAGCCAAACACAAATGGGAAGAACGAAATCACTTGACCATGCTTCTAATTCTCGTAAACGTAAGACTAGATCGTTAAACCATGTTGACAAACCGAGCAGTGATGGATATGCACGAGCAGCCCAGATAGTTGGAACCTGATCTAAGAACAATGAGTTTTCTAATTGTTCCATA